TTTTTTTGAGGGGGAATCTAGACCTAGATACTGTTTATTTTTGAATCAGACCCCCGACTAGCCTTTCCAATAGTGCTGTGGGTCACCCTAATCTAGACCATCACAATCGACTTGACAGAAATAAACACTCACTATAAGTGCAAGACCCTGGGGTTGGCTGACGAGCGATTTTGTACCAGGAGTCTCACTAGTTCAACATCAGGCCGGAAATATGGATTAAGCTGAAATGCGTGAGCGGTCGAGAACATTGAATACCAGCTGGCTTTTCCTATATATCGATATATAGAAGTTGGTAACCCGGCTTACGGTATGGTATGACTCTACTCTGCTCCTCACATTCTTACACAATGGTGGCACTGAAATCCCTTCTCCTGCTCTGTACTCTGGGCATCCAGGTCGGGGCTACTGATCCGACACATGTGCTATGTGAGACTAAGCTTGGCACCGCCTCCATCGCATCAAATCGTATCCCTACCGCTACTTCTACAGTCGTTGAGAAGCTCACAGTAGTGAAGAAAGTCATCCGCAAGGTCAATGTCGTGGTGGTTCCAAGACCCAAAACTAGTACTGTCCGAAGCACTTCGTGGATTACAACCACAACACTGGCTGATCCTCGAAAACGAACCGCTACTAGCACGTTTATCGGTAAGAACGTCCCAGTCTCATTACTGATTGTAATCTATGCTAATATTTACTTTACTCTACTAGATACTATCACAATCCACAGCACTCGTACTAGCACCTCTGTTACGTCTACGGACTCTTTCACTGTCACGACGAAATATGTAGACCAAACTGTCCCGGCTCCAGCTGGCTTCACCGCAATCCTCAATGACCCTCTTTACGAAGCGAGGCGCAGGATGAGGGCTCTGAATAACGATCAAGAGGTCGAGGATATCCCCGATATCGCTGCAGTTATGTATCCACAGCGCGTGGACTGTACTAAGAAGAAGCCTTCAACTTCAACAACGACCACCACTACCATCATCCAGGGTCCCAGAACTACCGTCAAGGCAGTCACAAAGACACACTTCTCTACTGTTGTCTCAATCACTACAAGTACTGAGTATCCGCCTGATGTGGAAACTACTGTCACCGTTACTACCTATCCAGTCACCACCGTCTGGGGCGAGACTACCACAGTATCTACTGTCACCAATACAGGCAAGTCCTTAGCACGCCTCATCTTAGTTAACCATAATAACAGCTTTCTCCTAGTTACGGTCGAGTCGCAGATTCCTATGGAGACAGTTTATCTTGCATGCAAAAATGACAATATTCTCCGCACGGCCAACAATGGCGGCCGGGTAGTAGCATGGACAGACGTTTCTGCTGCCGACAACGCTCCTACTGACATCGGTGCCGGTTACACTGCTTCCGAATGTTGCGCTGAATGCCAGAAGCGACCCTTCTGTCGTATTAGTCTACTCGACACTGCAGATACCAAGTGCTACCTTTATCTCACTGGCACAGCAGATCGTTGCTCCAACGGACAACAGCCCTCTTTTGGTAGATACTTAACGAGTAACAATTCCCCAGCGCAGCCTCAGTGGATTTACAGTAACGGGCCGTGTGGTCAGTTGAGGAACGGTGGGGACAGGCAGTCAATTCAGAATACTTGAGCATGGATTCTGTAGTGCACATACCAGATAAGTAATCTTACTTAAATTATTTTGTTCAGTCGCTTTCCCTTTATTTACGTCTTGTTTTCTTGCTGCTGAATACATTAGAGTATATAACAGTAGGTTAAATAATGTCTTGTTCATGAAGTTTTTATTTTAATAACAAGTACAGTTATTCTTTGTTCATAAAGTAGGAAGTGTTGAAGTTCACCGAGTACGCAATAATAGAGCTGGGATGGCTCTCTTTTCCCATACATGAACAATGGCGGCAACTTTTAGGCCGCTCCAACAGTAGCCTTGATAAAAGTTTGGAACTCATCCATGTTCCTTGTCTGAACATAAACCGAACCAGGACCTGTAAAGCGGCACACCAAACCCTCACCAGTCTTTAAACTGGTCATAGCTCCTCCGCCCGCTTTTTCAATGGCGTAGTTGCAGTTCCAGGCTACGAGATGGCCGTTATCCACAACGTGCTCCTCACCGGGTTGTAGCTGCAACAAAGTCAGTAACAGAATGTCGGTCAAATGTCCGGGGCTCTTACGTCCAGTCGGTCAACGGCACCAAAGCTAGTCAGCCACATGATACCCTGTCCCTCAACACGAAAGACAAAGAGGTCCTCGCCAGAGAACAATGCCTTTCCGATACCTTGGGTTTCCCTCTTTTTGGTCACTTCGGAGGTGCTAGCGAGGAAGGCATCTCTACCAATAGTCCAAGACGTGCGACCATCAACTGGCAACGTGATGATGTCTCCAAAGAGAGTCGGACCGAGCGCTACACGACCTGGTCCGGCATACAGCGACTCATATAGGTTTCCACCAGTGAAGAGTTTGCCGAACGAGAACTTGGATTTGCCGGATAGTTCAACAGTGCCTGACATGTGAATCATGGCACCTGACTTGGAGCGCACGGTGGTACCCGGTTGAAGGTCGATGTTGAGTATGGCGTTGGTATCGCGGTGGGCGATATTGAAGCTTCCGCCTTGAAAGGCGCCTCTGTCATTCTGAGAACCCATAGCTTGTTGATGATGGTCATATCCTTGCTGGTGAGCCATGGTGTAGATGATGAGCTAAAGGAACTTGTATATCAATGATCAAAAGTCACTCGGGGTAAAGGGCTTTGAAGGTGAAGATGAGAAAGTAATCAGACTAAGACCCAAGTAGTTCCTTCACAGCTTTATATACCTGTCTCATCCAAGAATTGGACAGGTAATTCCTGGAGGAGCAGCACATGTAGCCCCCGCTTACTTTAACAATCTCATGTTCACTAGCCCCATTTAGGTGTCATCAATCGCTAGCACACTTCTTTAAACATGAATCTGCCTAACCCTATCTTCATTGGGTAATAGCTGAACTTAAGAAGGTTTTCGACAGGGGTAACTGCCGAATAAACAGCCTTATGGTCAGCCATAACTTCGCTTACGTGCATGTGACAAGTTTCGAGATAGGGTAAAAATAACATAAGCGGGTGAATTGATTGGCAAATAAGCATAGGTAGTCGTGTTGAAGGATGAGTGACAGAACGTCAATGCTTTTATACGGCCCGATGACTTTCGTGCTCAGGCCATCCAACACCTTGGATTATCACATGAGTTTTAGTAAATTCCCGAGGTAAAACGCATGACTTGCAATATAACACTCAAGTAGCAGATTTTCCGCAAGCTTATATAGATTCATCCCAGACTCCATTGCTCTGACGGTGGTTCGTTATCTCATCTCGATTGGTATGGACCTGGCGTCCAGTCCGTATTTGAATTACCGAGTCGAAACTGCAGGGACGAAATGCTGGTAATATAACGATGATAGCTCAACTCGGCGTTGACCATGTGAGCAGCTCTCTTTCTAGTCTCCTCAGTCATTGAAGCCCAAAGGAGCATCTGGGACTCGACAGTAAACGCCATAGAGAACAACGATGGTTTCGCTTTACTATTGGCACGCCACTGCACCTCACAAATGTAAGAGCCTATAAATCCAAGAGTAAATACGGCATACTTTCTCGTCTCCGTGGAGATCTTACCCTTATCTGTCTCGGTTTTGACCCTTCAAATTATTTTTGGGAAAAAAGGAACTTTGAGTGTTAGCTTGGCCTGCTGTTGAGTGGATCTGGTGAAGTTAGATGCTCGCTGCGGCTTGTCGTAAACTTCCTCACAAAAGAGGAGAATATTCTGAAAAGGGTATGCTCGATACTGTCGGTTTCATTAGTGAAACGGTGTGCCCAGTTCTATATTTTTTCTTACTGGAGACGTGCTGGCCCCGATAGTTACGACAACAAAGTGTGTATGATCAAGTCACCAAAATCGCTGGGGCGAAGACCTTTCCAGTTCCACATGCGTTCATCCAAATCGCTCACAACCTCTCCGTCCTCGTCCGGGGATAACCCTTTCCGCCACGAATTTACACTTTGAAGCCTCATGACTCCAGTGTTTCCATGAGACTCTGAGTCCTCACGGAATGTGATCGCTTCATTGATTTTGATGGAGGCCTTCCGGACATGTGATAGCGCGTAAGTAATGTCTTCGCGCTGATCGGCGGACATCGGAAGGATCTAGTGTCTTTGTCAGCTTATATTGGAGCGATAGTTATGAAACCAGTCCTTACCGTATGTAGGAAATGGGTATAGACAGAAGCCCGATCCGTAATAAGCGGTAGAATAGTTAAGCACTTGGTCAACAGCGTCTTCGTCGGATCCTTATCTGTACCTCGTCTGGAAGAGATGAGAGATCGTATCTCGGCTTTAATACTCAGTTCATTCATGATGAACACCGTTTCCGTTTCAATGTTTTGTAGCCAGAATCCAAATACCGATGCCCATCTTCGCTCAGACTCTATTATAAATAGGTTTCTTTCCATTCTGATGAGCAGGTCAATGTGGATATCCGCGAGCTGTCTGACCCTTCCAAAGGTTCCGTTAATATCTTCATTTTCTCCCCATACGAGATCGCCGGTTAGTCGTGTTTTGATTTGGACGAGTTCTTCCATCTTTTGGGCAAAGCTTTGTTGGTCGAATGCGACCTTTATTAGGCTCTCTGAGCAAGGTAAGGGAGCCACGAAGGGACCTATACTTTCCTCCGCCAGATCCAGATCCAGATGACTCCAATAATTCACGATGCTTTCAGCTCTCAGCTTCTCGATGACAAGTGAAAGTGTCGAGAGAACCTAAGTAGGGGTCAGTAGACGATTCTTTGTATATGCTTTAATTGACCTGCACCGTACTTTCAAAAACCCGTAGTGGTCTCCCTGAATAAGATCCAGTATAGTAAATAATCTATGTATAGGTACGTTTAGTTTAGTGCAACAATACTTAAGAAACCACACAGTGATTATTTTCTTGGATTTCGGTGAAAGATGATCTTTTGGATCCGGAGAACTATTATTCCATCGTTGGAGAGGAACATCGATCTGCGGGTTCAGCGCTCGAACGAGAATCACCAGTGGTGATGCTTGGCCAAGGACTTCCCAGAGGTGATGGAATGAGTCGGTTGGGGAAATCACTTGATCAAAAAACATTTTCATTCCAGGAATCTGTAGCATTTTGGCCTTTAGAATGTCGCATTTGACGAGGAGAGGGTGCCCTTGCACAACTCTTGGTATGTCTCGAGGCATGGGTGTATCTTTGACGCAGTCGCTGTCTCGAGGTTTCCACTTCATCGAGGTGGCTTGTCCAAAGTGGTAGTGATGAGCATTCGTGATATCGTGAGGGAAAACGGGCAATCCAATAACCGAGATGAGTGAAATGTCACCCAAACTTAGACCCGAGAAAACAGACCAGGCATTGGATCTCGTTATAGAGCTTCTGTAGGAGAAATCCATCGTATCTCGTTGTGCGCGACGGTACACCCTCGATGACTCTAGATCATCCTCAAAGTCGGATTTGGGTAGGCCGCTGTTGGTATTGATGCTGAGTGGTGATTTTGGTGGATTCGGTGGTGCAGGTTCTTGTTCTTGAAGTTGACTAGAAAGCCGCCCGGATAGTGATAAAATACTCCGCCGCTGTGTTACAATCGTCTGAGCTTCGAGGGCATCTTCTAAACTCATCAGTCTATGGGATAGAGAGTGATTCGTTTCGAGCAGGACTTTGACGTTATTGGCCAGTTGTTCCTGGTGTTCTGCCGCCGATCGATCGGAGTCACTGTGAAGTCAGCAAGCTAGTCATATACCAAGTACTTCAAACCACATACCTTTTTAAGATCATCAACACCAAAGTCATTGAGCTCTTGAAACTTTGCAGTCTCAGTATCAGTGTGTTGAGGGAGCCTTCCTTGCGTGCCCACTGCAAACGCGCCCATATTGGTATTTTTTCCTCTCTCTCGTCCTTAGCTGGCAGCGACTTAAGTTCACTCTGCAGTTCCGAGAATAAGAGCACACCATCGGTCAGGATTGTAACGACCTGGTTGACTCCGATCAACGCAGCGTACTGTGCTTTCACAGATGCGAAGTTTGTAGTAAGGCTCTGGAGTCCTTGCAAAATCACCTGAGTACTCTGTATTTCCGAGAAGACATGGGCGGCTACCTGCGGGGTTTCTTTGGCCGCCGATACATAAGGGCTGAGAAACTTGGCTGCCTCGACAGTAATTGAAATGAGGCCTGCGATTGATGCTGCGATACTCAATGGGTCGGCCATTTTGCAAGGTTGAAAGAGGGAAATTGCAGTTGGGAAATTGCAATCAAGAACAAGGTAATTGAGACAGCCTGGTTGCCTTGAACATTGAGGCAGTGTTGGGCTGACAAGCCTCTTAGCCAATCAGCTGCGGCAATCACCATGAGTTGTTCCTGCTGATTTGACCCCTGGCAAAATTGGGAGGCGACAACAATTGTCCAATGAGGCCTGCATACAACCATTGTACCTTCCAGAACCTGAATAAAGACGGCAAGAGCAATCAACAGATTAAGTTTCATCATCGTTAAATTCATTTCTAAACCTCGCCAAACACCCAGCGCCAGCTACTTTATCGTTTCCATCATCACCAAATTTTATGTAAAACCAACAGGAATCCACCAAGATCTATTGTCAGCGACCGATTGCAGTTCCTATCAAGGCACACGAGGTATAAATTCCCGACTGTACTCGACAGCTGCAGATATAACATCCAGCAAGCCATTTCCTTCAAAAAGTCTCCTCACCAGAGTTTTTGAGGAATACGCCCCTAGTCACCATTCATCGCTCTTATTAACGGTGTGACATCCAATTCCTCCGATGAAATCTCTCGCTTCGCCTTCTGTTTCGACGACCTTGAGCTTCTTGCCTGCGCGTGCTGTGTCGATAGTCAAGACTCCTGAGGGGTCGATGACGACGATGGTTCTTCCGTCGAGAAGAAGACGGGTAATATCGGCTTGAATAATTCGTTGAGCGACGGCGTTGAATGAAAAGACGTCGCGGAAGGAAAAGACAATGGCGCATGCGTGACGGCTGCTTCCACAACCGGGGTCATCGGGGTTTAAGGGACCGAGGACTCGTGTGATCTCGCGTGTGAGGCGCTCCGATCCTGCGAAGCGAACAACACCGCGTAGGCTAAAGATAAGAATTTCTTTGTTGCAGTTTGAATGGTGGGGTTCGTTCTCGCCTGCAACGATGGTAGCGACAGATGTACGGACAGTTGCTTGGGCGATTTGGCTAACGTCCATCATGTGAAGACCCATGTCGCTTGATAACTGCTCGCATATAGCTACACCTCGTACACTGTTTCCTCGGCTATCGAGTTTGGGTGAGAAGACAGCAATACCCATTTGACCAGGCAGAGCGCCAATGATACCACCAGCGACACCACTCTTGGCTGGGATACCAATTCTTGAGAGCCAGTCGCCCGCAGCATCGTACATACCGCATGTGCTCATGACGGAGAGAATCTGTCGGACACTGTCTTGGGGAATGATTCTGTCTCCAGATTTGGGGTGAATTCCTGCGTTGCAGAGGGTCGCTGCCATGGTGGCCAAGTCGCGGACATTAACGTTGATGGCGCATTGGCGAATGTATCCTTTGACAATCTGCGCCGCATCGCCGGTGATAATTCCTGCTGCCTTGAGCATGTATCCGATTCCCATGTTTCGATCAGCTCCTCTCAACTCGGCTTCGTAAACTTCTTCGCAGACGTGCAATTGTCGACCAGCCAATAGTGAAAGCGCGTCAAGAATACGTTTCGACCTTTGCTCCGCAGTCCAGTCGGGTCCTCCGATGAGAGAATGGGCCGTGATAGCTCCGGCGTTGATCATGGGGTTCATGGGTCTGTTGCTGCCGCGTTCCAGGGATAAGCTGTTGAACGCGTCGCCGGAAGGCTCCACACCGATCTTCTCCAACACCTTATCAAGGCCTGCATCTTCGATGGCGAGCGCGTAGACAAAAGCCTTGGAGATGGATTGAATGGAGAATTCAATATCGTCGTCGCCAGCTGAGTATATTTCGCCGTCTACCATAGCCAAGGCCACCGCTACTTTGGATGTGTCTGCCTTGGCCAGGGTCTCGATGTAACTGGCAGGCTTGCCACCCTCAATAGGACGTGCATTTTCCAGCACTTGGTTCAGGTAATCAGGGATAGGGGATTTCATAACTTGATCACAGAGTAGAAATTGAAATTGGCGTACTTTTATTTGTCTCTATGGAAGAAAACGACAAAAAGTGCTGTGCTAGCAGGATTCTTTTGAATATTTTTCGAGGGCACAAGAAAAATGTCGTCAGCCAAGGTAACGACTAATTTTTACATAATGGCTCGTCCAATGGTGGCATCGGAATGAACTAGGCCAGTGACCCACAGTCAAGCTCTGACAGCGTCGTGTGAGACAATAGGGTAGATGATGTTGTCATTTGTCATACAATCGGCGAATAATGCTCACGGGGCCGACAAAGACTTTAGGGCTTGTGGTAGAGTAGTATTCTTTTTGATAATATTTATAATTGAGTTTAATTTAAGGAGAGATGAGTTGTTGGGTTGTTGAGTCTCGAACAAAGTAGGATGATTTGAATGTCTATGGTAGGATGAGTTACGACGACTTCCGAGTTCGGACCTCATGCAACTATCAAGGTGATTACCCCAGGGCAATTTGAACTAGAGTAAACATCATCTCTTTGTTGAACATTATCCTGGACTGTCTATTCTTGAATTGAGACCATATTTACAGCAGAACAATAGTGATGTTCTTGATAGTAAACAGCATCTTCATGTGAAACCACCATGAAACTCTTATCGATAAGCAACATCGTGCGCGACTGATTGGTTCAACGCGCCACTAGTCGACGCGTCTCACCGATCGGCTCCACAGACTCTGGAATTCCTCCCTTGCACGAGACGAAAAAGCACGGAACACGACTGCATTTCTAGCGGCATTTTCGTGAGGGGTTGGTCAGTTTGTTTGTGCCATAAACTCACGCTAGAGCCATTCCACATACCTCTGAAGAACTCGCTTTAACCATATCGGTATGCTTGAGCCAGAGTCTGTGCTTGATCATTCAAGTCTCCGCAAGCCATGGATGAACTCTAGAGCGATGGGTGGATCCTGAATGTGAAGGTATCGTGGTTGCGAACTGTATCAATTCCGCCTGCGCGATGCCTCCTCACGGACTGCATTCTATCATTTTATCCGTAGCTACCAGACCCCTGCTCGACACGGCAGAACGCGTTCAAAAACAAGCTTTATTTTGACTCTCGATCCTTGCCAAGTCCCCTGTCAAGTGTCTCACCCGAGCGCAATCATTGGATGACGTGCGCCACCACCGCAAACACCAGAGCAGGTTATTACGATCCCAACCCCTTAGGCACTTTTCTGAACTCTTTTCCACTTCATCTCTTGACATTTTCTTGTGTATCATATAGTCAAACTCTCGTGATAGTTTGTTCGATCGCCACCCTTCGACGTCAACCACAATGGCTAGCAACATCCTGCCAGGCCATCATCATGGGCACAACAGCTCTGGTCACAATGAATCAACCCCGCTTCTGCCACACATCGCACACGAGGGCGAAAGTGGCAGAAGTGGCTTCCATCCGCGTCATTTTCTTGCTGTGCTCTGGCGAAGCTCGTGCACGGCGTCTATGTGGGTGAACGTTCTGTGGCCGTTTGTTCCGGTTGCCATCATCCTCCAGTTCTTCCCTGGAATGCATTTGTGGAAGTTTGCTACCGCCTACATCGCTGTGATCCCAACGGCCAATCTATTGGGTTTTGCTGGTCAGGAGTTTGCAAGGAAGATGCCCAAGGTGGCTGGTATACTCATCGAGACGACATTTGGATCTATTATTGAGATTATTCTGTTCATCGTTCTGCTGGCGAAGCATAAGAACCAGACTTCTGAGGATAACGGGGATGAAGGAAACCTTATTCCTATCATCCAGGCCGCAATCCTCGGCAGTATTTTGACCAACCTCCTGCTCTGTCTCGGCCTCTGCTTCTTCGTTGGCGGTCTCAAGCAAGCCAGTCAGAAATTTCACGCCATTGTGTCAGAAGTCGGTACCGGTCTGCTGTTGGTCGCCGCCTTTGGCCTTCTCATTCCAAGCGCGTTCTACTCTGCTCTCAAAGCCGAGGTCGTACCCGACTTTCCCGGCTTCAAAGTGTTGCACGAAAAGTTCACAGAGGACAAGCTGCAGGAAGATGTCGTCCGCATCAGCCAAGCAACCTCAGTCGCACTGATTGTTGCGTTCTTCTTGTACATCTGGTACCAGGCGAGCAGCCAGCACAGCATCTTCGATGAGGTCATTGAAATGGATGAGCATCGGGATGCTGATCGTGAGGCGGATATGGAGAAGCCCAAGTTTACCATGACGGAGACGGTCATTGCTCTTCTGATTGCTTTGGTGTTTGTCACTGCGCTGCTTATCTTCCTTGTTGAGAAGATTGAGCATGTTGTTGAGAGCGGCGTGCCTGATCAGTTCTTGGGTCTTATTCTTTTGCCTTTCGTTGAGAAGGCGGCCGAACACTTGACAGCTATCGATGAGGCCTATGGTAAGTTCCTGTCTTCAAGAAAAAAGAATTCTGCTAACAAAGTCAGATGGTGTCATTAATGTTGCTCTGTATCACTGCTTGGGACCTTCCATCCAGACCGCTCTCTTCAATGGCCCACTCGTGGTTCTCGTTGGTTGGGCCATTGGAAAGCCAATGGACCTCAATTTCGAGATTTTCATGATCGTCTTGCTTGTGTTGTCTATTCTGGTTGTTGGAAACTTCCTTCGTGATGGCGAGTCCAACTGGCTCGAAGGTGCTCTTCTAGTGGTAAGTAAAACCCAAGTCCAATATATGTTCTGTGAGGCTGATGAATTAGGTCATCTACGCGATTATCGCCATTGCCTGCTGGTACTACCCCAACCCTGATGTTGCCACCTCAAACGGTATGGAAGGCTCAGAGATGGTCAATGTGACGATGAGCGTTGATACACTCCGTCAGTTGCAGCAGCTCCTGAACGCGCATCTACCTCTCTAGATGCATACTATTGATTCAAGGATGTGACTCAGATGAGAAGAGAGACTATCTGAAGGCAGCTAAACTGGGTGAACGGTCCTCGGAGAGAATGGTACTTAGAGCGCCGGCTATTCGGCTAGTTTGTATTAGTGTGTATGATTTGGTGGCTGTTGCAGTTAGCACAATTGTGTGTATGCAAACGCTTCACGTTGTTGCTTGGGACAGGTAATCAGAAGAAATATATAAAAAGAATAATTAATCATATCATATGCCGTGGACATCATATCATGCCATAATCCATTAAATCACTGCTTCTCAAAGATCAAAACTTGACTATCAATATCCCCTTGGAATCGCAACTGAACACCAAGGTTCATAAGCGTCGATCCAGAAACAGTCTGGTTACCATTCAAGACATATTTGGCATCCGAATCCAAACCCTGCAGACGGAACCAAGGCCAAGAGAAGTTGATGGTAGCACGAGTTTGGAAGGCGAACAAGACAACCTGCTTGCCGTCTTCGGAGATGAACTGTCCAGCTGGGTATCTGGTGTCTTCAGGAAGAGCTAGTCGGTAAAAGTCTCCTTTGATGACGATGGGATTGATCTTTTCAGACAGCTCAATCAGAGCGGGCATTTGTTCACGCTCGTCTTCTGACAAATCGCTGGGATCGAGTTCAACACCGAAGGAACCGCCCATCATGGCAACGTGGGCTCGGAATTCGACCGACGTGTTACGGCTAGTGAGCTGGTTGGGGACGTGTGAGATGTGGGCTCCCATTGAAGATGGAGGATAGGCGAGGGAAGTGCCGAATTGAATAGAGATACGCTCGATGGCATCTGTGTCGTCGGAGGTCCAAATTTGTGGGAACCAGTGAAGAATGCCTGGGTCGAAGCGACCACCTCCTGAAGCGCATCCTTCCCAAAGAACGTCAGGGAAACGGGTGGTCAAAGTCTCAAGAACGTGATACAGGCCTAGCATGTATTTGTAGTTGAGAGTTTGATCGGGGGTCTCGTGGATACCACGGTTGTTATCCCACTTGACGTATGAGATAGGTGACTCGCGCAAAATCTTGGAGACGGACTCAATAACAAATTCTTGAACTTCTGGCAGAGCAAGGTTGAGAACCAACTGCCAGCGTGTTTCGGTTCGGGGATAGTTTCCCGAGTGAATGGCCCAATCAGGGTGAGCGTCGTACAAGTCGGACTTGGGACTGACCATTTCAGGCTCGAACCAGATACCAAACTTGAGCTTTTCGGAGGAATTGGCAACTTCATACTGACCAACATCCTCAACAAGAGGAGTGAGTCCCTCAGGGAAGCGAGATTTGTCCGGTTGCCAATCACCAAGACCAAGCCTGTCGATAGTTCGAGCATACTTGTTACCGAACCAACCATCATCCATGACAAAAAGTTTGATACCAAGGTCAGCAGTTTCCTTGGCAATCTTGGTAATGGCAGTCTCATTGATATCAAACATCAAACCCTCCCAGCTGTTGAGAAGTGCAGGTCTGGTTTCTTCAGCAAACTTGCTCTTCATCAGGTGCTTCCTGTAAAGGCGATGGAACTGTCTCGACATGCCGCCTACACCCTTGCTCGAGAAGATGGACACCACTTCAGGGGTAGTGAATGTTTGACCAGGCTTGAGAGGCCACGAAAAGTCGATAGGGTTGACGCCGAGCAGAGCACGGGTGAGACCTTGGGAACTCTTCTCGACGTCCACTGCAAATGAACCGGTATATACGAGTGAGAAGCCCCAGGCTTCACCTTGCGATTCAGTGGTGTCGGGCGAAACGAGAGCCAGGAAGGGGTTGTGGAGATGCGAAGAGTACCCAGTTGAACTTTGGAAGCTGCGGTATCTGTTAGTATATTGGGCCATTGGAATGTTCAAACGGCTTACCCCTGGGTTCCATAGTCAACCTTGCGACGCACTCGCATACCCTCGCGGGACCAGTCACCACGAATCTCAATGAGATCCAAATCCTCTTGCCGAAAGTCAACACTCCAACTAGAAACCTTCTTCAGATTAATAGTCGTGTTTCCCTTGTTAGTAATATTCACGCTCCTGACAATGGCGTCGTATTTCGGAAAGATAGAATATGTCAAGTCCGCAGCAATAGAGCTGTAGTTGTCGTACATGTGCACAACAAGACTCGAAACATCGTCGGATTCTCCGAATGTGGCGGGAAGACCAGGTAACCCGGGCTTTCCCTGCACAAGGTCGTGAGACTTGTATCTAAAGTCGGTGACTGTAGTGCCGCTAGCTTGTTGGATCTGGAAAGCTGGGATTCGGAAGTCCCCTCTTCCATGGTCGGGGAATTCTCGTCGGACTCGACCGATGAGATTGACCCAGCCTTGAATGGGACCGACTTCTGCTGTGATGGTATCTTCTGCCACAGGACCGCCGTAGTGGTCGTTGATTAAGTCGCCTGTAGTGTTGTCGACGTGAAAACGGTATGAGACATTATCTCCATTGAGAGCGAAGGACGTCCCATCGACAACAATTGCTGCAATTATTAGCTTTGAAGGGTTTGAGGTTAAGAAACTTACGATCTGAACTCTGGGCTAGAGTGAGGGACTGGCTGAGCACCACCGCAGCCGCAGCAATACGCTTAGACGTAAGCATAACCATCTTGTCTCTTGTCTACCGTGAAAGGCTTGAACAAAGATGAAGAAAACCAAGTTCGAGTCGAGGGAACCCAAACTCTTAAATCATGCCCTCCTCCCATTGACCGAGATCAGCAAAAACTTAGTTGTAAGGTTAAATGCACACAGCAAGTAACATCGCGGTATGTCGGGCCGATCATTATTTGGAGAAAACTGGGCATTCTGTGGAGGAGACATGACTTTCGGTGACCTTTGACTCCCGAGCAATACTCCTTTCAGTCAAGATCGACACTTTTCGTGCGGAGGATCAGCCCAGATTCTCCAGGTTTGGAGTTTAGCCAGTGTTGGTCATGACGTCGTTCCGAGGCGCGCGAATGAGAACGATCAATTGATGAGGGGAAAGGTATCGTTGTATCTCCATTACAGTGCAAACGAGATGGAGGTGCATGAGAGAATTATTGGGAATATTCGATGTTCAGTCAAAGATCATGATCGAGACATTGACGTAGGTCTACAGCGGGTCAATGATCTTCCGTCGGATGTCCCGGATGGTTATTGGCCAATGGCTCCGAATAGGCAGTCGATGACAGCGTCTATCAGCTTGAGCACTTTGTGACCTGCCAAATCTTGATCCTGGTTCAATTCGGCCAACATGATCCTCAATAATGTAATTCTGCCTTTGCAGGACGAATCGAAACAATGGGATATACAAGTAGATGGTGGAAAGGTATCATCCATGAAGCCGTCCACCGATGTATCGCCAAACCCTAGCATTCTGCTCCCCTCTCTCTGTCATCCTCATATCCATCTCGATAAACCATACCTCCTAACATGTAACCACTCCTCCTCGGAATCTCATCCAGACTACTCGGATCTCGTCCCAAAAACAGGCAGTTTCGCCGAAGCTCTATCCAACACAGCTGAAGCAAAGAAACGCTACACCCCAGAAGATTTGTACCTTCGAGGATCCCAACTCTTGGCCACAAGCTACACTCAAGGTGTCTCAAGCTTGAGAGCCTTCGCCGAGATTGACCATGTCACGAAGCTGCAAACTCTCAAGACAGCAGTCGATCTGAGCAAGGAATTTGAAGGGTTCGTTGATCTGCAGATTTGTGCTTTTGCACAGGATCCCATCTTTTCGACTGAGCATGGCGATGAAAATCGAAAAGTTCTACAGAAAGCTCTGGATGAGCCTTATAGCGAGATCGAGGTTCTTGGAACAACGCCTTATGTGGAAGAGAATAAAGAAATGTCCAAGAAAAACATTCGGTGGGCGATTCAGATGGCCCGAAAATACGGTTTGCATCTGGACTTTCATATCGAGTTCAACTTAAATCAAGAGGGCGACGTTATGGAATACTTCAACTACATCATCGATCAACTTGTTGAAAGCGACTGGCCTACACATACCGACACCAAAACTGTCGTTCTTGGACACGCGACAAGATTAACACTGGCTTCCAATGAACAATTCGCGGCGCTCTCCCGTAGGATCCGAGAAACAGAATTGCCAATCTACTTTGTCGGACTGCCTACCAGCGATGTGTTCATGATGGGCAGGCCAGCTTCCGACCGTGTTGAAGAGCAGCCGAGACCACTTGATCGTCAATGTGGTACTCTGAATGTACCCAAGATGATCCAAGAGTACGGACTCAATGCCTGTCTGTCTGTGAACAATGTTGGCAATGCTTTTACTCCATATGGTACAGGAGACCCTCTGGGAGTAGCGAGTTTGGGGGTTGGGCTTTTTCATGCTGGTAGGATTGAGGATGCCAAACTGCTTTATGAAGCGGTCAGTACTCGTGCAGAGGAAGCGATCGGCCTTGAAGCTTATTCCTATGTTAGAGAGCGAAAGCCTTTACGATCTATGCTCTTGTTCAAAAACGAAGAGGATATGGAGATACAATCGCCACAAGGTAAGATGATAAAGGTTCCAGCTAGACCAAGGTTATCTATCAAGGACATTGTTTGGGATCCGCCAGAGACAAAGCTTAGAAGACTTATTCCTTAAAACGTGTATTATTTTATCGTGTACTACATAAATTATTAGTCTAATAACTACTTTGTCTCTTACGCCTTGCACAGCGCTCCATTTGATCTCTCCACCCAATCCTCCGACCCAACACAGGTGGGACAGTAAAATAAATGCGAAGGATCATACTTGTTCTTCGCATTCAAATGCTTGTCATACATACTCCCGTAAAAAGACTTCTTGTAGTCAGGATCATTACGGTCACCCTCATTCATATAACCGCCAGTGTTGGGAGCGAGCTTCTTAGCCGCAGCACCCTTGGTGAAAGTAACTGCGTCGTTGGCCGCCTTGCGTTCAGCGGGAGATGCAGTCTTGGAGATACTGGTGCTGGACACGATGACGTAGGACGACTTTCTCCACGCCGGGTGAAGACCACTAGATTTGTCGGCAGCATCCTGAAAGACTTGGCCGCCTGAAACGAAGAGAATCACGTTGGCGTCGAAGCCGTCGGGCTTGCCGCTCATGACTTCAACGGCATCTCGGACGTTGTCATATTTCTCAACACTCTCGCGATCAATGAGTCTTGAGGTGAGAATTGAAGTGTCACCAGTAGGGTCATATAATCCCGACTCGGCATCGTAGAACGACCAGTAATCAGAGTAAGTCGCCCAGCTCTCGTTCATGTAGAGCTTGTCCTTGTACTTGGCCAGGGCCTTGCGCACAGGAGCCCAACCAGCCTCAGCCTCCTTGCGGGTCTTTCCGATCGTCCAGAAACCATGTGTGTATCCAGAAGTGGCATTTCCGACAAAGACAGTGGGAAAGTTACGGAACCAGTATCCATACCCAGAAAAGCCAGCATCGTTGAGATCGGGAAGTTGCTGCAGAAGAACCGACACTGCGTCGAGAAGATCAGCGTTCTTCTCAGTCTTTTCCAAAGGAGCTACTTGGAAGTGATGAGCTGTGACTGTTTTGACATTGGGATGAGCTTTGACGGTGCTGCTCAGGGTAATGGCGTAACCTGGTCCACCACCGCGCATGGCACGGAAGAGGTCGGAGTTTTCGCAATGGTTGACGGTAATGACTTTACCATCAGCCAGCATAACTTCCGCCTCAAGGATTTGGTCAGCTCCGAGACCGTAGTTTCTTGTAGCTGGACCATGACCACCTCCTGATGCCCAACCACCGATAGCTCCAGGAGTGATAGAACCGCCACCGACAACGATGACATTGTTGGCTCGGGCTACTTTGTAGACGTCACGCCACTGGTAATTACCGTCGATCTTGACAGAACTTCCCTTCCAGCCAGACTTTTTGCAGCTGTTCTTAGCTTTGAAAGTCTTCTGGAAGTTGATGGCATTCTTGAACTGATGCAGCCAAAGCTCAAGACCGCCGAAACCGTCAGAGCGGCCGAGAAGGTCGTGACCTGTACCAGTAACAACAAGTCTCAAGTTCTTGGACTTGGCGTACTTGAGAGTACTCTTAATCTGATCTCGCGTAGTGGCGTTAATCGCGTAAACAGGCGATGATCCAAGAGTACATGTGGTTGCCTCTTGTCCAGCGTCGTAGTCAACCGGAGCACACGTGATATTGTATGGATAAGGTCTTCCGATCGGATCCGAGGATTGAAAGTCCTGATCCGACCACATCTTGGTCACATACGCGCATTGCTCCAAGTCCTCGGCAGGACCAGGGTAACACGGTTGAGCGATAGGCTCGGTTTTGATGAGATGACCATCAACCTGCTTATCAAAAGCCTTCCAATCTGAAACGGAAGGCCAGCATTTCTGCCCGGGTATCTAAAGGCGAGTCAGAATACAAAACGTGAAAAGTGACACTTTAAAGTGAAAAATGACGATCAGAATGAGAAGACATCAAACATACGCATTTACAGGAGGAGTCGCGCTTTGACGATTCCTTGGCCAGACTCCCGGCAGGAAGAAGAGCAAGAAAAGGGAAAAGCGTGCCGAGGTGCATCTTGTCAAGCGACGAATGAAGTTGCGTAGTTGCTTCTGCCGCGAGAAAAAGAAAAGAAGGAGTACGTTTTGGATAGAGAGGGATGCAGCTAAGTGGGTGGCCTCTTGATATTTTAATTTATACGAGTAACATTTCTCGTGGGGGCGACATTGTGCAACCAAGACGGATTCCGAGCATAAGAACTAGACTTGATCTTGCAGTAGCTAGAGACATTGAGGCAGGTCATCAATGCATCGGGAATCTCATCTCATCTACTGTTGGTGGCAGAAAATACAGAGACCTTGTTCACCGGAATTCGCTAGACAAGGAATTCATCTTTTCTTTCCTGCAAGACATGGGTATTTGCCCCTGCGTCAACGGTCAGAGACTCCATATCAGATGTAACCTTGGGTCTCTTCTCTGCTTCTCTACAAATTAAAAACGTCGCCAGTTCATGAGGAATGTGACATGTTATTAAAAAGTTTTTGTTTGCTTCATAATCAGGCCATGAATTGAAGGCCAGCAGTTGTTTGCCTTGTAAGATCGAGTTGGTGATGCTTGTTGGTTCTATTGTCGACCTGATCCGGATAGCGCCATCGCCTTTATCGACAGCTGACCTGAAGATCAGCCGCAAGCCTCTTATATCCGAAGAGTTGTTTGCTTCGATTTAAGGTGGCAATCAATACTCAATGCATTTGAACTCTGCGATTGACCTCAATTTAACGTGAAACATGATGTCGTCCGGTTATCTACGCCAAGAAATATCCCGACATGCTACAGACGGCAGGCAAGACTAGCCATCTTCATGATACAATAGAGTCCAGATCGTCACTATCCTTTCGGCCCGGAGCTAGACTTCCCGACTTGGGCAAAGACCCGCCGGGGAACAAAGTTAGCTCTTACATCCATTAAATCCTTTACATCCAAAATATGAGCTGTACCCGTTGGCTACAGGTAACGGTTAGTCTTGAATGGCTTGTCCAATCCAAAATTGATAAGATCTGCAGTGGCACATGCTGTGTCCTTATTCGTGGATAACCCTGGTACAAATCTGGAAAAAGCAAAAAAACGACGCCATGTAACGACTCCCTCAGTTGTCACTTTTGTTTGCCCCAGTCTCTTTGTTTGCGTGCTAGCATTGGTTTGCCTCTTGTCTGCAGTTGTTAATCTTGACCCTCTCAGAGCTGAAAACTGATTTCTTCTCTGCATATACATGGATATGCTTGATACCATCCGCGGCCCCATGTAATGTTTCTCCTATTGTTGGACGTCAATAGAAATTGCATCACTGTAGATATCAGCCACTGAGCTGTTCAAAGTGGAAACTGACCAGTTGCCACTCATGCTGTCCTCGTTTCTTTGTTCGTTGTTCCATCATGCGATTGGTGCTGCACTCGAAGTTTCGCACTGACGCTTTGCTTTTCACAATGGAGCCTTCCTTTTCTTTTAATAACGGTTGATATGATTTATCTTGCATATGTCTGCTGTTATATGAAGCCTGGGTGCTCCCAGTGCTGCATGATCCAAAGCCATTTCGCCAGGTTCCCCGGGCTCACGTCTCACCGCCATCATGTCTGCACCACAACCAGACCCCAACGCTCCGCTGTTTGGAGCAGCCAAAAACGTTGATCGATATGGGCTCGTCGTTATCATCTGGGTATGCTTCGCCATCGCTACCCTCTTTGTGTCACTACGTCTTTTCGTCCGATGGCACCAGAACCGTCGGTTCTTGGCGGATGATTGCTGGATTATCTGGGCTTGGCTATGTGCCTTGACCATGGCTATCGTACAAACAGAGCAGATGCATGCGATGTGGTACATGACGTACCTCCAAGCCGGTCGCATAGCGTTCGATCCGGAGGAGATGGTGAAGCAGCGGTACGAGTTGACCAAGTGGCAGTTTCCCATCATCAAGATGTTTTGGGTTATTCTTTGGTCTGTCAAAGCGAGTTTCCTGGCCATCTTTTATCGTCTTGTCAAGCCCTTTACTGTCATTCGAAGACTGTGGTACTTCGTTTGTTTCTTTACGGCTTCGGCCCTTATTGTCTGCGTCGTTTGCAGCGCACTTACATGCGACCCTCCGTCCGATTACTTCCATGGTAAGTGCTCTCAATTGAACACTCTCCTATCGTGACTATGACTAATATCTGTTGGTAGGCACCTGTGACTCCGATAAAGAAAACTGGCGACAGACCTTCAATATCATCTTCTCCACCACTGTCGACATCGCCAGCGATCTCATGATCATGGCCCTCCCGATCGCCGTCCTACCCTCCCTCCAACTTGACAGAAAGAAGAAGATCGGTCTCGGCATCGTTTTCTCCCTAGGTGTCATCATCATCGCCGTCGCCGTTATCCGTATGTCCCAAGTCATCGTCAAACAACAAGTCGACATCGTGGGCCTAGCAATCTGGGGTGCTGTCGAAACCGCCACTGCCCTCGTTGTCGGGTGTCTGCCAGCCCTCAAAGGCCTATTGTCGCGAAGCATCAAGAAGTACAAAACCTCACGAAGTGGACGATCTGATCCTACAGATTACAGTACCTCTGCCAATCGACGGGGCGTCGGCTCATCCTTGACACCGAAGGATATCACAGGGTCAGACTGTATACCATTGGATGATGTTGATAGGGTTGAGCATCTTGATGGAGGAATCTGCGTGCATAAGACGTTTGATCTTGCGACGGAAAGAGATGATACTTCTTCACGGGGTGAGGATGAAGAGATGGCTATTATTCGGGGGCCTTCCAAGAGGTAGTGTCCCATTGGACGGTAATGTGTAGCATAGACTTTATACCCTTGTTTTCTTTGTATTCGAGACTATTCAATTCATACTATTGAAGTAAACCTTTGCAGTGTGATTGACTACTTAAACTCCCTCCACTGCCTAACAACTTCGTACAGGCTATCATTATGACCAACATTTCCTGGGAAGACAACATAATTCAGCCCCGGCCATTTAGACTCCGGCTCATCGCATCGCCACATCGGAACACCAGGAGCAGCCTGCCCCACGATGAGAGCCCTCTTCATTCTCAACCCCTTAGTCGCCATATCAGACGACGTGATACCTCCCTTGGCAACAATGTATCTCGGCTTCTGCTCCAGGTTCTGAAGGAAAGAGACCAACGCCTTGGCTATTGTTGATCCAATGTCCAGGCTCTCCACCTCATCCTTTCCGACAATAAGCTCTCTGCTCGTCATAACCAACACGTCGTGGCCATTCTTGATCTTTTCAGATGCCAGTTCGATGGCGTTTGCGACGTCTTTCTTGGCCGAGTCATCGGACTTGAGTAGCTCCTTGACGTTGAGCGTAATCGTTGTTAGTTTGTCGCCTGACTTGGTAACCAGAGAGTCCAGCTGTGCAGTGGTCTTGGGGACGTATGATCCTGCAATGATCAGACCACCGACGTCCTTGGATAGACCCAACTGAGAAGCCGACAGAGGAGGTATGGACGAAATTCCGAGGCGTGATGAAACAAAAGCAGCACCTGTGCGGTATAAGAATTTCTTTCCCTGTTGAGAAGCCTTTAGCAGTGCTGTGATGACTACATCCATATCCTCATCGGCCGCGGCGTTAATGACCAGCACGACAGGTGTCTTCTTTCGCTTAGGCAGCTGCATAATCTTCTGGAAAACAGCATCCGGTCCTCCAACCCGAATAGTCTCGAGGTCAATAGAGTCGATATTGCTCTGTGGAATTTGGCCCTTAGACTTTTCCACAACATAATCCCGCAGATTGGAACTCTTATAGCCGAATGTAGCATCCTTGGCAAATGGTGTATCCGCAGCTGGGATCAGATGGTTGCCTTCATGAACGTAATGAATGTCGTTCATGGTGTAACGTCCACCTTGAAGAAAGAAAGGACATAGAATCCAGGCGTCAGAAGGTCCATTAACGTGTTCCACGGCTTCGGGCTCGAGAGGGAAATGACCTCTGAGGATAGAATCACCACGGAGCACAATCTCGTACGGAAGACCAACTTCTTGAGAGGCCGATTTCAGGTTGGTGCATATTTCAAGCATAAGATCACGTGCTTGAGGGGGATGGAGAGCGCGTGAGTTTGTGAGGATGAAGAAGCCATTGCCGGTTCCGACTTGTTTGAAGGCTGAGACGATGGTTGGGACATCCCATACGGTGAGAATCGTGATATCGTGACAGGTTTGGGTACCAGTTGGGTCGTCGTCAAGGATAACTAGCACAGGAGCTGGTGATGATTTGTCCTGAATGGTGGTTTTTGTTTGGGTGCGGAGTTGCTTGTGGGAGGCAGGGACTGGAGGTAACGCTGAGAGAGCCTCGCTCAAGTTGATAACGCCGTCTTGTACCATGTTGCCTGATGAATTGAATTGGCTTGTTTAAAGTGTGTAGGACCACTGGCTATAACAGCATTGGTTGATGTTTATAGGTAGCAATGAAGGTTGAAGTTGTCTTCCGATACTCCAGTTTAGGGTAGCCGCTTCTTGACGGGGTTGCTAGCCGACACCCTTAACCGCCCCGAGTCCATCGGTCTTCCCGCCTATTGGTTGGATCGAAGCACCAATTCCGACATCTAGTGGTCGTTTCTCGGACTTCCAACGTCGATGCTGTTGAGAATATGACATTATCGTGAGCAGGCGTTCGCATGCAATCATCAATGTCACAGAGATGAGAGGTTACTTGGGTTGTTAACAGTATCTCACGCGATCAAGTTCTCTCGACTATGAGCAGCGCGTGTCGGGATTAGAGGCCGAATTGGAGTATTTTAGCGAAAGTGCCTGCCGGGGGAACATACGCCGAGAGGAGAGTCGGGTTGGCATTGAAGTACCAACAACCATCAGAACACCTCGACTGTTCTTCAACCAAGTTCACGTAGACACCATCAATTTATTTCACAACAAAAATGAAGCATCGACACTCTTTCACATGCAAAACCGTTAGGAACCCCACAGCCAAGCAGAGTACTCATCTGCATAGAGACTGACTCGCGATGAGAGAACGCCCGGACTAATATGGATCCCGTGCCACCTCCGCATTTCTCCAGCCATCGATCTTTGCCTTGTCTGTCTTAGCGAATGCGCGCTGACTAAATTCCCCGCGTCGTTGGTTTGCGCAACTTGAACATGCAACTTTTGACGATCCATACAGGAGAACGTGATAACAAACCAACATGTCCAAACGGAACGGAAGCATAGCTGTGTCGGAGTCGGATAGAAATGAGGTATACATGAACTCCAGTCAGATGAGGTATAACAAGGACTAACAGAAGCAGCATCCTAAACGGGTCGCGATAGCTTCAAATACCGATCAACCTGTTGCTCATATCTCGAGACACATCAGGGCGTGCACGACATGTCGCAAACACAAGGTACTATCATCCACTGACTCTACTACGCGACAATGCTAACGCGCTCAGATCAAATGCTACATGGACGATGCCGGTCCTCCATGTCGAAGATGTAAAGAAAAGAAGCTCAGCAACTGCACAGTCAGTAAGAACCTGCAGACAATCATCGACGAGAAGACAGAGTAAGCACGGCCATTTCTATAACTACCATCGCGCTCATGGATCTAGACTCTCTGAAGCCATGCTGTCGGACCTGGATCAGATGTACTCAGCAGTAAAGGAAATGAGAAGTATAATGGGTCTTCCAGAACTTCCACCCTTACAAGTCGCGCGTCTGAACAAAAGAAAAGATACACCAGGAACACAGGTACTGGAAAATGGTACAAGCCAATTAATCGAGGATAATTACGGCCCTTCATGCGACAACTCACCAAAACTCACACCAGAAGACGATCGATTACCACATGCGCCTATTCACTCTCTGTACACCCTGACTCGAATGAGGGCTCTACGATCACCTGGAAGTGGGAATGAAAACTCAGGCGCGGTCATCAACGACTTCATCTCTCAAGGAGCAATTACTCTATCTGATGCCGAACGGCTCTTTGCTGTTTACAAAGACCGACTTGATGGGTTTATCTACTCTATCGGATGTCCTTACAAAACCCTCGATCAACTTCGTCGCAAGTCCTCTATACTATGCGCCGCGACTCTTACCATCGCAGCTCTTCATGATCCGGCCGCGGATAAAGTCTATGGCGTGTGTAATTCCGAGTTGCGTCGCCTGACTGAAAAGTCGATGCTTCAACGTCAAGGCGATAGAGATTACTTCCGAGCTCTCGCCATAGCATCGTACTGGCTGAGCGATCTATCCTGGACATTGTCTGGTCATGCAATCCGTCGTGCAGCAGAATGCAACATTCATAATAGTTACAACCTCGCGATAAGGGACCAATCTGAAGAGGCTATGGACTCTGCGCGAATTTGGTCAATCCTGTACATTTGCGACCAGCATCTTGCTATTTTGTACGATAGGCCAGCGATTATACAGGACGACTGGCTTACACAGGATTGGGAGGGCATTCTGAACTGTCCTTTGGCCACTGATCAAGATGAGAGGCTCATGAGTCAGGTAGAGCTTATGGGGATACTAAGGAACATCCGACGGTTGTTTGGTCCTGACAAGGGCGAGGAAGTGCCGAGACTTTATCTCAGTCAAATAGGTCATTATCATCGACAGTTGGATCAATGGATTGCGAAATGGACTGCTAGACTACCAGGTATGTTATCTAACATTGAAGTTGGGCTCGGCTAACAGATTACAGAGGGACATCCCGGAATAGGAGCCTTCCCTCGCAAAGGCGCGCTCTTCCACTTCCACCTCGCTCAACTTTATCTCTACTCTCATGTCTTCCGAGGACAATCAAATACAATACCCGGCCACTTCCTCGACACAGCCTCAATGGCCGTTACTTCAGCATCAGCCATCATCGACATTCTCCTCACCGATCCAGACCTCTCAACAAGCATCGTCGGAATCCCATCATATCTCCTCTCCATGACAGCATTCGCAGCCATGTTCCTAGCCAAAGTGTCTCATAAATATGGTCAAGACTTCTTTAGACGTGAACAGGCTCTTGATCAGATCACGCGGTTAATCCGTCATTTCCGTTCTTTGTCAATGGGCAAATGGCACCTAGCTAATCTCATGATTCGTGGTCTTGAAACTGTGACGAGTTTACTTACTCCCCAAGGGACTGATAAAATTCCACCGCAGAACGCAGTCCGAATGTTGCCCGAGAATGCGAATGGGAATGGGAATGGTATGGATATGTATGGCAATGGGAGTGACATCTTCTCTGCTATGGATGGTACTACGATGGCGACCTGGGATACGCACTTTGGTCTATCGCCAATATTTGGATTTGATCCGTCTCTCTTGGATGTTGATGGATACATGCAGTCAATGGCCATTTTTCCGAACCCAGAGTGAAATTGGAATATTGGTATTCATCTGTACTTAAACATTTCTAATTCTATTTCACATACCACCTTGCACACCTCTTGCTTTATATGCGCTCTCGAGATACTCCAACTCTTCAGGAGTAAACCTGATCTTCAAAGCATCAACAGCCTCAACAACTCTCTTCTCAGAATTCAAACCCAAAATGGGCCAGCACCCCTTCTGCAATACCCAAGCCGTAGAAACAAGTGCCATGCTAACACCCTTATCCTTAGCAACCTTCTCCACACGATTCACGATATCCAGATTGGCATCCGCAAACCAAGTGTCAGTCTTCTTGTCGTTCTGACTACGTATTGATTTGTTCTCCTCTGTGGTAGACAAGGGCTTGGCGAGAAGACCTCGGGCGATGGGACTCCAGGGGATGACACCGACACCGGTGGCTTCACAGAAGGGGATCATTTCGCGCTCCTCTTCGCGGTAGAGGAGGTTGTAGAAGGGTTGCATGGAGGTGAACTTTGTCCAGCCCTTGGACTCGGCGATGTATTGCATGCGGGCGAATTCCCAGGTGTACATTGATGAGGCACCGATGTAACGGACCTTGCCGGATTGAACAACTTCGTGCAGAGCGCGCATGATCTCCTCGGGTGGTGTTTCACGGTCAAGACGGTGAATTTGGAGGACGTCTGCGGTAGTTAGAATTGTCATAGTTGACGGAAGTGAGGCACATACCAATGTAGTCAGTTCCAAGTCTCTCCAAGCACTTATCAACAGCATGGAAGATATGCTTCCTGCTCAGACCCATCTGATTCACAAGAGCACCATCGTTGACACTGGGAGGTCTTGTGCCATCGTCCATAACAGGGTTGTAAATCTTTGACAGAATAACAACCTTCTGTCGGGGAATGTTGAACTTCTTGAGAGCCTTGCCAATAATGACTTCTGATTCACCGTTGGAGTAAGTGTCGGCAGTATCCCAAGTGTTGATGCCGTTGTCGTAAGCGGCCTTGAGAAGCTTCAGACCATCCTCTTCATCGAGAACCCAAGGTGAGCCTTGCCATTTGCTTGAACCAAAGGACATGCAACCCAAGATGATCTTGGAGATCTTCAGGCCCGTGTTGCCGAGTCTAAGATGTTAGAAGAGTCTCTCAGGTAGGGTGGTAGGTATCTTACCTGACATATTCCATTTTGTCCATCTTGAAGTATTGTGTAAGACTTGTTTACTAAGTTGAACTTCAGACAATCGAAGCCAAAGAATTGGTATTAATATTCCTCTAGTTATCTTGATGTCCCCGCCCCCGCTGATATCACCGAGTATGTCCTCTTCCCCGCATTCTGTTCAACCTGTTCTCCGTGCCATTGTGGCATCGGCCATCCTCCCAATTGGCCAATGGCCTTTTTAAAGTGGAATTTCTCATCGGAGCCATTTCCGCCGAAATCGTGGGGAAGGAATTGCTTGGAGTTGATGTTTTAAACACCAAAGACCAGCTACCGTGGAGTAATCAGTAGATCACACAGCAATCATCATGGCACCAAACCTTCAAACTATTTCCCTACCTTCAGCGACAGTTCAGTCGCACGCCTCAAACCTACTACAACTCCCAGACAAGACCGTGCTATGTACATGGTTTGGCGGTTCCCAAGAAGGCCTTCCAGATATTTGCATCTGGTTGTCTCGTCTTGAGCCCGAAGCTTCATCTTGGAGTACACCTCAAAAGATATCTTCTGATGAGAACAGAAGTTGCCAAAACCCCGTCTTGTTCAGAGCACCGCATAAGGGGGAGTTGTGGTTGTTGCACACTTCTCAGGATGCTGGCAACCAAGATGGAGCTTATATCCTGAAGCGTACATCTTCGGACGAAGGCCGCACGTGGTCCGAAGCTAGTCGTCTACTCAAGGATGTGACGGGTATCTTTATCAGACAGCCTATTGTTGTCAATGATGAGGGTACTTGGATTCTGCCAGTCTTTTACTGTCGCACCGAACCTGGCCATAGATGGATCGGCAGTGATGACATCTCCGGCGTTCTTTACTCCCAAGACAATGGTGCGACGTGGAAAGAGAAGCAAGCACCAGACAGTGTTGGATCTGTCCATATGAACATCCTCCCTCAAACTCCTGGCCAGTCCAATTGGGTTGCATTTTACCGCAGTCGATGGGCAGACAACGTCTACCGTTCAACATCCACCAACGGCATAGACTGGGAAGAGCCAAAAGCCACATCCCTCCCCAACCCCAACAGCGGAATCTGCGCCGCGCGTCTCTCCTCAGGAAACGTAGCCCTAGTCTTCAACAGGTCCAATGCATCAGCAGATACCCTCAAGCGTCAAGGTCTATACGACGATATCACGCCTGAAGATGACAAGCGACCTAACCAGGTTACCAAAACTGGTAAGGACGCTATTTGGGGAACACCGAGAAAGACCTTGACGCTTGCGATCTCGCAGGATGAGGGTTTGACTTGGAATGAGCGTGTGCTCGAGGATGGCGATGGCTTCTGTGGGACGAATAGTTCTTCGGGACAAGAGAATAGGGAGTTGAGTTATCCTAGTATTTATGTCGAGAAGGCTAGTGAGGGAGATGTAGCACACGTGGCGTATACTTGGCACCGACAGCATATCAAGTACGTTAGGATAAATGATGTTGAGGGATGGGTTAAGCAGGGTTAGAGGCATAAGTAGCGTACAAGAGAAATATTCCAATTTGTTGAACCATTTTTATTACATCATTGCATTCATTCCCATAAAGCAAATAGTTTTGGGAAAACCGAATTTTAACTTTGTGCACGGTATCGAGGTACACCCACAGATTCAAAGTTGCGTATCTACTCTCTCGATTGGGCGTCCAGTGGCAACACTAATTGGAGTTTTCTTCCCAAGACCTTTTTCTCTGTGTCATTATTTAATAAGCAAAATTTGTCAAAATCCTCATTGAACAAGAACTAATCAATATTGTTCTCTCTTGTCTAATTGATAGTGTAATACCCTACACTACTTCGGTGTCTTGTCTTTGCTATTCTGGTGAGCATCTGCTTATGCTCGGTGTAATGGCCGGAATCATACCCACAGTGGATACATTGACCAATAGGCACAATCACCGTCGGGCGCCAACTGGCCGAGGACGCCTGTAGAGGAGCCCCAAAAAACGGACCGACAGTGGATGGGTAGTGCTTCCGACGCTATCGGCTCCGCTGTAAGCTCAACACCAAGCGTTCCAATAATTGGCATAAAAGTGAGGCCTATCAACGGCTTCCAATATCACAAGAGGAACAAGCCATTCACATCATTTAACAATTATTTGAGTTCATATCAACTCTTTCATCATCAAGGTTAATTATCAATCATTTATAATGACACAAACAAAAGACAACATTCTCATTACTGGAGGTGGTGGCTTCATCGGCCAGGAACTTATAACCGCCCTGCTCACACAAACCCCTAACGCCAACTTCACCCTGAGCGATATAATCACTCCTTCCATCCCCAAAGGCGCGGAATCACGAGTCACTTCCTTGAAAGCAGACCTCACAGACTCCTCATCGGTCAAATCTCTCCTCTCCAATCGCTTCACCCACGTCTACATCCTCCATGGCCTGATGTCCGGTGGCGCAGAGGCCAATCTTGACTTGGGCCTGAAGATCAATGTGGACTCTGTGCGCACAATCCTTGACATCTTGAGAGTTGAACATCCTGGCACAAAGGTCATCTTCGCCAGCTCCTGTGCTATCTATGGCAAGACGGACGTTGTTACCGAGTTTGGTACTTTGCCTCAACCGAAGAGTTCGTATGGAATTCAGAAGTTGATGGTTGAGCTTCTGATCAATGACTATTCTCGACGAGGCCACTTGGACGGCAGGATCGTTAGGCTGCCCACCGTTATCGTTAGACCGGGTGCACCCTCCGCTGCTGCATCAAGCTTTGCATCAGGCATTGTTCGCGAGTCACTACAAGGTGTGAAGAATATTCTTCCTGTTAGCAGGGACTTGGAACTTTGGGTCTGCAGCCCCGCAACGGTTATCAAGAACCTGATTAAGATCAAGGATGTTCCTGGTGAGCAGTTCGGATCGTCGAGGATCGTTAACCTGCCTGGTATTACTGTCACAGTGCAAGAGATCCTTGACGCGTTGAAGGAAGTTGGTGGGGAAGAAGCCCTGGCACAGATCGAGGAGAAGAATGATCCTGCTATCGAGGCAATTGTGGCCAGTTGGCCGGCTAGATTCGATGTGTCACGAGGTTATGGGTTGGGTCTAGATGCTGATGGGACGGTGCTAGATGCTGTTAAGGCCTTCAAAGCTAAGATTAGCCAAGCCTAGTTTGTAGTGTGTATAGAATTTGAGAGTAGCGCATTTGCATTGGTACATATCTTTGACCTGTCCACTGTGCTCGTGTCCCATCCTAGCGCTGGTATGTAGTAGCCATTCACGATACTAAGCTGCCAGTATTACCATTGGAGCGTGGACATATGTGGTCTCAACGGTGACACATCTGAAGTTCAAAGACTTCGCGGTACGAGATACTCGAATGTTGCATGGCCAAGTCAATGTGGTATAGATGAGTCATGTTTATTATTGAAGAATGATTGAATCTATCGCTTTAAACTCCTATACAACGTTCCCTTACAGCTTAGACACGAAACGCCCCCTCAAATTGCTCAAGTCATCGCGCACCACCAGACGATCCACATCTAGCGAGTTCACCAACCTTGGCCTAGCCTCACTAAGTGAAGTGATTCCACATAGACGCATTGATGTCTCAAGCTCGTCCTTAAGAACTGGTGATGGTTAGAAGATAGTCTAGAGAAAACAGAGAGGAACTTACTGTGACAAAGATGCTCAGCACCCTCCTGGCCGTGGACAAGAGAGTATAAGAAGGGACGTCCAATTCCGACAGCTGTAGCTCCGAGGCAGATGGCTTTGAGGATATCGGAGCCACGCTCGAAACCGCCATCGATGTAGACTTCGAGCTTGTCAAAGATCCATGGGCAGTTCTTTCTTAGCTCCAGAAGAACCAAGATACTTGCTTGTGCGCTAAAGAATTGTTAGTCGGGTCATGACTTATTTGAAGGATGGCTTACCCATCAAGTGATCGTCCACCGTGGTTACTCAAGAGAACGCCCTCAACTCCATACTCAGCGGCCTTGACAACGTCCTCGGCAGTTTGAACTCCCTTCAAAACAATCGGCAAACCACCACTGGCCTCACGAATCCAACCCAAGTCATCCCAATTCAGCGCTTTGTCGATATACTGCGCCATCAGACGTCCGAAGCCACTTCCCTTCTTGTCCTTACTGCTTTCGCCGCCACTTATAGCCGACTTGACAGTTTGCTCCTGTGCGGCTCTCTCATCTGCTTCTCGCTTGCCAGGAACTGGCGCGTCGACTGTCACGAAGATGGCCTTGACGCCAAGTCCACTGACTGTCTTCAATAGCTCAACCGTCTTTTCGTGGTCGGAATTGACGTAAAGCTGGAAGAAGAAAGGTTGTGAAGATGGAGCAGCATTGACGATGGATTTTAATGAGAAGGAAGCGTTGCTGGAGATGCATTGGATGATGCCTTCGTTAGCTGCAGCGCGACTAAGAGCTAGCTCGCCGTCAGGGTGCGCAAGTCGCGCCATAGCAGCTGGGGAGATAAAGAATGGTGCTTGGCTATTGAGACCAAGGATGTTGGTCTTGAAATCAATATTGGTGACATTCCTCAAGATTCTGGGTCTGATCATAAGTCTTCGGACCAATTCTTTATTCTTGCCATGTGTAATAAGGTCTGTCGCTGCAGACGAATAAAATGCCCATGTCTTGGCAGACAGCGCATCTCGTGCGGCATCCTCGAAATCTCTAGCGCTAAGAATCGCGTCAAGAGGAGGAATTGCTTTTGTCTTTTGTGGTGTTGGGAATTCGTTCGTTTGTGTTGGTGATGTTGGTGGCGGTACAGGATCAGCTTCGATGGTCTTAAGCTCTGGCTGGACAGGTTGTGACGAGGCCTCTAGAAACCCAATTAATTTGTCGCTAGGAAGGTCTTCGATGATATCGGGCGCGTGAACATCGTTGTAGATCTCTGTGGCATCAGAACCAGCCGAGTTCAGGAGAACTGTCCATCATGGTTAGTCTTCAAACGTTTCTCGAATCATGGGCACTTACCATCTGGGCCACCAGGATGCTGATTAATAAAATGTGTAATATCCCAAACCTTGGAGTGAATAGCAATCCAACAGTCATCTGCAGTGTTGTGCTGCTTCACCTCTTCCAACGACACTGTTCTGGGCTCAATTGAAGTTTCCATGATAGCCAATTGCACAATGCTCTTTGGTCAATGTTTGAAGCAACAAAACAAAACAAAACAAAACATACAAAAGAATAGATAGAGCTAAACCGAGGTCCAAAATAGCTAATCTCGGAGATTGAATTAGACCCCAGATTCTCATACCATAGGTCGTTTTGCCTTCCGGGGCCACCGAGTCTCGGCCTGGAGTCACGGACAACCTTCCTATTGGCCAAGACCCGTCGATCGGAGATATCTCCGGGTTTTCGGCCGCCTCACGAAGTTGGAGATAGAGCGGGGATCAACTATCACTATCACAGCATAAAACAACACCGTTAGTCTACTATCTTAGTATCATCATACTATCCAAAGCATCAAGTCACAATGGAACGCAGCACTATCCAAGCCAAGTCAAACCCCCTCCCTCGGGGAGTCTACACTCCTGTCGTCACCCTCTACAAGGCAGACGACCCCAGTCAGCAAGTAGACCATGAAGCAATGCAAACACAGTGTCAAGCCCTCATTAAGGCTGGTATGCATGGTCTCGTCTACCTGGGAACCAATGGCGAGCTAGTCCTTCTTTCACGGGAAGAGCGCAAGGCCATCATCAAAACGGCTGCTCAGGCTGCAGCTGCAGTTGGTGGGAAAGACTACCCCATTGTGGCAGGCATTTCAGCACAGTCCACTCAAGAGTCAATCCAAAACGCCAAAGACGCAGCCGAGGCGGGCGCTGGGTTCGGTCTGCTTCTCCCTCCCAGTTACTGGGCCAAGGCACTACCTAGTTCCGCAATTGTCGCCTACTTCAAGGAGGTGGCGGCGGCTTCACCGATTCCCATCGTTATCTACAACTTCCCTGCAGTCACATCAGGGATTGATCTGGACTCTGATCAACTAGCCACCCTTGCCGCTGAGCCCAATATCGTAGCGGTCAAGCTCACGTGCGGAAACGTCGGCAAGGTCACTAGATTAACAGCGCTCTTCTCCCACGAGCAATTTGGCGTTTACGGAGGAAGTAGTGATTATCTTCTACCCACCCTTGCTGGTGGCGGAAGTGGTTGCGTGACGGGAATGGGTAACATCTTCCCCGCCAGTACAGCAGGAGTGTACGATCTGTGGAAGGCCGGACAGAATGACGAGGCATACAAGCTTCAGGGTCTGGTGGCACATGCTGAGTGGGCCTGTAAGAAGGGTATCTCCAACACGAAATATGGAGCGTGGTACTTCTTTGGTAAAGATATTGGTGTGGATAATGAGAGCTCGTGGCAGATGAGAAGACCATACCAGGGTTTGGATGATAAGGCCAAGGAGTGGACTGTTAGGACACTGGGTGTCCTTGCTCAAACTGAGAAGCAGAGAAGTAAGAGATAGATTAACTAGAAATATTTACAAGCTATTGGTTAATTCTGTTCATTAATTTGAGTCTTGTCGCCCTAAACCTCTTTGTCTTGGCCATCGCATAACCTACTAGACCACGTTGTGGCCCGGGATACGAGTTGTGTTCACGGATCACATTACCGTATGAGCAACTTTTATTCATCGTACCATGACATGCATGCGCAACTATGTTAATGATGCAACTCGGGCATATCGCCGTCAATTCATGATGCTATCCCTATGCATCTCATGAACTGTTCCAGGGAATATCAGCGACGCGATTGAATGATTAACGATGCACATCTCGGTCATCTCTCCTACTGGTCAGAACCAGCATGACTCGAGGCCCCAGACCTAGACTCCAAACCTTCGTCTAGTGCAAGACAAGCTTCCCTGGTCCAGGAGGATCCTTCCCCAGATTCGTTACCCCATACCCCGCATTGCATTGACCGGGCGGCTCTACATAAAATAAAGATCCTTCTACCCCAGATCTTCTCATCTCATTCAATCCAGGGATCTGATTCCAATCAAGTCATTGAGTCAAAAGTCAACACCAAGATTGTTCCAATGGCTCCTCACAGCAACTCGCTCTCGGATGAGAAGGATGTTGAGGCTAAGGCTTCTCATCTCGACATGGTTACCAACAATGGTATCTCTGCTGAAGATCTCGAATTTGTGGCCAACTTCCCTGAGGAGAAAAAGAAGAAGGTCTTGGCAAAGATTGATGTATGTACAATTTCTAGTGTTTCCAAGTTTGTACTGACTTTTGCAGTGGCGACTCATGCCTATGTTGGCTATTCTCTACCTCGTCACATACATCGACAAAGCGAATATCGGAAATGCAAAGATCGAGGGAATGCTGCCTGATCTCAAGATGAACGGAGAACAATATAACATTGCTCTTTCCATCTACTTTATCCCTTGTAAGTTGATACCTCAGCCCTAGCAAAAGAATAAGCTGACATGACTAGACATTCTCGCCGAGGTCCCTAGCAACATGGTTCTCAACAAATTCGCCAAGCCTTCTCAGTACATGGCTACTATCATGTTCATCTGGGGTATCGTCGTTGTCTGCACTGGTCTGATCCACAACTTTGGTCAGCTCTGCGCTATCCGAATTCTTCTTGGTCTTTTCGAGTAAGCTCCACAATCTCGTTTTAATTGCATCCTGCTAACCGAGTGTTCAGGGCCGGCTTCTTCCCGGGTGCTATCCTCATCATCTCGAAATGGTACCTCCCTCACGAGACCCAAACCCGAGTCGCCCTCCTCTACACATCCGCAGCCACAGGCGGTGCCTTTTCCGGCCTCTTCGCGTACGCGATCGCCAAGATGGACGGCGTCGGCGGCCAGGCCGGTTGGAGATGGATCTTCTTCATCGAAGGAATCTTCACCATCGTCATGTCCTTCGTCACATGGTTCCTCCTCATCGATTCGCCCACTCTCTCATACTGGCTTACCGACGAAGAGAAGCGATACCTCACCCTCCGCCAGGCTTCACGAAGAGTTACCAACTCTGGCGAATACCGCGAGAAGACTTTCGACAAGGGTGCTCTGTTTGCTGTCCTCAAGGACTGGAAGGTTTATCTTCTTACCATCATGTCTTGGTCCAACGCTGCTCCCAACTACGGTCTCAAGTTCTCTATGCCTTCTATCACCAAGGGTATGGGTTTCTCGTCTAGCAACGCTCAGCTCATGACTATCCCTCCTTATATGTGCGGAGCTATCTCTTCCTACCTCATCGCTCGAACTGCCGACCGCTGCAAGTGGAGAATGCCCTTCATCATCGGACCTCAACTCTGTATCATTGTCGCGTTCTCTATTTTGATGACCAAGGCCGAGTTCATCACTGAGAACCTTGGAGTTTGTTACTTTGCAGTCTGTCTCGCCTGTTCAGGCATGTACCCTATTCTTCCCGGTGTCAGCGCCTGGAACATCGACAACACCCTCAACCCCACGAAGCGAGCCATCAGTATCGGATATCTGACCTGCGCTGGTACGATCGGTGGTATTTATGGAAGCTACATCTATATCGAGAGCGAGAAGCCCAAGTACACCACTGGGTATGGAGCGTCTCTGGGCTTTGCCGTTGCTGGTATTCTGGCGGCTGCCACGCTCGAGTCTGCCTTGGTGATGATTAACAAGAAGAGGGCCAAGCTGAGCGAGACTGAGATTCGGAGCCAGTATACCGAGGATCAGCTTGAGGACATGGGCGAACACAGCCCTCTCTACCGGTACAAGCTGTAAATGCTCTAAGGAGATTGGGTTTGGAGGTTATCTAGTCTGACGTTGTAATGAATTACTGAACTTTTTGCGTATATTTCTGTACAGATTTTGAACCAGTGTGATTTTTATTGTTAGTGAAAATATTCCAATGTGTAAGGTCCCGTCCTAACGAACGTGTCTCGTGCCACTGTGCTCTGGGTCCTGTTCCTGCTTACCAACGCTCACTCGGGACAATGATGGGGAGACTATTTTTGTTTACCAAGACGCTAGTTTTGTTCATCGTTGAGCTAACTTAGATTAATATGTGCAGGAAGGGTATCGTTGCCGCCACTTAAATGCCCACTACCAGAGCCTACTGCGGCCGGAGAGCAGTCTTCTCAGAATCACTCCACCTCCCCTGAATATACTGCCTGACTGTCTGCCCCCAAAAAGCCGCAGGAACAGCCATAGCTCCTAAAACAGTGGTCAAAACAGAAATAAGAACAGTCGGCTCCAGGATATTGTCTTGTTCCACCCAAGGCGATATAATAGTCCCAATTCCGAACCCGGTCATATTACTCGTGAATAGATGCACAGCTATAGCTGCTGCTGCCCATTTAGGAAACGCCTCCGTGATCCAGAGTGTAAATGCGACGCTACCTGTCAAGTAGCTAATTAAGCTCAGCGCAGAGGTGATATAAATCCAAGATGAGGACCAGCCTTGCATTATTGTAAGACCATTGATTAGAACGCTGATAAGTCCTGTAACAACAGGAATGGCGAACAGAGCGAGATAAACTTCGGCATGACGAACACCGCCTCTCCTGAAGGTGTAGTAACGGAGGAACCATGTAGCAAGAGGTCCCGAAGCTGGAATAGCCAATATTGAACCAATGAGGCCCGAGAGTTGAAGGAACGCATTGACTGTTCTCTCATCTTTGTCTCCTCCTTCTGACATGATGGCAGAGAGCTGTGTGAGATTCAAGAAGAGAACGCCGCTAAGCATTGCTCCTGAGAGCAATGATACCCAAAAGGTAAGCGGGTTCAGAAGACACAAGCCCATCTGTGCGTATGTGGCCACCCATGACTCCCAACTCGTTTCTCGTGCCTTCTTGACTTTGAAGTGGGACCAGAAGGATTTGGTTGATGGGATGTCAGGAAGAGGTTTTCCATTTTGAGCTTCCAACTCGTCCCAACCGCCGTAGATCTGCACTTTTTCAGAACTGCTCTGTACAAGAACCCTTCCGTCAAGCGCAACAGGTGGCCGAAGGAAGTAGGTTTCTGGTATGAAGACTATGGCCAGGAAAAGTGCCACCAAACATGGCCCAAACCAGACTTGATATACGCTTCGCCATGTAAACTCCAAGTCTGTGGTGTATGGCAATACCAAGGTGTATAGCTTCATGAAGCAACAATCGAGGCACCAGAATAGTGTAAGGACGGTCGGACGTTCGTGGATAAAGCTCGCATCGATTAAAATTAGAACGATCTAGAAGTTGTCAGTACTTGTGCAAATTGTCCCATGTGTGACGCATACCATGCCAGTAACGAATCCAGCTGCCAGCGCCTGAAAGCTGACCGAGACCAGCAACTCAGCAAATGTTCCAGCAAGGCCAGCCCATAGTATCGAGAGACATGTAATTACAGCTGCAATTACTACAATAGGACGTCGACCAAGTGCTTTGGACAAAGGAATGCCGATTAGAATGCCCAAGCCATGGAATAGGGTCATTGCCGAAGATAACGACTCGACGCCAAACGGGCTCGCAGCCTGTACATGTTAATGATGTTACACACAGGTCTGGGTCACCATACCTTTTCATTAAACTCATATCGAATCGCCCTGATCAATAGACCAGGAAGGTTCAGCGCAAAAGACGAGGTGATGGAGACTGTCAACAGAGCCCAAAAAGCAAGAAGTCTTTTCGTCCATGACCATGTAAGTGGATCACGATGCGATCTGCTGGGAATAGGTAATCTAAGAACACGACCAGTGGAAGAGACAAAGAAAACACTGCCAGCAGTGGGGAGCGATTCGCGCTTGGTGTTTAAGGAAGATGACATTATGTAAAGAAAATAAAGTCGTTACCGACTAGAGAAAGAAAAATAAAAACATAAAAAATGATTGACAGAGAGCCTGCTGTGCTGCATGTCGCCGAGATGGGGAAGATTGAAGGTTTATCTATGCATATTTCGTCAATCATCCACAGGGTTGAAGAAGATCAAAAGTTTCGCGACTGTTCCTGCTAAGCTCAAACTGGGTGATATCTCCAGAGGGGATGCAGCCCAACAATTAGCCTGTGGGTTTGTTTGAGGATTGAACTTTTTATTGGCGGTGTTCCTTGTCGGTCTTGGCTCGAAATCGCCTAGACTCATGTTTTTCTGGGTACCGAAACAAGGGGCTCATGTTGACTGGGATAACATCGTTTCGAGTCCAATATCAGACATGGAATGTTTTAGAGTACATGCCAACAATGTGTTGGGCGGGATGAATAGGTTGTAGAAACCTTTTCGGTCGAAGGGTGCTGTAGAGTCTCAATTACCAAGACCGCTAAGAACGGATGCCAGCCGATGGTCAGACCAGACGGCAACGAGACACTTCAAAGTATCAACTAGGCATTTGACTTTTGACAGACCAATGGATTGGAAAGACTGGAGGGAAAGGTACCCTTGAAGATTCCGACTGCCGAAGCCACCTCGTTGGCTTGGTTCGTACAATGTAACTTTAAATTTATCGGTCACTAGCCGAATTAATTAAAACAGGGCTGAGGCACACGCGCATCGTAGGTCATCTGATTGTCTGCGGAACCTGACATGACGATATCTTTCGACAAAGATGGACTTTGGAAGAACTTGTATCTAGGATTCAGAGATCAACCGAAGGAAAAAAAAACATAATAAGAATTAACAGGGTGTATAAGAGAAAACTCTCCACAAGACACATGTCGTTAGATCGCTATAGACCCAGCTGGCATGACCAAAGTGAGTCCAAGCACTGATTGAGATGCCGAGCCCATGGTTAAGCATGATCGGTAATCGGATAGCGAGTTTCGCAACATCACTGACAGCTTCCAATGACAACTGCCGAATATGATTTAAATAGCCCAAAAGGTTAGGTATAAGCGATGATGTGCAATCATCCCGTGTTGCTTCGCACGCCAATCGGTATTAGGTGGGACTTTTGTAACATGGTTGCATAAAATGCTACGCAACCGTAAAGCAAAACGAGTGGGCCATGTTGAAGGCCAGAACTTTCTGTCCGGGGCGCTGTACGCCTTTGAAACAGAAACCAGGTCTTGGTGTTACAGAATAGTCTGGACCATTTTCTTGGCCCATATGAAATTGATATTCTGAAAGTATATGTAATATAGATTGCCTTATATGTACTGACATAGCCAACAAGATTTATCGACCCTGCCTCTGCGACATACCCATCGAAACTATAATCTTGGGTCTCACAGGTTTGTCGCGAACCCAAGCTCGTAAGCAAATCCAGTGACGATCTTGGAAAACTCGAGAATGTGACCAAAGTTGACAGTGTCAATAGTGTCCCTGTCAGTGTGGATGTAAGGGCTGCTGTTCTCGAAAGTACCCTCAGAGGCGAAAGCCGAAGGGTAACCAGCGCGGGTGGCAGAGGCGTGGTCGGAGCAACCGTATCCACACTTGGAGTCAACAGTAGGGAGAGACGAGTACTATCACAAGTTAGTCAAAGGTCTTGGGTATTTGTGCAGTCAACTTACAGCAGCGATAACCTTCTTGAGGAAGGCAGTGAGACCAGCATCAACATTGTCGGTGAAGACTCCGGCAACGGCTTGAGTGCCAGGCTTGACATAGCCAGTCATGTCCTGGTTGAGCATGGCCTTGACCTGGCGACCGTCACGCTTGTACTGGTTGAAGATAGCGCCACTTCCGAGAAGACCTGCCTCTTCACCAGCGTACCAGTGGAACTCGATGGTGTTGGGAGCCTGGCCAGATGCAACACGGGAGTCACTCAACAGGACACGGAAAGCCTCAAGGATGGTGACGGTTCCAGAACCATCGTCATCTGACAGTGTTAGCAATTACTTTATGAAGTGCACCATGTTACTTACCGGCACCAGGGGAACGACCGTTGGGGCTCCGGCCGTTGATAGAGTCTTGGTGAGCACCGACAACAATGGTAGCATCGCTCTTTCCAGGAATGGTAGCGATGATGCTGGATTGGCGCCAAGTGTGCTTGAACTTGGCAACCTTGGCACCCTTGGCTCCACTGGCAGAGATGATAGACTCAACCTGCTTGAACAGCCAGTCAGAAGACTGTTCACCATATGAAGACTGGTAGTATCTGTTGTAGAAGCCAGAGAAGGTGGTCAGAGTGCTTCGAAGGTTAGTCTGGCTCAGCTTAGGGAGCAGAGCCTTGACAGCAGAAGTCTGGGTAACGGCACTGGGGAAGCTGGTGAGGAATTGGAGACTGAAGCCAGGCTCGTCGAGATCAGTGATGTCGATGAAGCTCTTGTGCTCCTGTGTGTGTTAGACATGATACTCTAGATGGGGAAGCTTGCTACGAACAGCTGTCAGTGCCAACTTTTCGTCCTCAGTGACAGTGCGGACATCATCAGGTCCAAGCTCAATCTTGTAGAGCTTCCTCTCACGAGACTGGCGAGGGTCAATGGCGGCGGCATTTGCCAACCCCAGGAGGGTGGTCAGAGCGAGAGTGGCGCGCATGATGACGATACTGGAGAATGAGGTCGAGTCGAAGTTACAGGAGAAACTTGACTTGATCAAGTCGAGATGTGATGTGGAGAGGATCAAATTTATATAGAAAAAGCGATTGTTCCTCCGAATACCTAAGTTAGGAAGGAGCACAACGAAAGTGCCCGAGCGGTAAACACATCATTCCTTCCATTATGGCAGGAGCGACCATGGCCAATGACTCAGCCAATGGTGATTCCGATTAGTCCATGTGACCTTCCCAAGTTCTAACTAGACGATCTACAGATTAAGCATAACAGTGCCATGGACCTTCCCTAATCCACACCCAATGCCGTGTGATATAGCCTTTGAGATATCGAGTCCGGGGTAGCTCTTGCATCAGCGGCCCGCTTGTGCATCGGCACTGCTGATTGTGGCAGGTGGTTAAGCGACTAGCGAGGTACTTTGTGAAAGCTTGGCGTCCAGGCGGGGTTTGTTGTCGGCTTTTGGGGGAAGATTTGAAGGTTGATTGGCCGAGGAACTTTTGGGCATGATTGCGTAGGTTGAGCGATGAATGAGGAAGTTGAGTTTGGTGTTATCTTCTTATCGATCAATCACTTTCTGGCTTCCTTTTTTATCACAGCATGAATGGGCGGATGGAGATGATTGGTGGATATATGTGATAAGGACATAATCGTAGCTGTGCTGGAGGCAGTTGCTTGTCCGACTCCACTGGATTACAGTGGGGAGAACACTAAACTGGCAGTGACACCTACCCGAGACCACGAGGAAATAAGTAATGTGTTCTAGAAATCCTTTTCAACTCACTCGACTACGATAAATGTGATAACGAGCCTTATGTGTACTTTTAAGATTTGATAATACGCGTGAGGAATGCAATTATACTCATCCACCATTTGTGATATCATCTTGGTCGTGCGTCCATCCTTGCCAGGCAGCCGTTTTCATTAAGTATCATGGGAATCTCGACCGGCCGCGGTCACCTGGCTCAAAATGTTCTTGCTCAACCATCGACTGCGAACTACACTCTTGTTATTCAAGATCAACCTGACGAGACCAGGTCGTCCATTCATATTAGATCTTCCAAACTACGTACACATTGCACCGAAAGATGCCTCAAACGTCTGTATATCTTGCCAAATTCAGCTCAGGCCCCTCCAAACGCTCCCATTTCGGAATCTTCTTTCCCAACCCCGATTGTGATCGCGCAGACCTAGCTAATGACTTCAGATCTCAAGCCACTGTGGGGAGCCAGATTCATGTCGTCGGCGAGCCTCTCATGACGGGTTACATGCTTGAGATGAAGCGGCACTTCGATGTCCAGAATGATCGAGAACTCAGAGCATTAATTCGTCTTGGAACCATCGACAGTACAAACCTGTATAGAGACAATTCTTTGGACACTATGATCAGGGACCATGTACCCAAGAGTATTGTAGAGCGCCTGGCTGATTCTGTTCCTCCGCCTCCACGAGGACAGAATGTGCGTACACCGATCGACGGGGTAAGTTACAGAAGATGAGAAAGCACTTCAGTTATCTGACGGTTTTGCTAGGCCAACACGAAACGGTGCCAGGAATGGACCATGGAATTTTTGACACTCCTTACTCAGAAAGGTTTGATTTCTGCAGAAGCCGTGAGGATTGCCCAGGGTGAGAGAGATTCACCTACTCACGGGATCTTCGGATACAAAGCTTGAGAAAGTATAAAGATGCAGGATGAGACGATATTTTCAGGATCGCCTCATCAACAGGGTTTAGTATGAGTGCTCTCCTGCTGAAACCCAATAATGGCCTCATATAGGCTTGTCTAATCAGACTAGATTGCAGGCTTGGAAACTAGAATTCGAACGTACCAGCCATTCAGAGCTCTGATAACAGCTGCCCTCGACAACCGTGAGCTACTGAATTGCACGAGTTAGAGTTTCCAGCTATACTCAAATACTTACATGTATATATATCCTTTCCTATAGTACATATCATGGGAGTTTAACTGAGCTAACAATTACGAATAGGATCTGGTAAATCTAACTTGTAAGTTCTTATAAATTCAATCAAATCAATGCGCTACGCTAGACTATGCGAGCTCACTCAGACGCCTCAAAACATCATCCTCCCAAGGAACATTATCGCTCTTAATATTTCCCCACATAGGCAACAAAATAGCCTCATCGATCTCCTTATACTTGCCTAGCTCGATATGCACAAGTTGACCGTTTCTAGAGTTATCAGCCATCAGGAACGCGACGCAGCGCGATACATCGGAAGCAGGCTGCAGCTCAACGTTGATGGCACCGAGTAGGGTCTTCAGATCAGGCAGGACACTGCTATCGGTCCAGCTGGGCGCCAATGTGTTGACGCGGATGGGAAGTTTAGCAGCGTCGATGAGAGGAACGAGACCTCGACCGAGTCCTATGACAGCGTGCTTGGCAGTTGCTGGGATGGTTAGATTGGGTTTAGATGGCGAGTCGGAGAACTTACAATAGTCGACAGCTCGCACACGTTGGAGTCCAGTTGTGGAACCCATGATAACGATACTTCCACCTTCGGGTTGTTGCCTCAAGTGGTAAATAGCAAGAACACAAGTGTTGAGAGTGCCCTTCAAGCCAACATCGAAAAGAGCATGGGTCGGCTCAATCAAGTCGCCGTTATCATCAGTCTGCATGGACAAATAGTCCGCACGGGGACCAAGACCGGCGTTCGCAAAGACATGATCAATTCGACCATAGACTTCCTTTGCCTTTTTGAAAAGAGCAACGAGGTCCGACCACACGGATACGTCGGTCTTGACAAAAGTAAAAGAACCCTCGTGTTGCTTTGGTGGCGGTTGGACATCTCCACTGACCACTGAAGCACCCAGGTTCAAAAGATAATCCACAGTAGCTAAACCGATCCCAGAGGAACCACCTATAAAAAGTAAGTTTTAGTTCAAGCGAACGTAGATCTTACTTACCAGTGAGGACGACAACCTTGCCACTCAGGCCGGTAAGCTGCTCGTCTTGGATTGTGAATTCAGCCATTTTGGTAATTTCGGATGGGTACAATAACGAAACTGGCAAAGGAAAAAACAAGGAAAAGACTTGGCAGATAAATCAGGGGGGACAAAAGCTTCTGAAATACGATTGCGTTGCATTCCCTAGTGAGGCAAAAGACACTAGCGCTTCCGTCGGGACGGCATAATTTGTAGTGTTTCCCGCCAGTAAAGGGCATCGTAATAGTGCAGATCAACCATGCTCAAGTGTCTCTACTAAAAACAACCGAAATTCTGGACCTTTGGACCCTTGATCGCTCCATTTTTGATGCACTGGTATGTCACGTGGCACTCTCGTATAAGGCGGTGACCCTGTAGAAAATAACCCCTGAGATCCATTTCTGTAATGACGGTCAACAAAAGAGTTGGGGACAAACATGGGTAAAGCTGGCATTTCGCCTTAAAGGATTTGTTGTTCGTATATTTCTTGGAAAGATGTATTGCATTTTATATATATCTTTGACGTGGAAGGAATATGTTTTTGGGGAGTTCACGGTATTGATTGCATCGCCAGAACTACTGTTCATCCAATTTTGAGATGACAGCCCTTAAGGCTGAGGGGGCTGAAGCTAAAATAACGGATAGCACGGCCCGTTGTGAAGAGAAAAAACACTAGTCTAGCGGATGTTCAACGACTCAACGGCTCACTAGTCTCGGCGCATTACATGCTTTTACGTACCAAAAGCTCCGCTCAAAAGTTTCACTTGAGATTAATACATATTATACGTTTCTCTCTCTTTCAAGCATGGAGCCACAAAAGGGTCCAACACCAGGTCCTCGGTGTCTCCGTAGCCACTCGCTTAGCATGGACTTCACTGACCCGTCTCAAAGAGGCCATTTCCCACAAGAGCCAGGACCTCCAAGATATTGTTCCTGATTTCGTTTGCTCGCCTTGATACCTGCCTCCTGGGGTCAAAAGTCTGATAGTCGCTATCTCTCCTCCGGAAAATTCTTTCCAACTAATCCTTCTCTCTTTTTCGTATCTTCCCTGTATACGGGTAGTGACATTCAATATGGCTAAGGTTGCGGGTGATGGTGTTGCTCTGCTGTACGGCTGCATTACTATGCTGACGCTGGCGTGGGTCTTTGCAATGCTTAGACTGGGAGTCAGGAAATGGAAGAATAACTTTGGTCCGGACGATTGGTTGATGTTTGTTGGGCTGGCCCTCTACTCTGTGACGGTAGGGATCGTTATTCGATGTTGCTTCTATGGAGCCGGGCAAAAGAGTAAGAATCTCGAGCCTTATGACACGATGATGGGAACAAAGGTATGTTGGGTTGTCTACCAAAGCTACAATCGCGAACTAACATGGCTAGCTCTTCTTTGTCGCTCAGTTCTTTTACTGTGCTTGCTCAGTTCCGATCAAAACAAGTATCTGTGTAACGATGCTTCGAATCTGCGATTCCCGCCGTCGCTTCGTTTGGACTCTCTGGGCAATCATCGCCACGACCATCACGACCGCCATAGTCTTCATCATCGCTACCGCCAACATTTGCCATCCGATAGAAAAATTATGGGGCGAAACAACCCGCGGTTCTTGCAACACAAACTTGAATAGTAGTATTGGATTCTTCTTTTCGGCTGTGTCCATCGTAACGGATTGGACACTGGCCATTTTACCGGCTGTTCTGCTGTGGAAAATTCAGATGAAGCAGAGGGTCAAGCTGCCTGTTATCTGTATGCTTAGTCTGGGTGTCTTGTAAGTATCAATCATCTGATGGCGGTATTGTACTAACATATTCTAGTGCGAGTTGCGCGACCGTCATCCGACTGGGCTATCTCACACGTTACAACGACCCTGCCGAATTTGTATACAGCACCGGCGCAATTGGTCTATGGTCCATCATGGAAGAAGGCATTGGTATTGTCGCCGGATCTATGCCTGCCCTTCGACCTCTACTCAATCTCCCCATCTTTAGCAGATCCACATACGGGAGTGCTGGTGCATCAAACCCGGGGACTGACCATATGAACCCGTCGCATGTATCGAATAAACGAAAGAAGAGTCAGAGGTGCGACTTGGAGATGGATGAGTTTCATGGCAATATGACAACAAGGGTATCGCACGGGCGTCAAAAAAACCAGAGCCTGGATGACAGTGATAGTCAAAAGTTCATCCTCAAGTCGACACAGGTGGTCATGACGACTGAGCGAGTCTAGAGAGGCAGCATGACATCTACAAATAGACAAGAAACAACCTTTTTCAAATTACCTGACACGCAGCACTCGAATTAGATCCAACTATCCCTCTGCCTCACCAAGCAGACCCCACACTTTCAGCCCCGAAAGTATCTCCTTGTCCTCTTCAGATGTCTGTCTTCTTATATATTCCAGTATATCAGACAAAGGAATTGCATCCTCTCCACAATATACCTTGACATTTCCTCCCAGAGCCACCTCGTTCAACAGATCTGGTCTCTGGAACCATGGCCTCGCAAGAAGATTGCGAACCGTTCGCTTGAGTTCCACAACCTGTTGTCTCATACTGTCATCCGAAGGATGCCCAGGAGCCAAACTGATCTTGGCAAGATTTGCTTCATCGCCGTAAACACCTGTTATGACTGTGTTTTGTGAGAGCCTTGTTGCTGGATCCATGACACCAGTCCAGGCCATGACAGAACGTGCTCGAGCATATATCTGGGGAGTGATAGACTTGTGGCTGGCCTTTTCGTTCTCGTCCTCCTGGTTGACACAAATCGCATCGATCCAGATTGGCTTTCCGAATCTGATAATCTCACCAGAGGGTACAAGTTGTCTGTCTTCGGGATCTTGATGTAACCTCTCAGGCGATTTCATCTTCTTCCACTCTTGCTTTGTCTTAGCCTGCATGCATCCAATTGGTGATCGACCGTGAGAGTCAATAATCTTGATACTCGCACCATGATCAAGCAATAGACTAACGATCTCCAAATGTCCGTTCTCGCATGCGTAGTGTATCGCCGTTTCACCATAGCGATCTTGTGCGTGAACATAAGCGCCTTGCCGCAAACACCTCTCTACATCGCTCAGGCGTCCTTCTTCGGCAGCCTTTATCACTTCTGTTTTGTAGTGTACCGTAATTCGTTCCTCAATTTGATCATGCTTTCCTTTGATCATCTGCGCAGCCTCGTAGATCTCCTTCGGAACAGATATGATTTTCCCTTCGACAACAATATCATTTCGTTGATTGGCTTGGTGGGAGTCTCCGCAGCTCGTGGAGATGACATCAAACTCAGGCGCATGATCAATTTCTGTCGTCTCCAAGATGCATTCAATAAGGTCTTGACTCTGACTTGAAGGTGGCGACAATTGGCGTGGTCTTTTGATGAATGAGACTAGACGAATTGATGATGGAGATTGGAGGCTAGTGTGTTGGAATGTGGTAACCCCAACAGGGAATCCAGTGACAATTGATGACATGATGGATAAGATAGTTGGTATGATGATGGCAAAAATACTGCGGTAATATTGTTTTTTATATGGCTCATGCAGATTTCAAGTCCAAGCTTGCTGTGCCTATTTTTCAAGACGCTAAAGATTTCTGCCTAAAAGAGTGGACTAAGCGGTTGACTTGGCGACTTGTTGGTAGTTGTTGGTCAGAGGTAGATTGGATTCAATAAATTGTCAACTGCACTAGTTGAATTGGTGGTCATAGCAGACGCGCCATAAAAACACCATGACTTGCTGTTTACGTTCTTCATGATTGGAGGTCACGCATAAAATGATCTTTTCGAGGTAGATTCAACCTATGCAAAAGAGAGTACTGCTGCGTAGGCGTTGGAACTGCTTGGCCTAGCGACCGGATGTTATCAATGCCATCTCGAGTTCTCAGAAAATAGTGTTCATCGATGCTCTCACAGAAATGAGCTGGACAAGCTTAAGGGTGCATCGAGTCGTGGAAACGACGGCTGGCCTAGTACTGAACAGTTAGCGAATACGTCACTTGAATTTGGCACCTACTTCGCCCAAAAAGAAATCAAAGGATCAGGCGATCTTGTCCTCATTATGTCGAGTCTAGTAGACACGTCGAAAACGGACAGCGTTTTCCCTATCTTGGTTGATCGACAACAATGAGAGCACTCCCAGCTAACAGGTGGTGAAAGAAGTTGCGCAGCATGATGGATGCGTGCGTAACTGCCGTTGGGTTTGAAAGAGCGAAGAGATGGAATCTTTGGGTTTGCTATTACCACAGTCGAACAAAAGACTGAGTCAGCTCTACGCCTTGAAACATTAAGCAACCTGACGAATACCAGGAAAATGAAGTAGAGTAAAAAGCTTCGGTCTGTGAGTCCGTACAGTACTCATCCTATCCCGGTTCTGCCTGCGTCGCTTTACAGAGGGTATATAGTTCCAGGCCACGAAGTCTGCCTCGAAGGATGACGCTTTCCCAAACCTGACATTTGTACAACAATAACGTCATTGAGAACGTTTCGAAACAAGTGGCGGTAATGCAGAGGGTTGTCTTCGGATTGATAGGAGCACTTCTACGGAAGGATTAAAGTTTAGGATGCGTAGGATTCTATCTAAAGTGCGCAGATCTATTATTATAAGTACCTGAATAGATGTCGATTGGTGGTCAGAATCTCACTGCATAATGGAACATCTCGAGCCAATCGAGTCTTTTGCGGTCGGGGCTTATTCCAGCCCCCAAACGTGTTTTGCCGGCGCATAATGCTTATTTTAAGTACCGCAGCCTATTGGTGTCAACTTGGAGGCACGGGTTCAGGGCACCAATAAAATAATGAGCGGTTAGCTCGCTTTCTGTAATCCGATGTCTAAGCCTCATTGTCATGCGAAAAGTGTTGTGTTACTTCGGTAGATGGCTCATGAGTCCACTACACCGCTACAGACAAAGGCAAGATGAGCAGCTAATCACTCCCCCAGGGCTGAGCTGGTGATCGGCGAAATAGGTGACCTGGGTACTGCTTGTCCGGGGTTGGCCAAAACCACGGGTATTGGTCCAGCTTTTTGGGGTCCGTAGTGATTGGGGTTTTTGCGGATGTTACCGTGACGTATAGCCAGGGTTTCGGAGTCAAGTGTGGCAGTGCCTCGGTCTTTATGTCGATCCTCCCATGAATAAGGCTGGCCGAGTATATTGGAAAACTTATCCGACGACTCTTCTATTCAGGCCCATGCAAGCATCTATCAATGCCGAGTGCGAAAGCTTAACTTCTCCAATCAGCCAGGATCACGTTCCTACTCGTATCCTACGTGTTCCTGTCAGCATCAGGTTTCAAGATCGTCCCAAAACTAACCACCAACACCCTCGATCTGCATGATTATAGGGAAACGTCTTTGATTGGTGTCAGGGTATCACAAGAGTTTGTCGAAGAGACGAAATAGCTTAGATACTTCATGCAAGTCTATTCTAGCATGTATGCTACTTTATTCTGGTGGTCTAGGCCTTTCAGGATGATCTTGAGTAGATTAGGTAGGCTTAGATGCTGGCTGAAGGAAGATCGTTGTCTTGTGCCACCGAAGGCATGACCATGTTCGCATGGCCCAAAGCAGGATGTACTCGGTTGTATGTAGAGACAGAAAGGTATAAAGAGTCCCGTGTTTGCTCTCTAAAATCAACATCATCAACACACTCTTCAACACAATCAAACAACACACCAAACACTACTCTCAACAAGCACTCTTCTAACCGCCATCATGCACTACACTACCCTTCTCGCCAGCATCCTTTCCTTCTCCCTCACCACATCAGTGAGCGCCACTGCCATTTCTCCTCGCGCCCTTCGCAAGGCCAACGAATTCGTCAGCGAGAACTGGTAAGTCATCTCCCCAAACACAAGCACCAGATTAATTTACTAACTACCCTCAGTGCCCAAGGCACCGCCTCCTATGAGCACCACAGCAACTTCAACATCGATGTCACCATGGATGACACCAGCAACTCTGTCTACCTTGCCTCAGGACCGTGGTACTTCTACGGCGGAAAGAGCGGCAACGGCGGCCTCTGCACCGGTGATGTTCTCGGATCTTGGGAGAACGACACCGATAACCCTTGTGTCAACTTGAACCGCCGAGGAGATGATGGCCGCCGTATCCAGTGCGTCCGATGGAACAACATGCACCCTTGAGAAGTTTGAAGCTGCGATTGTTGGGGACTTGGTTTGAACAGTTGTTTAGACTGCTTCCTTGTATTTTGAATAGTAGAGTATTGGGGAATTGATATCTTGCTTGCATCAAGTTGAGACTTGAAATGTGAAGTTGAGAGCCTGCCTAACCAAAGATTTGTTCCCAAGTTTGGTAACTGATGTCGTTCGTCGACATCCATCCAAGGGCACGACCTCCATAAAAAGAAAGATCAAGAATCCAAAAAGCCAGCGCTTAGGCATTCACCAGTCCACTAGACTGCTCCCTTGACACCGCACCAGGCTTTTCCAGTACTAGCTAGTCCCTCTCCAGTACAAGTGATAGATGCTCACACAAAGTGATATCTCTTCCATTCCCAGCCAAGCCATTCCATCCAAGCACACGTTTCCAAACTTCCGAATGCCGTTGCTTGGCATCGTCCGCCCCGTCCTCTTCCGGGAATGAAACGATCACCTTCCGTTGCGTCATATTGACCTTGATGACAGCATCTTTTTCAACCAGTTTGTTGATTTCCGCCAAGTCCGGTGCGACAAACTTCTCGATGGGTACGAGGGAAGGTACTTCGACCTCAAAGGGACCGACAATGCCGGGAGCGTCAGAGTCGCCTTGTTGGGTCAGTTTCTCCCAAGTTCTTTGGCGTTTGAACAAATCCGAGTCTGGTTCTGGGGCGCTGCCAAAGATGGCTTGTGATCGCAAAATGAAGCGCGAGTTGGGATCGATGACGGGTGCAGGTTCGGGCAATGCACGCGCCGCGACTTGAGTGACTACTGCGTTTCTCTCAGCGTCTTCCATCCTTCGTCTCTCGCAATACTCGGCGAATATACGACTTGGGGTGTCGCCTCGTCTTAAATTTTTGGAGCAAGTTTTTGGCGCTCCCCAGGGCCATCTGGGCCCATCAAAACCGAATGGCTGAACTATGAAATGTTAGCTAAAATTCCCCGCCAACCCAAAACAATAAACGTGGTCCTTCTCCACGTCAGGTGTCTTTCATGAAGCTAGTATCCATTGCAGTCATGTCCCAAAGAATACTCACACCAAAGTTTCCATAGATAGTTGTCGACCATATACTCGAAATACTGTTCAGGAACGGCTCTCTTTTCGAACTTGTCGTAGAGCGTTTCACAAGTTTTGTAAGAGGCGCGTCTCCCATAGACCTTCAAAAGAGTGTCGATTTCGGGGCGCATGAATTTCAGGTAAGCCGCCAAGTGCTGCCGGCGAGATTTGGTGTTGCTGACATCGAAAGGACTGTAACTGAGGTCCCGGAAACATGGTCCAGAGCAGTTTCTTGGGGTAAAGTCGAGATGGCTTTTCGGCTGCTCCATCGTGGAAGATGAATAACGGAGTGGGCTGAAGAAAGACGAGCAAAGAAAACAACAAAAATTATACCTACCTATGATGCATCAGCAAAGTCTTCCAGCAGCGGCCGTGCTGTGCGAGTAACAGTGCCGTTGCACTGCTGCATTGGTGCATTGCTGCCTGCCGATGATTGTTAATCTCCCTTGCTCTATACTTTGCTTTGGAAAGAGAGAACATTATATTCGTAAGATTAACAAAACTACTATGACGAGGAATGTCCAGGGCGCTAAAATAGAATCACCTAAATCTCAGTCTAAAGGAGCATAAATAGCCGATTTCTTTCGTCTCTTAGGCTTCTGTCAATTCTGTTGATACCCTTAGGTACGTTGAGTCATCATAGCTGGATCTTCGTTCTCATTATTTCAACTCAACTTCTTCCCGCAACGATTGATACTTGCTGAACAATCTTTCATTTTCCTTCTTCAATGCCTGTGCATCCAAATTTTCAAAAGCCATGCTCCAAATAGCCTGCGCCTCGTCTTTTGTTGTCTTCCCCGCGGACTCGATACCTTGGAGTGTTAGTACACTCTTCATTTGCAATAGAAAAAGAAAAGACATACCAATATGTTGCGCTTGAACTGGATACAAAGCGTACCGGTCAAGTCGGTTGCCAATAGCTATCTCGTCCAGCATCAAATCAACTTGTCCTTTCTTCTTACTCTGGAGCTCGGATACCAGATGCGGCACCTGACTGCGTGGAAATATCATTGCCTGTGAGCAGCACCCAAAGGGTTCATTGAAGACTCCGGCCGCAGGTGGGAATAAAGACGCTTTCCCAGATTGATATACTAATATCACCAAACCTGGCACTAGAAGCAAGATAATAACCAAGAGTGTATCCCGTTCAAGATACTTTTGAGTTGCTCGCCACCGACGTCGTGCAAAGATCGCAGGCGCTGAAATTCCCAAACCAATTCCCAAAATAATCCAAAACTCGTTGTTACCTCCGATTTCATGACTGGCCCAGCCGATCGATCTTTCCTGGTTGAACAAACGCATAAAAAGCCAATTCTGTTGTCGATCGATGGTTGCTATATCGGCCAACCCTTTCATAGTCCGCATGAACCATCCTCGTGCCAGAAGGATATCATCCTCGAAGACTCCGATATACAAGGCGCCGCTATTATAGCATCGTTGGAGACCCAAAGTGTAGTCGAATACACCCTTCTCTTGGTAGTTTTGGGATTTCTCGAGTTCGCGTATGTACTCGATGCTGGTGGAGTTATCGTCATATGTATATACGGTGTCGACTGCCCGTCGGAGCCATTGCTCGTTCCAGCTCGGATGGCGTGTTGGGTCGGTTTCGGCGATAAGAACGGATATCTCGAGGTCTTTGCGCTCTTGGTTCGAAAGGCTGTGAAGGATGCTTCCAATTGTTATCTGGCAGCCGAAACACATTAGCAGGCAGCGAGATTCAAAGGTGCAGCGTTCTTACTGGAAGATATTGGATCTTCCGCGCCACCGAATTGAGTGCTATGCAGATGGTTTTGTTCTTCGAGGTACCGTCCTTCGAATATTCCGTTCCAGAAGTTAGCGATCCGATCGTTTGTTCCGCTTCGGCTCTTCGAATCGCTGAGTAGCCAGTTTCATAAGCTCGTGCTTTGTCGAAGAAGACGCTTCCGGGGTCTCGGTAGAAGTGAGTTTGTCCATACCAGCACAAACAAAGCAAAAACGCAATGCAGGCTGTAGCTTTGTAGACCAAGCTATGCATAATGGAGGGTTGCGAGACTTCAAGTCACCATGCTTGGGAAAGAAACGCAAACAAAGGCCGAAAGCTAAGCAATACTCGCTTACTTGGACCAACAAGCAATTAATGAGAGAATGAGAAGAGCTCAATAAGCGGGAATAATGGAGATGGCGATCGCAAGTTCATGTTTCGTAAGATATGGGGCCCAGGATGGATAAATTGGAGCCATGGGCTCGCCAGCGGCCGAACAGACTCTCGACAACAGCAAAACTAAACCAATTCCAGGGTGCTGTTGGCTAAACCCTGCATAAGAACCAGGGCAGTAATGACCACGAAGCAGCTTGGCGAGCGACAAGCCTAGAAATCCACGCATTCAACTCGCAATCGACCCGCATCGCCAAGGGGCCTCAGCCTCATTCCCGCACCATTCTGTTGACCAAAACAGGAAACTGCCGAATTGTGAGAGTGCCGATTGGTCGTCTGGAAAGGATTTGACGCTTGGACGAATGCCCAGAAACGTAATTGTAACTTGTTAATATGACAGTAATAGTGATTGCAATCGTGTAAGCGATACCTCCTGATGGAACAGCCTGCATGAGAGAATGTCATCAGTCCGTGTCTGTAGAAATGTTAATGGTCAATAAGTTTGAAACAATTTAATTTGTTTCGGGAATGAATGAAGTTATTTCTGATCGACGTGTGGGTACGACGTCAGCGGCTAGAACGGCTCTTTAGCGACTTTTAGTGGGTGCGTTAATGTCGTTTCTCGGTCCTAAGAGGCTGTTGCGTAAGCTTAAAGCCTTATATGACGACGGTCAATGGACGTGCAGACTAGGCCAAGACGCGTTGTCTGCCATGCACGTCGCGATTTCGACGCTACGCGAGTCGTCCGTTCATGCGAAACTGACAACAGGGTAGGCTCTCTGAAGAGCTTTGATATGATGAACCGCACGCGAACGCAGATAGAAGAGCACTTGTTGAAAGCGTTTGTCAATAGTCAAGAATGAAGACTGTGAAAAGTTTGATGTCTGGTGAACTTTTTGGGCAGGTCTTGAACAGAAAATTATACCCGTATGATGGGCTACCAAATTGCAATGGAGAAGGAGCGACCCAGGTCCAGCTGGCCCTCGGATTATGTAAAGGGGAGTTGAACCATATTCCATATTTCATAATCATTCTATCACATCACTCATCTTATCTTGTCTAAAAATCAATCTACTCCATATCCATCTTCTCCAGAAAAGTCAACCAATGTAGCTTCGTTCGCTACAAAATCTCCCTCCCAATCCTGTTTTTCCGAAACCCGTCTCTGTAGCCCCCGTTTCGACACAGGAAGTCTATCCCGCAGTGAATCTGGCTTTGACGGCGGTGGCGGCGGCGACGATTGCTTTGCGGGGTCTTCTTTGCTGTACGGCGGTTCGCTGTTCGAGTAGGCTCGTTCTGTTCGAATGTATGCTGGTTCCCCACCCTTGCTGTAGGCGGGATGCTCGTCTCTGCTGTATGAGGGGCCGGCTATGCTGTATGCTGGAGCGGGGGTGGAATCTGAGTCGTCGATAATCTTGGACGGTGCAAACTTTTCTGGTTTTGGTGTACTGATTGTGGTATCTGGTTGGCGTTCACTAAATGGTCAGTTGTGTTCCTCAGAATAGCCCGTACTACTCACCTGTTCACTCGCCAATACGGCGACGCTTGTAACAGCTCCAAATCGACTATACCCTCGGCATCAAGTATTCTGGCTATCACATGCTCTCGAGCATTTGAAACATTGATGATACTTCTCACCAAGCTCACCGCCTGCTCAGGCACATCTTGTATGACATTTGTCTCGGGGTCCGTCATGATCCATTCGAGCAATCGACGTGGGAGTAACGTCTGCTTGAAAATCTCCCAGTTCTCATCATCAGAGTACACAGTCAGGCCAACTGTATCCTTGATATCGAGACCGCCCATGGGATTCACAGCGGTTATTTCAGCGCTGCCGGAGCGATAGACGAGTTGCGATTGGAAGCTGGATGCGAGGCGAACTTCGCAGTGCTCGAGGGTTTCTCGAAGCCAGGATGTCCCCTTGGGTGTAGTCGTCCGTGGACTCTTAAAATGGACAGCGATACTGTGCATGTTAGATATGGAATCCCACTTAGAGGAAGTACATACCGTAGAAGGTGGTCAGCCTTGGCAGAGAGTTCGTCGGGCAGCTCGATGGATTTGAAGTTCTCGTCGGCTGGGCCTTGGTCCACGACGTGTCGTGACAAATATCGCTGATCAAGACCAGCCCATACCAGCAGATTATCCAACATCCAAACAGTCTTCGGATCGAAATCCAGCAAGTTCAATCTTCCGGTAAATGCCTCTTTCAGGTTTTGTCGATCCGCGATGACAAATTCCATACTAGGTGCACACAGCAAAACCCCATCCGCAGTCGACACAGGAAAGACATTACTCTGCATAAATCTCTCCTTGTCGAAAACATGTCCGTACTCTGGTATTCTTTGACTGACGGCGACTAGAAGACCTCTTGCGGTGTCATCGCGAGAGCAGTCAGGACTTAATGATGAGACTTGCATCAGTGTGTCGAAGATAAGTCCTGAGTCGTTCTGCTTGACGTCGAGAAAGTCGACAAAGAATTCGTGTAGCTCGGGGTAGTGCTTGCTGAGATCGTTGACTTCTGGACTGTCGAGTTTGGGAGACCAGGAGACGTCCTTTGAAGTGAGCCATGTCACTGTTTCTCCGGGAGCAACAGCGATGATCGGCTTCTCGATGAACGCAATTCTGTGAAGGTTAGTGGTGAACCCTGATTGAGGCGGAGCAACTCACTTGAGATCAGCAGCATCATTCGGCGAGAGATCAAATCTCATCTTCTCCAAAGCGCGATAAAGCTCATCTGTCAACCAAAGGTCCGCAGGGTCGAGTACTGCATCGAAATCGCGCTTTTCCAACACGCCGACGATGGTCCGATAGCTGGCTTTTTCAAGTTTCAGCGTCTGTACGTAGAATTCTCTCAGAGACGCAAGCTCTGACTTGCTGGCGTCCCAATCTTCTGGTACCGGAAACACAGGTGACTTGGATAACGTGCTGGCTATCTCGCATGAGTCATCTAGCAAGCATTCGCTGAGGGGTCTCCATATTGGATGGACATAGACTAATTGCTCCTTCTCGAACGCATATCTGGTCGCGTGAGTATCATGATGTTGTGACTGACGGGTATTCATACCTGACTTTATGCGCGCTAGATTCTGGATCTTTTGAATCTTCGCACTCTGCTTGTATCCGAAGATATAGCTCCAATATTCGACGCGGAAATTCGACAGTTGATGCTTTCGATCGGCGTACTCGTATCAACATCTCGAGAAAAAAATCCAGGTCATCATGATACTTGGCAAAGGCTCTGAGACACCTCCACTGACCAAATCCTCCTTCTGACTTTATCGGAGGATCAAGTCTGAGGAAAGGAAAGGGCTCGCCCTCGAGCATATATCGATTCCGGAGGTAATGCAGCTTTGGAAGCGGGATATACGAGTTGCCGAGTGGTCTGAACTTTCCGTCTTGGCAGAGAACTCTGATAGCTTTAATATCAAACATGGACTCTGGATTTTCCTTGGCGTAGATCTTGTCGCGCTTCCATGCCTGCTGGAGGTAGTTGAGGAAGTCCTCAGGGTGCTGCTTGGACATCTCGATACATTTGGGCGCTACAGACCGACCCCGCTCGTTGAACTCGAAGAGCCGTGGCTCTGAAGGCCCAAAGCCTCCATAGCTTCTTGAAGAAGTGCTGCTGGTATCTCCACGATCGCCACGCAGTAATTGCATCGGAATGGTGTTTTTTAGGGGTTGGGTATGGGATTCCCCAGATTGAGGACTGGGTCGGGTTGCAAGCAAGACTCACTCACTCACCGACTACAGCCTTTGACGTGGCCAGAGTGGAGCATTGTGCAAACAGGGGGTCGGCGGAAAAAAGTGCACTCCGATGAGTAAGCAGCCAATGAAAAGCTCCATTTTGTCGATTTCGACCGTCTTATCATGGACATTCGTCTCCGCAGCCAGAACTGATTGTTTCTGCCCAAATGACCCAAACGCGGAGGTGGAAAATGCGAACGTGATTTGCTACGTCATAGTGAATGAAATTCATGATTGGAAAGCTTTGAACTTACCCTACGTCTGCGTGACAATCTCTTCACGACTGGCCAGATTGAATGCTCTCAAGAAAAAGAAACTCTAGGTTTGCTAGTTTTTTCGCATGTGAAAGGACCGTATTGTTCCCCTGTTCCCCTTGGCAGGGGAAGCTAGCGCCAGCACTAGGGTAGATCTTGAGCTTTATCGTTTCACTAAACGTGAAGCTCAGTAGGGTAGCTCAACATTGGGGTCATTATTTCCATAACCAGCTGATGACGAAGTGAAGATGAGTGAGTAAAAGTGACTCAAATTGATGCGCAGTTATCGGAACAGTCGCAAATCTCGTAATGCAATCACAAACTGATGAGATGCGCTCATGAATTGAAGAACAACGACGTATGTTCAGTTCACATGAGCTATTTTCACCTCATCTCATTTTCTTTGGCAACCGACCGTCAGTGTCGTTCTCTTTCCAATCAAGCAAAACCACAATGAGTCTATTTGTCGTTTATCGACACATCCTCCGGCGTTTAGCCAAGCCGGCCCGTCGTCGCGAGATCGTCTGACGATCCAGCCTCTCCATTCAACCCGATGCGGAGAAATGTCAGCTCTTAACTCTGGGGTGTCAAATAATGTTGGACCAGAGACCTCGTCTCAATGAGATCAAACTGTCTAACTTATTTTTGCTTTCATGCCGTACCACCACATTGGACGCGACTACATCTAAAAGAGTAATACTTCCAACTTGGATGTGTCAAGGTTTCAACACAAATAGTGCCTTGGCATCTTTGATCCGATGAGCACCCGATTATTTTCCGTTTGACGAAGGAGATAAATACATCATCATATCCCATCAATCTCAATCACCCAAGAACTTGTCATAATGGCGACCGTCACGGAAACTGATACCGCGACGTCGGAGCTCTTTGAGCTTCGCGACACCACAGACGCGACCTGCAATTCACTCAACGATAATGAGCCCCCGCCATCTTCCAACAAGCCAGACAAGGCAGAACTCCTCAAAATATTCAGCGCTGGCTTCTCCTTCTTTGTCGCGGGCGTTAATGATGGAAGTATTGGAGCGCTAGTGCCTCACATCATTCGCGACTACAACGTCACGACCGCAATTGTCTCATCAGTGTAAGCTCATCTCATCACCAATTCACCCCTCACACTAATCTCTCCAGTTACGGCGCAAATTTCATGGGATGGTTCTTCGGTGCATTCTCAAACACTCATCTTTGTCAAATTTTCGACCTTGGCTCAATGCTTGCACTGGGTGCTGTCCTACAAGTCATCGCTCATGCTCTTCGGGCCTGGAAACCGCCATTCGCACTATTCGCTGTAACATTCTGGTTAGCTAGTCTGGGACAAGCATATCAAGACACGCATGGCAACACATTTGTCGCCGGGACGAAGGGATCACATCGGTGGCTTGCGTTTATCCACGCGATGTATATGGCTGGATGCCTTGTTGGACCATTTGTAGCGACAGGCGTGGCGTCTGCAGGAACTACCTCAAGATGGTACCTTTTCTACACTTTCCCGCTTGGAATTGGCGTACTCAACGTCGTATTCGTGATCTATGCGTTTTGGGATACTCTCAAGCTCAAGAGAAAGCAGAAGCCGACTGAAAGGACTCTCGAGGCTGATCAATCCCCCGTTTCAAGGAATGACGACGCTTTCGCTTTGATCAAAGAGACTCTCAAGACCAAAAACGTGTGGCTCATCAGTCTGTTCTTCTTTTTCTTTCTCGGAGCCACACTCACTGCCAGCGGATGGGTGGTTGAGTACCTTGTCGATGTGCGAAATGGCGACATCAACCAGATGGGTTTTGTGCCTGCTGGATTTAGTGGAGGGTCTCTACTTGGAAGGCTATTTCTCGCCGAACCTACGCATAGGTTTGGAGTCCGAAGAATGATCTTTGGGTTCACCATTATCAGCATTGCTCTGCAACTGCTGTTCTGGCTGTATGTCCTGTCCTTTCCAAATTCGCTATTATCACTAATATGCACAGCGTTCCCAACATTATCGCTGCATCTATCGCTATCAGTTTTCTAGGTTTCTTCATGGGTCCATATTTTGCCACTGTAAATATCCCCAAACTCATCTGATGGACATGGCTCACACCAACAGGGCATTGATGTCGGCTCCAAACTGTTCAACCCTCGTATCCAATCGACTGCTTTGGCATTCGTCTTTGTCTTTGCACAACTCGGAGGCTGTATGTTTCCCATCATCACTGGACTTGTCGCTGCGAGTGCTGGTGTTGGGATTCTGCAACCTGTTCTTTGTGCGCTGTTAGTTGCCACGGCAATCTCCTGGTTGTTTGTCCCGATGCCTAAGGACACTGACAATCCAACGCTGCACCAAGAGTAATCACCGAATTCACATCAACATGATTTGAGTAACTTGGTCCCCGTAGGAAATTCCAATCTGCTGTTGAGTTGAGTTTATCACATGAAGTACAGATGGATGGATTGATGTTGTGGTAGGGGCACTCCTTCTGCATGCTTCTTATTGTGAATAACCTCCAGTCCAGGATCCAACACATCTGATTTGACGAGTGCAGGCGGACAAAAGCCAAGGTGGCTCGGAATTATTATTTGATCTGAGCTGACATATGGATGTGAGAGATAAACCCCGTACGATACGGCACTAAGTTCTGAGCGACGAGAAGGTCTCGGATGAATAAAGTTGTACGGAACAAAGTTACCTTATGTTTCGAGCAAAGTCTCCGATGCCTCAATAAAACCTTCTTATTCTGACTTTACTCTACCCTGGTAGAAAATTTCCCAGTAGACATCGAAATACGCCTTGCTGGCTCTCTTCCTGGCAGCACTTACTCACTCAATTACCCTTCTTTTACAAAATTCCAACCACAAACCTCAGTTTCGAAAAATCGGCATCCCCGTCGACTTCTCCGTCGACTTCATCAAACAGTTCCAAGATGGACATCTTCAATATTCCAGTCGAGATGAAGCTCGAGATATTCAGCTATCTTGATCTAACGGACATGAGCGCAATAATATCAGCGTCACCTACCATGTTACGCTGCTTCGAGACAAACGAGCAACGCATACTCAAGGAATATAAGACTGAAATCGGTGACTTTTACCAAAGTCTCTCCAATATATTTCTTGCTTACCATGTTGGCCGTCTTTATCGCATACGAGAACGCCACTGCATCGACACGCAAGAGATGGTTAAAACGCAGGTTCGACCTGTGCTGGACGAGATCAGGAAGCTGAACTTTGCTAAAGCATGGAATGAGCCAGGGTTGTCACCTGTCCAGTTGAAGATGGCCCGGGATTCAGAACCGTTCATTCGCGAAGGCTTGGCAACTCGTAGCAGAGTATTCCTGTTGCAGGACCCAGCCTTTAAGGAAAGGCGAGAGGCATATATCGAGTCTATTCTTCTGTTTGAATGCTACACCAAGATATTCTACCATGACGGAGGCTTCTTGTTCACTGGTAGATCCGACATATTGGATAACTTACGGCTGTTCAACAGGCCAACCTGTGGCCAAATACCTCCCACACAATCGAAACAATTATACAGATTCGAGCTCCAGTCCCAGTTTCGAGACTTATATAAGATGGGGCGACGACCGCTGGACGATATACCTTGGATCAGCGAACCAACTGTAGTCCAGGAGCAATTCCAGATGCATCTTATGATGCAAGGATATTCCTTTCTGGATCGTCTGCAACGCCTTGATCCAATCGATAGAGTTAAAGAACTACGACTTCGCCTTTGGCATTTCGACAAGAGAAATAAATGGGCACAATATGAGGATTTGACGCGGGAAATCCAGAGTGCACTGGATGTTTGGATAAACCGAAACTCTAATTGGTACTAGCGACCCCATAGGTACTGCCTTTCACTACAAAATGGACACTCTTACACAAATCAAAATAATACTTTCTTTGCACGTATGTCTTGTGAGACCTATCGTAGGAAACTTTATATTAGGTGCCTGATGATAAGGTTCCTATCATGAATTACATTTTTCAGGCACGGTAACTCCAATGCCTACCTAAACGAGACCCTTTGTTGCCTTGCCTTGCCTTAACATGCGATTTCCGCTGAGCATAAAACGCGGTATTTACCTGCTTCCACCAACATCAACACATCACGTACACTACACTTATGACGTCAAGCGCAGTCTTTCCACATTAAGTATAAATTATGGTTATCCCAAGTTCATCTACATGGAGTCCCTTTCAATACTCTCCGACCTTCTATTCTGCGTCGTAACCTGCGTCTTATTAAACTTCCCCGACCCATTGACCAAACTCTGCTCATCATTCTCACTATATTGCACTCTAAACGTCCTCTGCATCTCAATTCCTCCATGCTCAGGTGAATGTATCGAATCGGCTGTCTCAGAAGGAAGCTCCACACGTGCAGCACGACTGCGACTCAAGACGTGTGACTTGCGGCCGTAGTTCTCGCCGTAGTTGTTGTACTTGCTTGAGTTGTATGATGAGCCGCCGAGGGCAGGGAAGATGCGGACGAGGAGGACACGTAGGGCGGGCATGGAGGCGCAGATGATACCGATGTTAATTTCGACGGTTGACCAGATTGAGACGTCGGTTTGGTCGTAGGTTGGGTTGGTGGAGGAGCCAAGGTGAACGATGTACTGAAGACGGATGATGCTCACGACGGTGACACTGAAAGGTTAGCTAGGCTTTTGACAGGTGGGAGGGCACGGGACTCACAAGGTTCCGACGATAAACATGGCGGCAACACCAATCTTCTTCTTCCAATGTAACTTGAGCTTACGGAGATACCACATTGGGATACCCAGCATCCAAAAGTCAAGAATGATACTGATTGCTGCATTGGCCCAACCGATAGATGCAATGTTAAAGCTGGAGAGTTAGCCGGGTCACCAGAGTTCCAAAAAGGCACATACCATTTTCCTTCATGCTCACCATCCCAGCTGAGCCAGAAATAGTTGACAGGCGTGCACTGGAAGGCCGCCAGGAACACAAAGACAACACCGTAAACAGTGTTGAAGATAATAGTCCCCCAAAGAAGCTTCTGCGCATGACCCGGGAAAATCCGTAGGTAGAAGAACAGCAACGACGTTTTGAGAAACGAGACTTGAGCAAAGTAGAAGACTTCCAACAGCCAGAAGTAAAATCCGAATTTGGTAATCTGGTCGAACTCGAGCGTCCAGATATCACGACCCTCTCCGTGTCCAGCTGTACCATGAATATTCATTGCCGTCGACGGCATACCGATGAGAAGTGTGAGACAAATAAATAGATCGTCGAGACCGAAGTCGGCTTGGCTGAGGAAATACTTTGTACCGAGGCGAAGGAGGATCGAGACACCGGAAATAACGCCGAGAACGATGGTAACATTGATGAAAATCGAAGTCTTGTCTCGGACGGGATAGTCGCAATAGGTGTAGGTCATGTTGAGAGTAGCTGTAACTGTTAGCTTGATTCTGTGGTTGTTCTCTGTACATACTCAAACTGTCTTTGACACTGCAAATTTCAGCTGCACATCCTTCCGCTGTTTTGATGGTCGTTTGTCCAGCACACAAGCAAGACACATCGGTAGTCTTGCATTCTGAATTAATAAAAGCATCTCTATAGCAAGGAGACTTTAACAATTAGCAACGGTCAAACAGCAGAGTGACAAACTTACAGAACAACTAGGCAGAGTCTTGAGCAACTCCGTCGTGTTTCCAAAATCTGCTACAGTCCAGGGCACAAAGGCCAGTAGCAAAGGTAAAGCCCACTTCATGATCGACAAAAGTTAGCGAGACAATCACCCGCCCTGCGGATCCTGTTCTGGGGGAGCTACTATATATGGTCCGCCCACATACCCTGACGTCCATCGCCTCAAGTGGGTTGAAGGATTTAAAGACTTGGTCCTTGAAGGAACCCTGCTCAGTTCGTCTCATCTTTCCAGCCCCGGAGCGTGCTATACTCAACGTGGTAGACATGGCTGTGCTTCCGTAGCATTGGGGTTATACCATGCAAGGCAGGCCCTTAGAATAGCGTCATTTCTTTGCCACGAGGTGGTGAACCAACCTGCATTTTGAGTCCCATTCGCTAAACATGTATGACAATCTTATAGGATCAAACAAGGGTAACTTGCCAGATAATCTCTTTTTGTTAGATACCCCGTGTTTCATGGCGACGTCGGTTCTCTTTCTGGAAGGTCGTGACAGTTGGTCTAGCCCCTGCGCTAAGAAAAGAACCAACGCCGAGGATGACATTCCATCAGCCAGTTTTTGATCCCCTGGCTTGGCATGTGTCAACGGCCCGATCCCTGGTCCGCCAAGGATATGGGGAGAGGTAATTATCTCCAGCAATCTTTGAGGGTAAGCACACGATTCTAGAATATTATTCCTTTTCTTCAGGTATTACTTGCATAAAACCAATATTTTCCTTCCCCCTTTTCCTTTCTGTGCCGCATCATAATTCCAAAAGCAGGTTAGGATGTCCGGCAATAACCCTTGTATGCCGTTCTGTCAGGTCAGACTTGGCAAATGGACCGGAACGCCACACGATGAGACAAAAGGGTAAAAACACAGTAATCCGAGTAACAGAAAATGCAGGTCAACCAGAATAAGTAATTGTTTCGTAGGATGTTGGTTACTCATCAATAAGGTTTTAGACTATAGGGACCGGTTTTCGGGTATGATTTTCAAAAGCGGAGTGTGCTCCATGACCATCATCTTCAGTGCAACAGCGAAATCCTCACGGACCAAGCCTAGAACACCAGCCCTGTACATATTGAACTAGCGGCGTAGGATTGTCACATCAACGGTTGACTAGGACGTAATCTGCATAATTATCTTTCAAGTACTCTGTCGAATGGCGGCAATACCACTCGCCAAGAAGTTTAGTATCCTGTTTCTTCTCTGCGCGCGTTGTAATTAATTGTTTATGCCTCCAAGATTCGCGTGCCATGCCAAGTGGTATCGCCGAATTCGACTATCGCAGCATTGGAACTGCTACGTAGACTGTTGCAGTGATGACACGCCGATTAAACCTTGAGACTTATCTCATGTTACCGTAACATAGGAGTTGACGTGCTGTTCTAGATCTGTGCGCCATGTGACGTCCAGGACTATCCCTGGTACCAGTTTTAGCGACGTCGGGCATGGGCGCATAAACGACAGTGCTTCATCCCAACGCCCGTATGTGTAATCTTACACTTCGATCCCCGGATTCAGCTGCTGGTCTCTTTGGGTCCAGAACGTTGGATTCTAGAAAGCTGCTCTTGAGAATTGGTTTCTCGCATCTTTGTTCAAAATTGGTCACCATGTCGCTATGGGTACTGTGGAAAACTTCACCCGGGATCTTCTCTGCCGCTCGAATCCACAAAGACTGGATATATCGCCTTACAGGGATGGTCTAATGTGCTCAAGAGTCAAGGGTCGAGGCGAAAGGTGGACCGTAAATGCAAGGAGACGTCTGCCCAAGCATTGTGGCACTAACATACCCTAAATGAAAGCCCAAGTGAAGACGTGAGTGAACAAATTGCCTATTCAGATAGAACCAATAACTCCTCAAATTAATTCACTCGTGAGTCCAAAGAATATATGATTTGGGATCAATGTAGACTTATCCGTTGTCGCTGACTCTCAAAGTCGTTTTTGGAAACTGGTAGCCATATGGGTAGATAAATGACTTCAAAAATATCGTTCTGAGATAAATGAAATCACAGCCATTGAGATGGCAATCCGTTCATGTTCCCAACCCCCAAGTAAACCTAAGTAGTTTTTAAGTACTGAAAAGTGTTACCTTTTTAATTTATATATCAATATATGAAGTCTCTCTATTTTGCTGATAAAAAAGAGGAACATTGAGACTTTACCTTTTCTATTCATACTTTTACATATGTATTATTATCTTATTAATAGTATCTATTAGAAGCTTATGTAGAACTGTGAAGCTGTAGATATCTGTACACCGCGCTGCCAGTTGCCGCAGAATTGACTAATTTGATTGCTCCACTAGCCGCAATGGCATTCTACTGTCAACGCTCGCGTCATTCATCACTTACTACCTGCCACTCACCACAACTCGATACCTTGCAGCAATGTCTTCTGTCGACAACAGTGAAGTCTCTGAGCCACCGACCAGACACCTTCGGGGCGGAAGGGTCCAGAAGCGTCGAATCCCAGCTGAAGAAGAAGATGAAGAAGGAGATGGCGAATCCTCGGTGCAAGAAACTGCTCCCAAGAAGCGTAGGCCTGGTCGACCCAAGGGCTCAGCGAACAAGCGAAAACTCAGCAAGGCCGAACAAACCCGACAGAAGGGAGAAAAGAGAGAACCTTGGTAGTACCATCAGGAAAGGTGATGGTGTTGACGGTTGGACCATCATGCTCGTCAGGGGTGAACCAATGGACGAAGTTGATAGTTCGACGACTATTCTCGTCGATACCATGCCAGTCATCTTTCTTCTGCTTTTTCAGCGTTATTGAGACTTCGGCGTGATTGATGGAACGCTTTGTCCTTACATATTCATTTAGCCTGTTGTTACTGTGATGGCTGCAAAAGTTCCTAACCCCTGCTATTGCCAATGTTTGTTGGTTGACTGACCACATCTAACCCTGTTCCAAGGTTTCCAGGCAGCAGTGACTCAAATAGAACATGTTGTCTATTTAAATCACCCACTGTCCCTGGGTCTAACAGTCTCCCCACTCATCGTTTATCCTGACCTTTCCTTCAATCCAAATCCGAGCAGAAGCTTTTTTCCCCATGGCTATCAACATAAGCACTTTGCCCACCGAGATCCTCGACAAGGTAATTCACCTCGTTGTCGATGGCAAGAATTGGCGGCCCGCCATTATCCCATGCCTGTTAGTCAATCGCAAATGGCGGGATGTCTGCCTGGCGATACTCTATGGAGAGTTGGTGCTATTCTGCATCACTCCGTTGAGTCGGTTTCTAGTATGCCATGACCAGCAGGCTACTGCCAATCTGACAAGATCCGTCACCTTCTACCTAAGCCAGGGAGAGAACCCGGACTCATCCACATACAATCAGGTTCTATTATCAACCCAGCAGTTAATCGAAGATGTTATCCCTTCGATGAACAACCTCAAGTCATTCTCCCTCAAGCGTCAACATCCCCTACACAACGTATGGCTCACTAAGTCAACCATTTCGCTGTTGCTAAACACCCTCACTGTAAGCTGCACAGGTATAGAGCTTGAGGCATCCCTTCAAGATGGGAACACCCCAGCTCATGTTTGCGAGGACTTGCGGCGATTGCTACCACGTATGGAGCACGTTCATATTGATTTGGAACCAATTTGCGATGCAATGCTTGGCACCTGGGACGTCGACGAAACTTTCCATCCCATCAACCTTCCTCAAATACGAAGTCTCCACATAGACTGTGTCGGGGATGGTCACTCTGGCAAAGAAGGTTGTGTGGAGAGATATCAACAAGCCAAGCCTTTGACACTCGGTCATTCACTGGTTCAAGCATCGCAGCAGTTGATCGAGCTTCCAGGGACAGCTTCAGCACATTTCACTGTTCTAGGGACTTCACCGCAAGGCTATGAGAACCAGTCCTTGTATTGGACGCTCTTGCGCTGTCGCATGATGAAAGAGCCCCAGGGCGTGAGGACAGAAACTTGGAGATTTCCCGCCGTATGGCAGATAGGACATCTCTATTCAGCATACTACATCCGGATGAGGCATGAGGCATACGTGATTGATAATCGAAATAAGGCCATCGATGTGGCCGGGGGGCGTCCATGGCGTACGCTGATTACGAGCACAAGACTACCCAGGGCTCTTGCACACGACAAGGAATTGCTGCCGGACGATGGCATCATCAACCACAAAGATTGGACCAGAATGTACCCGAAAAAGCAGCCCTGGTTGATATACAACGAGAGAAAAGCAGGAATGAGTCTACTGCATGCCGAGCTACAGGAGGGCTATGAAGAGAAAAGCTTGTTGGAGTACACACCAAAGGGATTCGTACGGTACGGCGGACCTGTGTGGCAGTACACGCGGCTTTACGCCGAAGATGATGAACCGCCAGAAGACTGGGACCCTAATGGTCCAGACGGTTCAGTAGTAGGTTGAAGGCATCTTGCTATCTGGCAGATACAATGCTCTGTATTATTCGTATCTCTGTCTACCCCCGCATACCATAGTCTATCTCACTCTCGTACCAAGACCATATTCCAACGACGAATACTGCAGGCTTAACATTAAGATCTTCCATGAAGGGCCTGAATTGATTCATGATTGGAAACATGCAACTTTCTCCACTCCCTCAGCACCCTGCTTCAGCTCAACTTTAACCTTTGCGCATGTAGCGTCATGCTTTGGGCACGTCTGCTCGAAGATCGGCTGTGGCTCGTTCAGGAAGCAGACATCGGTGAAGCAGTAAAGATCAGAGCTATCAACCCTTTCCACAAACTTCAGGAATCTCTGGCTACCACCCACACTCAAAATAACCGTAGCCAACTGGTCGACAAACCGTTGGCCTTCTCAATTTGCCATTCGCTTTATCTTCAAGTCTTTTACTTCTGTGTAAAGATCGTAAAACAGGTGGCAAATCTCATTCGACCGTTCAGGCGCTTTCATTGCGTCCTTCAGTTCGTCGATTTAGTGAGTTTGCTGTTGCAACCGTTCCTCTAGCGCCCTGTTCTTGTCTGAAAGCTCAGCAGTCTTTTATGCCTGTACTTGGAGCTCGCCCATCTGTCGGAGGGTATTTCCATCTCGCGCTTGAAGGTCCCGAAGCGCTTGCAGCTGGTTGTCGGAGGACGTTTTGCTCTCTTTCAGCGCAGAAACCAGGTCATCTCTAACTTTCACACTCTGACGTAGGTCACCGAGCGAGCTCCGCAAGAGCTCGATCTCTCGATCTTTACTATCGAGGGTCATGTCGTGTTCCTGTTGAATCTGTTGGATAGCCCTTGTGTTGGACTCGAGGCTTGATGAAACTTCCCTCTGGAGACGGTCTAGCTCTTCGTCCTTGGCATCCAGTCGACCTTGGTATTCTTCATGCAGAAATGATAATTCTCTTTCCTTTGACTCGAGCTGAGTGTTGAAGTCTTTTCGCTGGCGTCCAATTTGGTTCTGTTTGACGAGTTGACCTTGGTATTGCTCCTTGATGGCTTCCAGGTTGGTCTTGTGTTCGTCTCGAATGCGGGAGATTTCTTCTTCCTTGTCGTGAAGTCGAGTTTCGTGGAATAAGCGATTGTTCGCCAACTCGGTTCCCTTGGCCTCGGAAAGCTCGTCTGTGTGTCGTTCAAGAGTCTGTCCCATTCGCAAAACTGTTTCTTCAAGACTGCCGACTTGCTTGACAAGCTCAGTCAAGATCTTGGTGCCGTCTGTCAACATCTGCACACCTGTTTCGTGGGATTGAGTGGTGGTCATTTCTATCCTAGATAGCTGAGCGACGTCGAATCGAGGTAAGCCACCCAAAGCCGAAGAAAGATTGTCCCTGGCATCTTGCAGCTCTTGTTTCGTCGCGAAGGGAGTGAGACAGTTCTTGAAGTCGTCAATAAATTGCCTCCATTTGTCCTCCCACTAGGACTGAGACCGGTCGATGGACTCCGCAATCGAACCTGTCTGCTGCGCAGCTTCTAGTACCACGTCCCGAGTCTCGGTTGTTAGCGCCGTGTAGCTCTCGAGTCTCATGTAGATTTCGCCAATCTTTCGTAGGATTTCCTTGCCGCTTGAACGGGCCTGAGTCTTTGTTGTTTTAGCCAAAGTCTCTGCCTCGTCCATCGCCGCGCTCAATGTGGTCATCTTTTCAACGATCTCGTTTTGGGCTTTCTCGACATTGTTTTCCACATTCTTCTCCAGATTCTGAATCTGTTCGATGATTCGTCTTATGAGGGCGCTGTTTGGAAGGTCTTGGATGAGCTCCTTCAGCTCTTCCATTTCGTGGGCGATCCTTTCGCGGAGCGACTCTCCATCAAACTACCCGACATTAGAGACGACATGCCTACCGTCTGGTCCAATATTGGTGGTATTTCTGTCGTGGTTCGCCTGTAAAGCTTCTACCTCTTTCTTGGCAACTTCAAGATTGTCTTGCAAGGACTGTGCTGCCTGTCTCAAAGAAGTGATCGTGTGTGCATCGTTGTCACAGTTGGAAATTTTGTCGATAATAGACCCGAGTGTCTCCATTTCCATGTTGCCAATGGCGTTGACGCGATTTTTTGTTGTTTGTTATTTGATGTTTCTTTTGAGGGGCAGATCATCCAAGACGTACAAACAAAACAGTTCCTTTTTTTTAAACGGGTCTCAGCAACATTATCAGTGTTTGGCACTGTCAAATTTTGGCAAGTTTTGGTGATCTTAATAAGCCAATCAAAGAACGTCTGCCTTACCTTTAGTCGTTGCTCTGGACTACCATGTTCTGATTTCTTTTTCCTACCTCCACAAACACATTTCTTTCCATTCATTGAGAATTAAACACTCCATTCTTTGAGAAAATGGATCTTACTACTATTCTCGACTAGAAGTTCCACAATATCCGGGCCTTGGACGGCGACGGTGCAACCGCTGGCATGGTTCATCTGTTGAGGTACCAGCTGCCGCCATCAACCTCAGTCGCAGAGGTTGGATATGACACCAGCGGCTTAGACTGTCTTCTGATCGTCATTCGTCTTTTGAACAGCTTCTTGATTCCTCTCTCGTCGACAACTACCGGGATGCTGAAGTGACGAATCCAATACTCCGTCTAGCCTGGCAAAACATCACTTGGACCGAGTCCGCAGTTCAGGATTGTGTCAAAGTGAAGGCGTTGGTGCTGGAAGCTTTCGAGCCACAGGGTGCACGGGATAGCAAACTCACCTTCGAGGGACTTGCCTTCTCTCAACTGATGGAAGACACCTTTTGGTCACGCGATGAGTTCTCTGTGATCCATGAGGTTTTGATGAAGCCAAAGGGTGCAAATGGGTGGCTATCGGCTGGGACAAGTCCGCAACAACGGGTCAACATGGGCACTCCCGTGATCCGCATGCGCAGGTTCCCTCCCGGCATCTCATTCGAGAACACCGTCGGTAAGGTATTCGAGATCAACCTCTTGGCGAATGGTGACCGGATTGCCCGGCTTTGTGGGAGACCATATTCGCTTCGATTCAAATACGTCAGAGACAAGGACCGTATTTGCTCCTTCAAGGAAATCAAGAACATCTGGGTTCCCATTGCTCAGTTTGAAGGACATGAACTGAAGGCTACGGAGAAGAAAGCGCTGTATACTCTGGTTGCGGCAGTGTTCTTGGACACAAACCAGATACATATGTACAACCCTATGGGTTCACAAATTCTGCCAGACGTTGAGAATCCCGTCACCCATGGCAAGCGATGGAGCGTGGAGGACAAGAAAGATGGGTCGTTTTTGCTGTTCTATGTCTGTGTTGGTGACCTTCATTCGGGGGATCTGCAGTGGGATACATTCAATGAGAATTCCGTACGCAGAGTTATGGATTTCGAGATCAACCTCGAGTAACTCTGCGCATGTGGGAAGGTCAAGCTGGACTGGCATTTGATACAGTTTTTCATAGAAAATCAATTGATAAAGACTCTACAAACGAAACAGTCCCCCTCTTGTTTGCGAATTCTCGTGAAACGTTATAGCCTGCTGTGACTAATGTCGTCGCTCGAGCGACTAGAAAGCCCAGATCATGTTGCTATTCCAACGAAGAAATCAAAACCTCATCCAAGTCCCTGTACCGGATCGTGCCATTCTTGAACGCTCTAATAAGTCCTCCGACCTTGTGCTGAAGCGGGACTATCTCCTTCAGCTGCAGGTACTTTCGTATCAAGCGAACTGTCAAGACAACAGTGCCAAAGCAAGCGCTTATGATCGACAAAGCTGGATGCGGCCCAGCATAGGCGAGGATCAGACAAGAAGCCATCCTGCAAATGTTAGAGAGGCAAGTTGAACGGTGTTGGACTTACCGAATAGCGAGATCCGAAGATATAGACTTTACAGGATGCTGCTCTTGTTTCTGGATTATTTGCAGGATATCTTGGAGCATTGCAAGCTCTCGGGTCGCGTCACCCCTCAAGTGTATTATTTTTGTGTTCACCTTTAAGTTACTGTGTTCTGATAATCTTAGTATTAGCCAATGACAACATTAGGGCTTGGTCTCTGACTCTGCTGGTTCAAGGATCTTCTGATGAGACCAGGAAGGTCGTGGTGATGAGTGAAGCACTCGAAGTAGCGTCTCAGATAATTGTTTGCAGCGCGTCTGTGGGATTCGAACTTCTCGTAGAAACCCACATCTTCAATGTCTGGTCCAGAATCTTGTCCTGGATTGAGATGGGCTGACTCGTTTGTTTGCAGTTTTTCTCTGTCTGGTTTGTACATTTCGGCGGTTAAAGAAGAAGCTGTTCAGCGACATCCCCGAGAAACTACGCTCAGAAATACGAATACCTGAACAAAGGAAAACTGGTAGGAACCTCTTATTGGTTCAAAAGACAATCAATCTCTTGAACTAGAGTATGAATGGCAGTTCCACAACACAATGCAAGTGGCGTTTTTCTAAGCTACCATTGGAGTGTGCAACAGGGTGACTTAATTATTTTATCTCTTCTGCTTTCGGGGGTCAATGGTTTCGATGCTCGAAGGCTACAGCGCAAATAGCATTGTCGTGTTGAACGAATATATTAGGGTATCAGTTGATTCTAACGGCTTTCTCATTCCTCCTCCTCTTGTGGTCTATCCAGCGCATTTTCTGCTGGGCGCTCGGGCACCAAGAACACAGCAAACGACGTTGAAGGCAGCGAGATGCAGAACATTGCAAAAGCAACAATAAGGTTGGTAAGAGATGGCACCTTGGCTGCACCAACTCCAAAGGCCAAGCACGAGCCAAGAGACTCAAAGGATCGGACAAGACCAACAGCGAGTGTCAATGTCTCGACATCTTGGAAGAATGTTCCGATGATCCAGTATACAAACATGTAGTGAGACTCGTTCATAAATCTGACAAGTTAGCTTTTGCTTGGCAAAGGGTCTTGGAAACGTACCGAAGAAGAACTTGCACAGCGAATCCGCGTCCAAAGCCAGGAAGATCCCAGTCCAAAGTCACAGCAGGGTTGGCATTGCGATACTCCAACTCCATAGCAAACTGCCAACCGAATAGCGCAGTCATAGTGACCGCAAGGAAGGCCCAAGTAACTCTCGCAAGCTGAGGTCGACTGAAGTACTTGAGATCAAAAAACCATCCCCAAAAGACATTGGCAGCAGTAGCAGCGATACCAGAAGTCAATGATGCCAAGGCGCGGGCTCGAACGGAAAAGTAGTTGACGAGGTAGATTCCAAGGTACGTGCTGTTCCAGTTAAAGCCGACCAACATGGGGATCAGAAGGTAAAACTGCTTGCGTTGGATGAGAGCGCCCCAACGTCGGAATTGTTCCTTGATGCTCTTGTTCGTTTTCGAGTGGGGAAGCTTGGAGCCATCAGATCGGATGACTTTGTGAGGAGGTGAGATCAGGAACGCGAGAGGTAGGCCGAGGCATTGAAGAGCGATGAGTACGAGATATGTGGTGTATCCGACGCGACCACGTTTTCCAGAATCGACGTTGAGGGAGAGTTGAATTGAAGAGCCGATGAGTTGACCGAGTTCTCGCAGACCAAGCCAGATTCCAGCTACAATAGTTAGTACAGAGAAATATTGAGAGGAGTCTGACGTACTGAATTTTCCACGGTCCTTGATATCACCGTATCCCAAAGCGATGGCACCTTCAGAAGCCCACAGCGCTGAAGCTCCGATACCGCAGGTAGCACCGCCAAGCAAAACAAACCATTCCACTCCATATCGGTTATTTGTGTAGAGAGCAGCGGAATAAGGAGCATATCCAAGGGTACCGATGATAAGAACCCATTTAAGACCGATTTTATTGGCAAGAATACTAAACAGAGAGCATCCGAAGACCATGATACCAAAGGTGAGTGAATTGGCTCCATTGACGAGGTATGGCTCTTGCTGACCACCAGCGCCGGTATCTACAAAGATTAGAATGATTCTGAAGTTTTTGGATACACATACTGTTCAGAGCATTCCAGATTCCTGGTTGTGTGAAAGAAATCAATCCAACGATAATAACGTTGAACAAAGGACTGCGATACCATCGTGTAAATCGAGAGACAGGCTTGGAGTGCTCTGTAGTCTCTTCGACAGCACCCTTGACAGGTTGCTCTTTATCGCTACTGTTATCCACGACAGCAGACATTTTGACGGCTACTCGAAATCTTCCATCTTACAACTCAACTGCAGACTTCTTTCTTTTATAACGCTTCATATCATCTATTTGCCTCAATATTTTCATCAATGGTGTATCAAATGTGGAGGTTCCTTCTCCAACTGTTCCTAATCCGGCTAGAATCGCAAGTTCCCCGACGGTTCAGTTGATGATTATTCCCACTTTTGCTGTTATCCGTCTTTTTCGTGCTCGACAGGGTCGATGGCGACATGATGAAAAATGTGAGTCAATGCAGATCTAGATATAGGTGAGTGCATTAGTTTGTGTCAATAGATTAGATGGAGTAATCTATGTATAATATCCATGTTAAATACCGTTACGTCCAACCCGCCTTCCCCCGAATTTCTCGTCGGAAGCTTAAAAAGTGACCAATCATGAGCGTTTCCGACGGGCATCCTTCGACCCTGACTCGAACCGGGGACCTGGCAAGTTCTCCGCGTTACAGTCAGTCACTCTTTCCCCCCGATCTCCTCCTCAACAATCACGTTTCTCCTCTTAAGCATCGCGTGCTTTATTTCACCGTGAAACCCACTGTCCTAATTATTCGGTTCACAAAACAATCGCCGAGTATTTGGATCGAAAACACCAATAAATGGCGGGGAATTCGAACTTGGACCTCCAGACTCAAACGTCCCCGCTCCAAGCAGGTGATTCGCCGCGTCCAAGACAAGCAGCTTGTCTCGTGTGTCGTCGATCAAAGATCAAATGCGATTGGAAGGAGAATCAGGAAAGATGCAGAAGATGTATCCAGCTTGACTGCGAGTGTGTACGGCCTGCATATCATCCAGGTCGTCAAAAGGGCATTAAAAAGTGAGCTTCAATTGACTGCAATTGACCTGACCTACGGCTAACAATGTTAGTAAACGTACAGGCTTGGACAAAGCGCTGTACCAAATTGACCAAGCCGTCAAACGCGCTCGCTCAACGTCACAAAAGAATCCCGAAGATGATAGGATTCTATCGCATTTGCAAGATTTATTGAGTGGCGCGAATTCTCCTGATGCCCCGCAGACACGATACAGTGCTAGTGGCGATGGTGATGAGGACGCCTACTCGGAGGAGGAAGAGGAGCAGGAGCAGGATCCTGTGGTGATGCCAGAGTTTATTCAACGAACACAGCAGAGTCTCGCGATTGATGATGCGGAAAATCCGTTGCAGCTTCTTGCGAGGGCGTCCTACATCCAACCGTCACCAGAGTCGCGACATGGGAATTCACCTCTGCAGGCGCATACCGCGAGTACCACTGGTCAAACGGAGGATGAAATACAGGCATTCTTTGCGCCGGCACAGGCACATTTAGATGTTGGATCTGATGTCGACCCTGTCACTTTGGGCCTTGTGTCGGAAGATGAAGCAGACAAGCTATTTCACTTGTAAGTGCCCGCCCCGATTGTCCGGGAATCATGCTGACCATCAGCTTTCATCGCAATCTTGCGCACACTCGATGGGGTCTCGATCCAAGGATATACACTGTCGAATTCACTCGCTCAAGATCCGCCTTCTTATACACATCCATCATGGCCGCATCAGCTCTCTTCATGCCATCCGCAGCAGCCCTTTCAAAACGACTCTCGAACCACGTCAGGACCCTCGCGCACAAAGTTGTAGTGAAACGCTATAGGTCTGTTGAGATTGTTCTTGCATTCATGGTGAATATTCCATGGATGTTCCCCGGACAGCATTCTACCGACGATGAAACCTGCACCTACATCTCCATCGCGAACACTGTCGCCACCGATTTGTCCCTTCACAAAAGTCTTGTATCGCCGGAAATGCTAGGCTCAGGTTCGGATATCGGCTTGGCGAGAGGTGATTGTCTTGATCCAAGAGCAGCACTAGCAATGGACGGTTTTCCAGAACTTGACCCGTGGTCTGAAAAAGGACGGCTGTTTCTCAGGAATCGAGAAAGATGTTGGCTCTCATTATTTGTGTTGGAAAGAGGAATGTCGCTTGCTAGAGGACGACCATTTTCTGTGCCAATGACACGGTCGCTAAAAGACTGTGACAACTGGCACCTATCTGAATTTGCGGATCCTCTTGACGGACACCTTGTTTCTATGGCTGTTCTGAGACGGAATTTGGACGGACTGTTTGCCGCTGTGAGAGGTCTTTGTGATGGCTCACAGATGCCTTCCAGCGACGGTTCATTGATTGCACAATCGTATGTATCCTGCCACCTATTTGGGGTTTGCTAAGCTAACATGCTCAGAATCCAAGGATCAATCGAACGCTTCTTCGATCAGTGGTATACCGATTGGGGCGTCTCTATCGGCAAAGGACCAGGTAAGATGCTCGATTCTTTGGTAAACCTCGCTAACCATCAGACCGCCGTCTCCCTCCATACGTTGAAATTCTCGTCACCCACACCCGTCTTTCCATCTACGGTGGTGTGATAAACCATCCTACAGCTCCTCTCGAAGTCCGTCGTTTCTTCCACACAGCCGGTCTCTCCTCGGCTCTCAACGTCATGCGCGCCGCGATACAAGGAGAATCTCAACTTCAGTCCATGCCGAACAACACCGCGATCATGATTTCCTTTGCGGCCTGTTTCGCTCTGACACTAAGTTCCTACGCGACTGGCGGTTCTGCTCTGGCTCCTAGTGTCAGAAACCTCATCGACGAAACCGCCACCGTTCTCGAAAGAATCGGAAAAGTAACACGACATCGAAACGGTCTTTCCATCAAATACGGAAAATACCTTAAGCAAATTGTTAGGAGAGCAGCTACCGGAGACGGCATATCTGATCCTAGAATGCCAATCGTTAATGAAGCGCCCATGACGACGCCCACCTTTTTAGATCAGCAAGCTCTATGGCCGGAACCGATACACTTCTCTGCCATGTCAGATGATCAAATCGTTCAAGCTCTGAACCAGCCTGGTAACGATTTCGAGCCTTCATTTGGTGGACTCTCATGGGATGACATGACGAATTTCGAATGGCTTTATTGGCCTGAAGTTGGTATATAACATAAATCAACGAAGCGTTTCCTGTTCCTGTTTCTCCAATCCACCTAGCCAATCAAAAGAAGTAATCTGTCGCAATTTCTCCATGAATACAAATGTCAAAACAGTGTGAGGTCTAGAAAGTTAGCTTGGTTGTGTATAGGAGTGGGTAACGTACGTGAGTCTTAACCAAGCGGGTGTCCAGCCTCTCATGAGGAATCGGGGACCTTCTTCGCGAAGACCAGTGCTGAGGACTTGAGCGAGACCTTCTTTGCCTGCGTTGGACTGCATGCGGCTTTTCAAGACGTCTGCTGGTGCACAGATGGTTGTGGCCATTGTTCCGGCTGCTAGGGAAGAGATGGCGTGGGTCTTTGTGTCGTCTTTGAAGTTGTTGGCAAGAAGATATTGTTTGGCCGAAGCATATCTAGTTTGTTAGTCAAGCCACCGCCATCGTCCAATCAACAACTTACGTAGCAATTTGAGAGACATCTATGACTGTTAGCAAAATCACAAACAGAATCTGCTGCACTCACTCATCAAAGCACTTCTCGCGATATTAGGAGCAAGACCCTTCCAGAACGCCATCATGCCCTCCTCACTATAAACTCTCACCAAAGCGTCCAAAGCATGATTATATCCGAATTGCTGAGCCGGAGCTTTCGCACCATCCGCACACATGCGAACAAGGACAACTTCAGCTGGATTACCAACTAGACCAGCAACACCACCTGCAACACCTGCACAGGCGATGTTTTGTGTTACCGATAGCGGTTTGCCTGTGTGGCTTCTGACTTTATCAGAGAAGTATGTATGGAAGCCAAAACGGGCGGTTGAGTATGTTCCTTGACGGAGGATGGATGCTGATAGACCAGTCCATAGAGATGGGATGCCTATAATTGTTAGAGGCGTCATGATGAGATTGGAGAACATACCATCTCGTGCAGCGAATCGGTACAAGACACTAAGCATAGAACTATTTGACTTTAGGACCTGCATCCGATATTTTGTTTGATCCAGAGGATGTGCTGTAGTTGTTAGTAAAGGTCATGCTTGTAAGTGGTAAACATACTGAAGCAAACAGCCATACAGGCTGCAGCACCGCTATAGACTGTTAGTCATGGTCAAACACCAGACAATATACATACCCTAGCCAAAAAGGCTCCTTGATTTTCTTGTCAGAACCCATATTAACAAATTTGCCCTTCCTCTCTTCCTCTCCTCCTCACTTACACGTTCATGTTTTGTACACTCTCAATCTTATCGGCATCCAGATCTATCTCCGACGTCGTCCCTCATTCTGAACCCCGGAAACAGTGGGTCGATTATTCGGTCTCCAGATCCACCTCCGACGATCAATCGTCATCGTCTCAAAACCGCGACACATCCTCGGCTTCTTTGTAGCTGCAATGTCAAACAACGAAAATAAACCCGACATGTCGAAACTTTCTGCACCGCTGAAAGCTCTTATTAACGCGCCTTTTGCGCGTCCTGGGCCAAGACCTGCACCTGCGCAAGTTCAGGAATTGTTTGAAGCAATTGCGAATGATGCTGCTATTAGGAACCTCGGCCCAAAGTCCTGGTTAACTGTTTCGGTATGAAGATCAATTGCGCACCATGTGCTGTGCTGACGATTATAGGCCGCTGCCACATTTACTCTCAATTCACCCGACTCTCTTCCCGTTCTTCACCAAGTCGCATCGTCGAAGGACCCCAATTCCGCCGTCCAGAATGCCGAGTTCATCCGCGAAGTTGGCCTAAAGTGCATCAGCTTCAACGGCATTCCTCGAACGATCAACTCCCTCAACGCTTTCCACGCATCTCTTCCCGAAGATGTAGCATCGAAACTTAGCACAAAAGCAAGCCGGCAACCGACGTCGCAAAATATTGACGAAGCATTGGCCCGCGGCCGAGGGTTATGGGATTCCATCTATAGACCATACGAAGACAAGCTATTCGAGAAGCTTGCCCTTGCGCATCCCGATTTGCCTGTGTATATCCTTAGCAGCCATTACTCCGCTCTCCTCTCCGATCCTCCTGCCTCCGAGCGCGACACACTTGCTAGTCTCGGCCGAATCCATACTTCCATGATTGCCATCTCTTGTCTACGAGCGCAAACTGGTGTTGGACCTCAAGTGCTATCGCATGTATTTGGTCTGCGAAAGGCGCTTGAGGATGGAACGTATAAGAACGATAAGAATGGCGAGACGGAGGAGAGTGTCAAGTACTTGGCTAGTGATGAGGGCGGACACTGGATCTTGAATACCGTGGATAAGATTGTCGAAGCTATTGGAGGAAGTAGCTTTGCGCCAGGTCGGGAATCGAAGATCTAGTATTTTATGTATAATTGATCAAGCGTTATTTCTGTGATAAATCGTGCTTGCGCATAGTGATCTTGAATCTCGCGCTGTCCCACCACCTCGCTGCAATCACAAGTATATACAAGAACTAAGTTTGCCCTTGGAAAAGAGCAGGACCCTCACCATCAAAGAAGGTCTCATCCAACAGCGAAAGCAGTACCTTCTGTCCAGCCCACTGCTCCTCAACATTGGGCCTGATCTGGTTGGGTGGGAGCACAAATCCTGTCTCACCAGTATCCCTCAACTCAATGGTGTACGAGAACTTGGCCTGTCCAACACTGTACACGTGGTCGGGCGCCGAACCGGTAGTAACGTACAACACAGCGCCACTGGGTCCGAAGGTGTATGTTGTCTTGTCGTCGGAGCTGTCGCGGATGGCGGTGCTGACGAGGGCAGCAGCCTTTGTCCATTTACCAAGCTCGGGCGCGTAGAGATCTTCCTTGTAGCCAAAGGGAGAGAGGATGTATTGACCATACTAGAGCTGTTAGCGGGTGAACAATTGGTCACAAATACTGGGACTCACGCTGTGGAAATCGATGTAGAGAGAAATGCCAACAGTATCTCTCAATTGGCGAACAAACTTATCCAATCCAGCATTCTCGGGACTATCAGCAGGCTTTTCGCCGCGGTAGACCTGTGAGCAAGGATTGGTCGAGGCACCTCTCTTGTTCGAGTCCCAGCCAAACTCCCAGTTGCGATTGATGTCGCGACCGAAGCATGTCTGGTTCGCTGCTGAAGATGGAGGAGGTTGACGGTTCTTTCGCCAGAGACGATCAGATTTGGTAGAGTAGACCTGGCTCAATTAGTTAAACGGTCGATGGGTGAGCATGGGCGACTTACAAATCCGTCAGGGTTGACAAAGGGAAAGATGTAAAAGTCGTATTTGTTCAAGATGGTCTGAACGTCTTCATCACCACCCTTGAAGCCCTTAATGAGCTGAAGAGTGATGTATTCAACAGTCTAAAAATTAGCATTGAGCGACTCTCAATGGGGACAAACTCACCGGTGCAGAGATCCATTCTCGTGCATGAACAGTGCCATGGTAAAGCACAGCAGGCTTTCCAGGTCCATCGTCACCCCAAAGATGAAGACCATAAATAGTCCTATTCTCATATGATGTTCCAGAAGATATCAGCTTCGAATTATTAGGAAACTGCTCGTGCAAGTCCCTAAAGTAATCGACGTGGTCCTCATACTGGTGGAACTCATCGTACCAAGACTCATCATCCGCTTGACGCTTCCACTTCTTCGAGGATGGGCTTTCGCTAACGATGGAACTACCCAAGTTCTCGTGCAGAGTGGTAAAGTCAAGGTTCAGACTCTTGAAAGCAGCGACGTCATTGGGCGCGACGACAATGTCGGCGTGTTGGTCTCCGTGCTCCCACTCGTCAAAGGTAACGGGTGTAAGCTTCTCTTTGACATCCGCTTTGCCGTGGGTGTTTACGCGAAAGACTTTGTACCCATCGTAAGTCTGAACATCAGCCTTGGGAGCAGCAATTGCCCCAAGGGCGAGAGTGAGGAGGGAAAAGACGGAGGACCTCATGGCGATGGGTGAGTTGGCAATTGAGTGATGAGTCTACTGCAGGCTCTTATATACATCACTGCTTGGCATATACCCTTGCTTGCATGATGGCAGAACTTTTGATAACAGTAGACGATCATTTCCAGTCACACCATGCCCAGCATTGAGATCGTCGACCTTCCGTATCTGTTCTGGTGTGTACTTTCATTCGTGCTTATTTGCAAGCCGACCCTCTGAGTGTCAGATTAAGTGACCCCGGGGAGCATAAGAGACGAAATAACTTTGTCATTTTAGGTCAGTTTAGACCGGCACTTAGGCTACTTTATTTCTGTAGCCTAAGTCTTAGAGGACAATTCTTCTGACATCCACCTGCCGACCCAACGGTCTCCGATCTGCCCAGTAGCTTAATTAAAGTCTAACTCTATTTCATCGTCCCCCGCAGCGGGGATATTGCAGAACGACAGGTATCGATGACGAATGATGCAGGAAAAGTCTTGGAATTATGCGATCTACTTGGTATCACTCCATCTGCTTCAATTCCCTCGCTTCTGAGAAATCTGCGTCAGTCTTGCTTCTAACCTCCTCGACGCTCACGCCCGGCGCAAGCTCTGTCAAAGTTAAAGTACCCTGCTCTCGATCTACTTCAAACACGCACTAATTGAAGGTTAGCTTTGTCACAGGTGAAAAGTATAAAACTTACGAGATCGGTAATAATGGTGCTGACTACACGTGCGCCCGTTAGAGGTAACGTGCATTGCTGCTTAATCTTGGACGATCCGTCCTTGGCGCAGTGCTCGGTTGCGACGACAATCTTGGTGTTGTCGGGGTTGGCTACCAGATCCATTGCGCCTCCCATACCCTTGAAGACCTTTCCAGGAATCATGTAATTGGCAAGATCACCGACTGCGCTGACTTGAAGGGCCTGTGATTGTCAGCAATGAAATGCAGGGGAATTGCGTAACTTACACCAAGAATTGAGACATCGACGTGTCCACCCCGAATCATACCGAATGATTCGGCCGAGTCAAAGACGGATGCTCCGGGAACGAGTGTCACTGTTTCTTTGCCGGCATTGATGATATCACTGACTTGTTAGCGGAGCCGCAAAAGAGGATGGACAACTTACGCATCAACCTCATCCTTTGTAGGATAGGCACCCATTCCAAGGATACCATTCTCAGACTGAATATGCACAGTCGAGTCCGGAGGTAGGAAAGAAACGGCCAGCGTTGGAATTCCAACTCCCAGATTGACATAGTATCCCGCCTTGAGCTCCTTTGAAGCTCGTCTCGCGATACGGTTTCGTCGCTCTTGAGCTTCATTCGCAGCCTTTGGTGGGCCGTCCTCTCCCTCCTCTCTCAACTTGAGCACCTCAATATTCTTTTCGGCGGTAGCGGGAACGATTCGGTCGACAAAGATACCGGGGAGGTTAACATCGTTGGGGTCGATTTCGCCAACTTCGACAATGTTCTCGGCTTCGACGATGGTGAGCTTCGCGGCCTTGGCCATGAGGGGTCCGAATGACTTTGTCGCATATCTAATCTGTTAGCTGAGTATGTAACTGGGATGTCGCACATACCGGAAGACACAGTTTCCATCCTTGTCGGCCTTCCATGCGCGCATGATCGCGACATCGCCCTCAATGGCATGCTCCATAAGGAATGTTCGACCGTTGAACTCGCGGGTCTCTCGCTTTCGGCCTTTTTCGACGACAGCGCCAGACTTGTCTAATCGCACAGGGATTTCGCCATCTTGCACGAGGGTGTCTAACTTGTTAGCTTGCTCATGACATCTTGACAGGCGACTTACGAGCTGCTGTGGGTGTAAAGAATGCAGGAATGCCAGCACCGGCCGCTCGAATGCGCTCAGCCAATGTACCTTGGGGACAAAGCTCAATTGCCAATTCGCCAGTCAGGTACTTCTTCTCCAACACCTTGTTGTTACCAAGATAAGACAAGATCAAGCGATCAACCTGGCCAGCGCTTGTAAGGACTGCCAAACCACCCTTGCCCTCCACTCCGGCGTTGTTCGACACAGCTGTCAACGAATTAAGAGAGTCGCGACCTCTTCGGTGAATCGCATTGATCAGTGTATCCGCCACACCACAAAGACCAAACCCAGAACTCAATAGCGTTGAACCACTCTTGATGTCGGCAACCGCAGCATCAGCGTCCTTGAACAGTTTGGACTGCCCTCGTACTGACAGCGCTGCTCTTGTTGTGCTGAATTGACGGCTTGTGAAGCTGCTTCCCCAATTCATGGGCCGCGCCCGTTGGAATCTTAATAGCCTCGACATTATTGCTGTATTCTGTGGTTTGTTGCCGCTGTCATGATGAACGGCTCATGATAGCTTAAAGAGTAAATCGCGGACATAATTGTAGTTCCGATCGGCGACAAAAGTAGGGCCGAAAGGACGTCATTTTCGGTGGAAGAACTGGTACCGACCCGCTCGATCCGTTGGACCCTGAAGATGGAGGTGTTGTACGAAAAGAGAATGAGAGCTGGACGTTACTGGATGATATTCTCCGTTGATCGTGCCGCGGTTAACTGGCTTGTGTTTCGAGCTTGTCGAGCTTGTGAATTGTCGCGTTTCAAAGATTTGGGAAGCTGCCGGATGATAATTAACCCTGGTTTATCCGATGACACGGTACGTACATCACAAGAGAACATCACCTTCAATGGATCGTGAAGTCATGGACAAGCTCGAGTGGACCTTGATGCTTTCTTGCCATCTGTGGAAATGTGGAACAAGAAGCGATCCGCCTTTACGTCAAGTGATTTCCTGTACATGCGCGTCAATCGACACCTGTCAAACATGCATAACCATTGAAACATGGCGACATCACAGTGCAAATTGAAGTGGAGTAGATAATTATTCGTAACAATGTTGAATGTTAATATTGGGTATCTAGTAAGTGACGCTGTTAAAACTCAAAAACACATAGACCTCTAGTTGAGAGGCACGCGACGGAAGCGGTTGGACTCCCATCCATCAATCTCATCAACATGAGTCTCGCGAATAAGCTTGTAACCACCAATTTTGGGAAGAATGACAGCCCAGACAAGCCAGTAGACAGCACCGGCAGCAAGGATACCAATACCGACAACGCAGTGGATGTAGTAAGGCATGCTCTTGTACTGGTTCTGGCTAGGGTCATCGGGAGCGATGAAAGGAGCAATCACGAGGTACATGTTGCTGAGGAGGAAGAAGATGGTGACAGGCAGAGTAGCCTTGATGGGAGGGTTCCACTTGAACGCCTCGCGGTGGAGGTAGAGGTGAACGAGACCACCCGCCACAAAGGTGTTGACGATGGCGAGGGGGTATGAGATAAGGTTGAGGATAAAGTTGTAAGCATCACCAGGAGGAGGAGCAAGGATGACAATAACACAAATAACCCAGTGCTCGAAGAGACCAGCCAGAGGAGCGTTGAAAGGTCGGTTGCTGGCCCAGAGTCGAGAGAAAGGCAGGATACCCTCACGGCCAAGCTCTTGGACAAGACGACCCTGAGAGAAAATGACACTCAGGACGTTGCCGAAAGCAGACAGGGCGACAAAGACAGACATGGCGCGCTCAGCAGCAGGGCCCATGACGTTGCGGAAGAGAGAGGCAGCGACAAGACGCTCGGAGGCGATGATTTCGGCCTTGGGGACGGCAGCGAAGTAGGCAATGTTGACAAGAATGTAAATGACGGATACTGAGATGATGGCAGTGGGAGCAGCAATCTTGAGGGTGCGAACAGGGTTGCGAGTCTCGCTGAGCGCATAGTTGGCGTTGCTGTAACCGACGAAACTCCAGATGACATTGTACAGGGCAGTGACAACACCGTAAGCGCTGCCAGTGGTACCCTCGAAGGCGCGGCTCAGGTTGTCAGGCTTCTCGTCAATCTTGAGGTGGCCACCCAGAGCGACGAAACCGCAGATGATCATGATGAAGACGATGAACAGCTTGATGAAGCCGAGGGCGTTCTGGAGACGGAGACCCCACTTGAGAGCGCAGCCATGGATGAGGAAAGCAGTGGTAATGCAAGCCAGACCAATAGCACGCTGGTTCCATCGGTCGACCTCCTTGTTGGCAGCGTGGAGGATGTACTCTCCAAAGACGACCGAGTTACCGGAAGCCCAACCCATGAGAAGAACATAAGAAGCGTACATGCCGGTGACGAGGAACTTGGGCTTGCGGTAGATGAACTCGAGGTAGTTCTTCTCACCACCGTTCTTGGGGATACCGGTTCCCCATTCAAGGTAGACGGCTGTACCAGCGGCGGCGATGAGGGATCCCGCGACCCAGATCATGAGAGCCAGACCAGGACTTCCCAGGAGGGCGAGGATGGAACCGGGAGTTGCAAAGATACCGGTACCGATGACTCGGTTGAAGATGAGCATAGATGCGCTCAGGACACCGATCTGGCGCTTGTTGTCGGCGGCATGCTGAAGGCGACCTGTTCAAGTTAGCAGGGTCCAACCAATGTAAAGCTTTGTTACATACCCTCTTCTGTGTCAGAGCCTGAGCCGGACCCAACATAGTTGGTCTTGTTGGCACTGGGTTCAAGACCCTTGGAATCGTCGTTGCTCATGATGACAAGACGAAGACTGTAGATGTGGCAGACTAGAAAGGATACAGAACTCGATTGACTGAAGAAGTGAAGCACCGAGAAGGGGGCGCGCCTCCTTTAATAGAGGATCCCATACCAAGGAGTCAGTACCCCGTCTCTATCCATCCCCATGGGAAGGCAAAATTGGGAAAACTCGTTGTATCCACACCGCAGCGGAGCCTCTTGATCCTCAAAAGTCTAGAAGGCGACCAGAAAAAGACAAGCCCGATACAAGGTATCAATTAGAGTAGGGAACGGTTCGGCCTGAATCGTGCCATTTTGGGTCAAGCAGCGAATAAGAATGCGACAGTTTGACGGGGTGTTGGTAGTGTTCCTGGTTAAGAACTTTGGCTGGAGGTTGCCGTCGGTCTTGGGAGGCAAGCTAATGTGTCATGAAAATCTCTGCAGTTGAAGCTTTTGGTGACTTAAATCGACTAGGACGATGACGCGATCTTGGGTGATCGCACGCTTATTTCCTTAGAACCAATGGCGACTGTCAAAAATGCAGAAACTATCCACTCTAGGTATTTTAACGGCATGGATGGTAGGAGTCTCCCCGGGCATTGGCCGGTTCGGTGTAGGGACCCGGCCTCGTAGGCTCCGATTCAATTTAACCTCACTTCTTTTGATGGGTTTGGGTTGGATTCGAGGCTTTTTCTGGGAGGTCCATTATATGAACTACCTGCTATTATTGGGGAAGCGATTGATCTGACACGTTATTTTTTGTAACATCTCCCTGTGGATCCTCGTTTTCGGATGTCCGGCCGGGTGGGACGTGAACTGGGATGGCTAGGGTAACCTGTGAGGTTGGTTGTTGGTGATGCTTGTAACCACAACATCAACCTCAAACGTAACTTCCAATTCTGGTGTTTCGACAGTGTGGTTGGATCACCAAGTGCCATGTTAGATGATGTGATATGGCGAATTGTGCTCATTCACACTCCCAAGACTCACTTCCGAGGGTGCTCCAACACTTGATGAAGGATGGAGTGTTCATGTATAGCTCAGCACACCTGAAGGAACAATCTCACCACCATCAACATGATCATCACTTATGCTTATAGGGCTGTACTCCCCGAAGACCCCTGATCAAGGCATCTCCCCGATGCTACTGCATGCATTCCGTGGGATAGAACGTGGGATAAATGTGGGAGGATACCGCCATACTCATCTCTAACCACGTCAACCCTGGCATGTCTTGTCGACCGGCTCACCTGCCTGTTCATGCTTAGCAACCACTCCTACGCCTTAGCTATCAACTAACATCAATATAAGCGACATGTGCCATATGTAATACTTGCCTCCTAAGTCGTGATCGGCTGCCCTGTCACCAGGATGTCAGAAGAATTGGCCAGCAAGAGCATAAGAGACGAAATAATTTAGTCATCTTATGCAAGGTTAGGCGAGTAATTAGGCTACTTTATTTCTGTAGCCTAAGCCTTGGAGGACAATTCTTCTGACACCCACCTGCCTGTTTATGGAAGGGTGCCGTGCCTACGGATAGGCCAGGTCGATATGGTACCATCACAGCGGTGAGTCTCGACTTCATCTTTACAAGGTCCTTTTGTTAAATTTCTCAATGGTCTGACTGTTTCCCATTAATATTATTGCTTATTTTTGCCACAAGTCCTTTTGAAATGTATACCAATAAGCACTGGTTGCCCAGACGTGAGCTGTCGATGAGCTCTTGGTCACCAGATGGGATGATAGACACTGCTTCTAGCGCAATATTCTGTCGATGATGGGGTGAATTGAAGTTCCATTCAACTACATAACTGGCGATGAATTCTTTGGCATCACACAGCTCACACGAGCAGAGTGACTCCATCAATTCTTCAGCTCAGCGCTACTGTACAGTTGACAAGTGTGGCGTTAGCTTTCAGACACCAACCAGCCCCTAGAGTGATCTACCGGCCACTAAAGCCACTGGCGTCAAAGGCGTCATTTGCTCACAGAAGAATTTTCTTCCCTGTTTCTGTTCTGCTGTGAAGTGCTGTTGATCCGAGAATACCCTGAATGATACATGTCGGATATGCTGTGGTCGAGTCAAGGCCTGAAGCAGTACCGTGCCCGGTCATTTCCAGGACAAGGTACAGAAATGATGGGCTCTCATTTTGTGTACAAACAGTAACACTCGCTGAGCCAGAATGGTGTTCTCGTTTGATTGCTTATCTTACCGCGTCAAGCCGCGCGGAAACTCTGGGAAACAGCCCTGCGCGCCTAAAGCTCTCCTTGTTTTTATAGTGCGGTGCGCCAGGTTCCCGTTCAAGCTGCTCCTGGTCCACTCACAGGTGGATACAACCCATGACCCATAGACTTGTCTGGGCTCTCAGCCTTTTACTATCCATTCCGTTGGGCGGCGCGTTTGTGACCGCTTTGTCGCAACGTTCCTGGGGCCCCGATTTCGGGCCGCGGTGGCTCGAGCTTGCTCAAGTCACTTACCTAGTAGCTACTTACGCAGCTGTGCTCCGAAATATGACGTTGCGACGAGAGTTATTTGGAGTTGCGGCGCGATTCGTGCTCGTTCATTGGTTTGTTGCGTATTCCCGCTGCGGTAAAAAGCTGCTATCAAGATGTCTAAGATCGATGTCGCATCTGCAAGAGCCCAGTTACAAGCGTAGGCCGCTGCTACACTTCGATCGAACACCTGGTAATAAAGTTGTCGGCAAAGGTTGTTGAGCGTAGAGGACTAAAACGAGTTCTCCCTTGACGTACCTAGACAACATGACTTTGAGTTATGGGTATTGTGACAGATGGGCTCAGGTGGCTGTGAATAATTTGCCGCCGGCTCATCACATAGTCTATAGGGTAACCTCAGCAGCAGCACGATGGCATGACTACAACCCGTCATTTACATGGAAATACTGTAAAAGAAAAAAATAAAAGGATACTAGAGTATTCTTCTTTTGGTATAGACGTGTATGGGAGAACACAACTTGAATCATGTCGTGGTAGGCACTGTGGCAGAGTATGGATAGCAGGCTTTGTATCATTATAATATCAGATGTGTCAAATACTCTCACCTCAACGACTGTCACAACCAACAAGAGGCTGCAAAGAGCAACCGCGTTACTAGAGGCCTCCCAAGCCTGCTCGGCAACATTACATCTCAATTGCGGAGCGGAAAAATAACCACAAACCCTACAATGTACCCTTGGACGGAATACAGCTACAGCACTCATCATGAATAGACGTCATGAATTGATCCACATGATTGGATGCAACCATGACATATAGCTCCTGCCCAGGGACAGTGTCAAGGGCTTAGGGTTTGTGTAACTCATTCAAATGGATAACTGAAGGCCATAGAGACATGTTCCATCCTATACTGCGTTTGATTTGTTAGGTAAGGAAGAAAGCCTGCAACGGGCTCCAGCCTTTGTATCATGACACAGCTACAGTTGACCGATAAGAGGCTCCACATGGTTAGGCACTTTACAGTTCGCACGATACGATACTATTGACTCAGCCACATTGAAACCCATAAATTGGATTCACTCTGGACCGGATTCTGTCAGTAGGGATTGATTGGGCGACTAAGGGGAATACGCTTGCTAAGTCGATGCGGTGACCCATCAAACTGGACAGTTGACGATCATTAGCAGGTCAATGCAGCTATAGCTCCGTCTGCAACGTGCCTCCACGATCCTGAGTAAATCTTTACGTATAGAGTAATCGACGTAACACAAAAGAATAGAATAGATAAGGACATCCAAATAAAATGCAAACAAATAAACAGGGAAGTCAGCAGCGGCGCAGTGGCTGAATGTGGCGTCTCAGCCCCTAATCCAGAATATAAATCCTTCAGCTTCAGGTCACCTTCCTCATAAAACGCGGTTCCAGCCAACGCGCCCACCTTCCTTGCGCAGCTTCTATTTACACAGTGACGCAATAGCGCACCCACCAACCCTCAACGTCCAGAATCGGCCAAAGTCAATCCGCGACTTCGAGACTTTGACCTCCATTGTCATGGTTTCAGGTATTTATTTTCTCGCTGTCCCATAGCCTATCCGCGCTGACTATCAGATCCATACGCAATTCCCGACTCTCCGCAATTAACACGAGACAACATGCGCCCTGCCACGCCCAAGGAGGACGGTCTTGCTCATCGCGAGAAGTCTGATACTACAAAGGCTTCTCCTGCTTTGCGAACTGGCACACCGCGCGTCGGAACTCCTCGCACCGGGACACCCAGAACCAGTACCCCTAGAGGGAAAACAGCCACGGGCAGCGCATCCAAGAGAGCCGAAGACGAAATCACACTGGCCGACGACACTCCCGCGGAAGGCGACGCTACTGAGCCAAACGGTGCCCCGAACGGAGTCGCCAACGAAGCAAAAGCCGATCCTGGGTTCGAGGAGAGAGAGGTCGATGTCCTTGTTGAACACCGCGTCGACGAAGCTAATTCCAGCGTCGACATCCGAGTTCTTTGGGATGGAGGAGAGACTACATGGGAGTCAGAATGGAGACTCCAGGAAGATGTACCCGCCATGGTGTTCAAGTACTGGGATAAGCTCGGCGGTCGTGATGCTGCCACAAAGCTCGATGTTTATCATGTCTTCAAGATCTTGAGACGTGACCCCAAACAGGCCAAGAAGTACGAGGTCCAATGGGTCGGATACCCCCAGAACGATAGTACCTGGGAGAAGGAGGAGCTTCTGAGCCGGATTGCTCGGGCTGAGCTCGAGAAGTTTAAGGCCAAGGACTTGTTGGACAGCTCCAACGGGAAGCGCAAGGGCGCGCGAGGTGTTGGCCGACCTCGTAAGAGGCCTCGTTCGGAGGACTAATGTTTGAGCGATTGACAGGATTATTATGGATGGCGCGCATATATGCATATGGTTGTACCAACAACGAACACGATTGTAACGGGATTTCTTTCTTCACTGGACTAGTACATTGATCTATTCTAATCTGTCCTGGCGTGATCTTCCTTGGGCTTGACAAGAGGCCAGTGACCGTGATCTTCCTTGTACGACATGGCGAAAAACTGCGCAATGACAAATGCCCAGTACAGGTTGTATGCGAGAACAGATCCATACGTAGCAGAGTTATTCCACCCGACGACAGCATTGAGAATGGCCCAGCCTCCTCCGCCGTTCAGTTGAGGATTGCAGCACTGTATTGTCAGCCGAGTCTGTTGAGGGGATAGGTAGCGCTACTCACATTGACGTGCCAAATACTCCTGTCGATATCGTACGATCCTGGCCCATCTCCGAGTTCCGCAGCGTCACCGCCGACAACCTTGTTCCACTGCTGCTGCTCAAAAAGCCAGATGGCGCGGGAGAACAAACCGGCTGCGACAAGGTACAGCAGGCATGTTGAAGCCACGAGAAAATATTGCAGCCTTGCGGATGAGCCGCCCCGGTAGAGAGCGTATCCAACGAGCCCGCCCAGCGTCAATCCCAGAATGACGGGCAAAGGCACGGCTGAAGCGGGCGCGGAGAATGAGACGCCCGCAACGAAAACAATACCCTCGATGCCTTCGCGGAGGACAGTGATGCAAGGCAATGCGAACATGGCATATTTCTCAAAGAAATTGACCAACCACGCCCTCTTGCCTTGAGTTGTCACAGGTGCTTCAATTGCCTTGGACAACTTGGCTCGCCATTTGTCTTCCATCTTTCCTACGCGCAGCAAAGCACCGCCCATGATAGTAATGATGATGGCTGAAATGAGCGAAAACACTCCTTCGTAGTAGTACTCATGGTCTGCCCAGGTATCGCTGCCGAGAATATAAAATGTACCAATGATCACACCAGAAGCAACGGCGCAGATTACGAAGCCAGTTGCAGTTCCAGCCCAGACCTGTCAATTAGCAAAGATAACGCAGAGACGAGACACGAGGAACTCACTTGTGTTCGCAGAGTTTTGTAAAGATTCGCATCGCGTTGAGAGCCATCAAGGGTCTGCTTGAGAAAAGCCAGCAATACAGAAACAATGATGGCCGTCTCGAAAGTCTCTCGAAAGACGACGACAAACACGGGCACCGAGAACAATTCGAGCATTTTTGGAGCTTGAAGCAGATGAGGATTGGTTTGCTTTGCTATCGAAAAGATCGGATCAGATAAGAAATATGAGTTTATTCCGACTCTCCACACCCGTACGCCAAGGCTCCCGTATCGAAATTGCCTCGGCCGGTTCAGGACTAAGGGTCACACGATGCCCACTTAGTTCTCTCCAGGTCGAATCACGCGTTGTTTTAACGCCTGTCAGTGTCAGCTGTTCGCTTGGACGAAAACTCTGAAGCCCTTGGTGCAGTTTTTAAATGCGAGGTACCTGCGCGAAATAAACAAGGTGTGCTGTGCTATGAACCCCTTCTAACCGACGTCGGATTATCTGATTGATAAGATCCCGGTCCGCGTCTCCACGCTTAATCCGACTGTCGGGCTCTCATTTCACTTTCACTCAGTCAAACAACAAGATGAGGTTCGGATGGGCCGTGGTTTTTGCACCGGCCGTTTTGGCTGCGACGGTGTCTTATGATTTCACTATTGAATGGGTCAGGGCGAATCCTGATGGGGCGTTTGAGAGGCCCACGATTGGCATAAATGGAGTGTGGCCGATCCCCAGGATTGAGGCTAATGTTGGAGATACCATTTTGGTCAATGCCAGGAATAATTTGGGCAATCAGAGCACGTCTTTGCATTTCCATGGATTGTTTATGAATGGCTCCAATCATATGGATGGACCGTCGCAGGTTACGCAGTGTGCTATTCAACCTGGACAGTCTTTTCTTTACAACTTTACGGTATGTATCCATGATGTCGTAAGAGATGAAACTAATTGTGTAGATTACTCAACCTGGTACTTATTGGTATCACTCTCATACCGAGAGTCAATATCCTGATGGTCTTCGTGGTCCTCTTATCATTCATGACCCAGAGTCACCTTTCAAAGACCAATATGACGAGGAAATCATCATGACTGTCTCAGATTGGTATCACGACCAGATGCAGACTCTTATTCCCGAGTTTATGAGAAAGGGAAACCCAACTGGTGCCGAGCCAGTCCCTCAAGCTGCTCTCATAAACGAGACTCAGGATCTCAAGGTTGCTGTCCAGCCTGGAAAGACATATCTTCTTCGACTGGCCAACATCGCCGCATTTGCAGGACACTTCTTTTGGATTGAGGGTCATAACATGACTATTGTTGAGGTGGACGGCGCATACACGAAGCCAGCTGCGGCTAACATGATTTATCTATCTGCTGGTCAGCGATGTAGTGTTTTGGTCGCTACCAAGCAGGACGCTTCGGCCAACTTTCCCATCGTGTCAAGCATGGATACAGTAAGTTGACCACTTTTTGATTTACATAGCTAACCATTTAGGATCTATTCGACGTGCTCCCCGATGATCTCAACTGGAATGTCACCGGATGGCTGGTATATGATCAAGAAAAGGACCTCCCTAAGCCGTCGACCGTTTACGAATTCGATCCTCATGATGATATGGATCTTGTGCCTTACGACGAGATGGCTTTACTCCCTGAACCTAGCAAGCATATCGAACTGGATGTCATCATGGATAATCTCCGCGACGGTGCAAACTACGCTTTCTTCAACAATATCACTTACCAGGCTCCCAAGGTGCCTACGCTATATACTGCATTGACAAGCGGCAAAGAGGCAACAAACCCGCAGATTTACGGAACCTATACGCATAGCTTCGTTTTGAAGAAGGATGAGATTGTTCAAATTGTTGTCAACAACAGGGACGACGGACGACATCCATTCCATTTGCACGGCCATCACTTCCAAGTCCTTCATCGAAGTGAAGACGATGTTGGCGATTTCGCTGGCTCGGAGAAGTTTGCCAAGACACCGATGAGACGAGATACTGTTGTAGTGAGAGGGAATGGAAATGCGGTGCTTCGATTCAAGGCCAATAACCCAGGTATGTTTGCATTGGACGTTGAGCTTTGAGCGTCACTAATTGTCAGGTGTCTGGCTGTTCCACTGCCATATCGAGTGGCACGTTACGTCTGGGTTAATCGCGACATTCGTTGAAGACCCTCTCGCTTTGCAGGCTTCGCTTGAGCTACCCAAAAATCACCTCGACGCTTGCAAAGCTGGTGGTGTTCCTACAGTCGGCAATGCTGCTGGAAACACTGATCTCTCTGACCTTTCCGGCGAAAATGTCCCGCCACCGCGTCTCCCTGACGGGTATGTGTGCTCCCAATCATGAATGATCCTCACTAACATCACCAGCTTCACACCGAAAGGCATTGTCGCATTTGCGTTAAGCACATTGATGGGTATTTTTGGCATTTACACAGTCGCATCATACGGAATAAAGAAGGACAAAAAGACGCCCGAGAGAGCGCCGTTGCTTGCCGAAGACGAACCCTCGGAGCAGTAGATATACATATATTATTATCGCTCGTACACATCCAACGCCTAGATCCCATGCACCCCCGAAAACACTTTACTTCTGCGCAGGCTCGGCAGGAGCATACTTTGAAGCCTCTCTCAAATGATCCGGTGTACCCAAAGCTTGCATCTGGCCCCTGTATTCCTTGAATGCGACTTTGCGATCGCAGTTCTTGCAGTAATGGCTGACATTTGGTGCGCAGTGGCAGATGTAGGGACAAATAACGCCGAAGAAGGTTCCGAAGAAGAGCGCCGCAGCGTAGATACTGTACTAGTTAGACAAGTCTTGTGGGTGGCCAAACAGGGACTCTTACTGTGTCATGCCAGACGCAGACTTCTTGACCTTGGTCTCGGTCTGTCGCTGACAGAATGGACAGTCGACGGAATCAGCTTGGTTCTCTAGCAAATGAAGCGGAGTGACCGTAGGACCGGTAGGGCGCATGGGAGGTTGTTGCTGCATCGGAATGGACATCGACTCTTGGCCGGCATATTGCTGCTGCTGCGCATGGGCAGGGTGCTGCAGGATTGGAGGCGATTGTGTTCCGTTGTACATGGCGCTCGAAGGCTCGGGGGAGACAGTCGCGCTGGGTGGGGGAGGACTCGTTTGGGGGCTCGGTTGCGCAGGATGGTGCTGGAATGTTGACTCTGTTACGACTTCGGGGAGGTTGTCGTCGTTGATGTGTCGCTGTCTGATGCCTGGTTAGCTCGTTGTGCGATCGATTGAGCGGGGAAGACAAACTCAATTGCGATTTTCTCGTCGGTAGGCGGTTCAGTGTTGGTATTAGCTGTGTATGAAGGAGGCGCGATGGCGTCTGGGTCGACAGGCGTTGAAGAAGTTGCTTGTTGCGACATGTTGAGCTGCTGTTGTTCCGATAATTATGTTTTTCGAGGAATGGGTCGTGAGGCAGTGAAGAGAAATAAATTTGGGATATTATGATGAAGGTCGCATTCGTGAGTCCGAGCAGATTGGAAGGAATCGGTAGAGCTAGGGGCCCCTTGCTTATTAGTCTAGGATGAATCCATGTTTCGTTTTGGCATGGCGCAGTCTGTTTTGTAACTTGGTTTGACTTGAGAAAATGGGTCTGGACTAGCCATTTTGGAGGCGTCGCAAGCTTGATGGATCACTGGATTTGCAAACCTGGGAAATGGATTAATTCAGTTGGCTGTGCCCGATGATCAAGAGCTGAATCTGCAGAGGATTGACGCGTTGAAGGAATCGTGTTGGAGCTTAGTGCTTACGGCGGAGTAATGCGCTAACCACAGCTTGACCCCCCGTGCGGTGAGACCCTTATCGATAAGTTTGTTCGGGCTGTTGCGCCAGCGACTGTTGGCCGTTGAAAGCTTGGTCATAGGGCTGAACGGTTACTGCTAACAATTGACTTTGCGTAACCCTTTATCTCAACCTCTTAGTAAACCTTTAGCCCATGTGAGACTCAACTCTTGGGGTATTTCGCACAATATTGTAGATGTATTGATAGAACTCCAGTTCTGAACTCGTGTAGACAGTTTAGCTCAGTAGATGAGTACCTGAGGAAAATGTGGCTCCGGTTCAGCATATGTTTCGTTCAAGCACCTCCAACACACTCTATCACCGTCAACGATAACTGCAACGTGGTTACGTCCTTGTTGAATCAGGATAGAAACCGCTGCAAGTCGAGCCGCCCAATTATCCTTTGCTCTGAAGATCCCAACGCAAGGAGGAGGATCGAGAAGTTCCTCCCACGTATCAAGTGAGACTGCATCTGCATCAGCTGGGAAATGGGGATCCAAACAACCACATGTAAACTTGAGAATCTCAATGCCTTCTCTTTCCCTTTCGAGAACATCGATATCGGCTACCCACGTTCCCTTGTCCTGCACCGATACAACGGACTCTAGGAGAAAAACCTCTTGGTCTATCTCTCCGGTTGTTTCCCAGTCAAGTGGCATCTTCCACGTTGTGAAGGAAAGGTGGAGCGAAGTTCCCTGCAGTTTATCTGCGACACTATTGTCGTATCGCAGATGATCAATTAGTGATGGATCATGTTGGGCTGGCCGAATGCGAGGCTCAATAGGTGAAACCATAAAGACCATACCAGCATGTCCCACATTGCCAACCAAGTGAGCCAGACCCAGTGTCGATGTATCTATACTAGGGTCACGAAGCAATATTTCGGCAACAAATATTGAGTTTTCATAACACAAAGCAATAGTTTCTGTTAAGCGAGACGGATCGACGTTGAGGTGACCTGACTCGAACATAGCAACACATGCGAATGAGTCCTGGCGGGTCATATCCTTGATGTGCTCCTCAACTGGAGTAGAGGCTATCTCCTTGTATGCGCCTATTCTTGAATTTGTCGACAACAAATCTAGTATTCTCTTCATAGAAGATGGTAGCCAATGCGCCTTCAGTAAGTTCTGTTCGATAATACGTAGGGAGACTGTTACCCCTGGAAGTGTTTCGTAGAGTTTGTGTGCCACTTCTAGAGCCCTCATCCCAACTATTATCTCGGGATATCTGGGAACGAAATTGGCCATCACGTCGAAGGCACCCTGGAAGGAGTCTTGATGTGATGACGGCTCTGGTGAATTTGACGGTCGCTTTCGCTTCAGTTTGCGTTCTGGGGTAAAAACAGGCTGGTTTTGCTTACGACGTGGATTAGTGCGTGTAATCTGCCTGGAGTGCTGTTGAACTTACACTGAGATATGAGAGCAGGTATTCAGCTACTTTGTCTGTATTTACAGGATCTGATATCCATTCTAGCCCTTTAATTATGTCACAACGAACTCTAATAGCTTCTCGAAGAATAGTGAGCCACTGCTGCCCACCTTTCTTCTTGGTTCTGATCCGGAGTTCGTAGTTACTGGATCCTTCGTCGTGAAGACCAATGAAATTCATAAAGTCTTCCTGCTCTTCTCTCTCTTGAGACTCGTAAAGCTTGAAGATTGGTGGCGGGTTATGCCACGTGTACATCTTACGCTTTTGATAGGGGTAACTGTAAAGAAAGCCCTCGCGGTGAGTGACAAGCTTGCAAGCTTCCCCACGCTTTCGAAGAGATCTAGCCCTCTCTTCTAGCATCAAACGCGTTGTAAGGTCGTCATCATCTAGTGGACAATGGATCCACCTCATGTAGCTCACTTGTTCATCATCCGCCATCTCCTGATCAGTGTCGTCTTGCGTGAGACGAAGATTGATGGGTTGTGTTGTGATCCATTCAGTGTAATCGTGATATCCAATCTTTCCTGAGTGCGAAATAACCACGTCTCCGACGTCAATGTCCGCTTGAACAGACACATTCCGAAGCCATTCTATTCCAACCTCATATTCATCCTCTTGGTTCATGGAACTGATGAAAGCTGGGCTGCAAAGGCCAAAGAATGCTATTTGAGTGGGAACTGACCCCTCAATCCCAAAAAGATTACCACCTCTTCGGCAGCCATATTTGACGAGCCTGTGGGCAGTATCAGCCTGCTCGGGAGATAGGCCAGTGACTGCATTGCAAAGTCGTAACACCCAGGAGAGTTCGATCCTGTTACCCTGAGTGCTGCTACGTAGTCTTTGTCCGAGTTGTTCGAACCACGCCATGCCAGTACTCAGACTTGTGTACGGCACGCCCCAACTGCCAAGTAGTGAGCCAAGCGCAAGAAGCCACATGTCTCGCATACGTATACGGGTGACTATCTCATTACTCTTGACCTGGACAGGATCTCCATAGTATCTCAGGTGAGATAAAGCCAAAGACCAATGGATGAAGCTGTCGGATGGCATGCCTCTGTACTCCAGTCCTAGGCTTAGGACTCCGGAATTTGGAATTAGGCCATCGTTGAAAGGCACCTTCTTGGCTTCTGTTTGGAATACAACAAGGTCCGGATAGAGATGCCATGCGTAAATTCCAGAAATAATTGCCCGATCACAAGCCTGCTGAGGGTTGTTATCGAGTAATTTCTCAAATACCCCCATAGCTCTTGTCCAGGTCGCTGTAACCTTTTCGAACATTGTACCACCCCCGGGATATGGGATTGCTATATTCTCAGCAATAAGAGTAAATCTTGTCTTTTGGGATGCCATCGCTAGGTCAGCTCTTCGTAGCCAGGACCGGGCACTTGCATCCCATGTTCTCAGTTCAGCCCTGGTGATCTCTTGGTTGCATGCGACCACTGTGTTCGGGTTCACTATTTTTCCTGTTTCCAACAAATGCTGGATATTGCGCTTGCGTTGGTCTATGAGTTCAGACCAAATAGAGACCGCTTTCTTGGCGTCGAAAGCATGAGCCAAGATGCAAGTGAGAAGGAGAACCCCAATTGCAGCGTCTCCTGAAGTAGCAGCGGCCCAGATGCTGGTGCAGTCGGCACCTATAAATGGCTGAAACGGGCCATCGTCGTCGGTGCCGTGAGGGTTGATATCAGGTCTGGATAGAATCTCGCTCACACGGCTGCCATAGGCTTTGCGTAGCAACGGCGTGTCTGGAATTACATCGTTCAGAAGGAACCCCAACTTGCAAGCCGTTTTGTGTGTTTGTCCAGTCTCGGCCTCTTTCTTTCTTCTCTTGGTTAAAGCAGATCCTATGGGCTTGAATTCTGCCAAGGGCTCGCATCGGAACAGCGTGAGATCAACATTAAAATTGACAAGCGCGGCCGTGTTCTCGACGGTGAAGGAACTCAGAGAACCAGTGATCTTTCCAACAGACATGGTAGTTTGATGCTGGTTATTTTGAAGCACAATCAAAACAATTGAATAGCGGTGAATTTAACAGAATAGATGTCTATTGCAACTGGATGGCCTCTTACCAAGAGATGATTGTCAGACAGCCAGACACAATTTGAGATCCATTACTGCATTCTGCCTTTTTCGACGAGGCTTTCCGTCCTTGCCTCAGCTGACTGACCCTCTGAAGCGGGGTAACAACAAGGGGCTTGAAAGAAGAATCAGGACACCAATCGCATCTGTCCATACTAATGGTGATATGCACGTCTCTGCTAGTTCATTTGTGCAAGGCAGAAAAAGGCAAGTCAATTGTGGATATATGGGCCAGCAGAGGTCAACAGAAAGCAACGTCGGAACATGCAACACCCCTCACAAGCTACACTCACAATGCCCTTACAACCGCCCCTACTGCCTTTAATATAAGACCCTTCTTCTTTATAATACAAAGCAATATAAGCTATTACTTTTAGTAGTTGAATACGGTATAGTAAAGTAATTAATAGTTAGAATAGCTATAGCTATAGTATAAATCTTCTTTGCTAATTCTAAGAGCTTTAAAGAGTATTAATATATTAATTTTAATAGTATTACCCCCTAGGATAGCTTTAGTTTAATAGATTTACTTAAATATACCTTTTTTAGTAATTTGTTTACTTTAAAAGTTAACCTAGCGATAACCTTCTAAATTAGGCAAGGTAGGTGTTACATAAACTTACTAGTAGTATTGCATGTTCTGGCGTTGGGCAGAAAGTATCAAACAACTTTGAATGCGTGATCTGCAGTGGTTCGTTTGGCTAGAAGCAGCCCGCTGCATCATGAAATAACGTGTTAAGCATGTCTCATATGCCACATAGTCGGGTGACGAGTATGGGGAGGGTATTTCAGTCTGGGAGAGCACATCTTTCGAAAAATAACGAACAAAACTCTTATCAGACTAACGCATGTGGGCCGTTCAGCCTCACCGTTGCGGGAGCAGAGCCGGTGTAAGGTCTGCAGTTGTGGCTTCAAGTGCCCTGAGGCTAATATCAACTCGACAGCTGATATTGATAAGGATGAGAGTAAGAGTGGCCAATGGACGGTATAAAGTATGCTAAAATGTCTTCATACCTGTCGCAAGTATCGTCCCACCCTTCAAACTGATCTAGCCAGAGCCATGTTGAATTCTAGTTACCGTATTCCATACTCGATTTGGTGCTTGGCGGTCTTTTTATTCACATCAAGTGGCTTTTCCTCAATTGGGAAATTTGAAGAAAGCCTGGAAAGCCTCAATATAACAGACCAAGAGGAGGTCCAGCTCTTCGTCAAAGAATGGTCAAGGCCAAGTCTTTATACAGAAACCGGCTTTCCTAATTTTGCAGGACAGGCCTTTCCTTCTTGGAAACTTGGGCTTCACCGCCGCCAGCAAGACCGTTGGATCGACTGTTTTGGACAACCGCTGGGCTGTTCAGGGGCTGCACAGTGCTGCGGTACGGCGGAAGACCTTTGGTGCTGCCTGGATACAAGAACTGCGCAATGTTGCGGAGGAAGAAGTCCTGGCTGTTGCCCTACAGACAAGAAGTGTTGCGGTGGATCAGAAGCCGGAGGCGAAGGGGCTTGTTGTGACAAAGACCAAGGTTGCGACGAAGACACTGGTACATGCACTGATCCGATGTGAGTTACAACTACCTACTCCACCATCCACCTCTAACAATACTACGAAGTGAGACTGAGACAGAGACAACAACGACGTGGACGACCGAGACTAAAACCGAGACCACTACAACAGACGCCACGACCACCGTGGAGTCGGTGTCGACGAAAGAGACTACCATATACGTTACAGTTACCAGAGACGCAACCGATGACACGACGTCTGGGGAGGAGACAAAAGGTCTTGCTCACAGAGTGAAGCGTACTCTACCATCGAGCCCAGTTGCCACACAAAGAGATAGGTCTCATGGCCGCCTACCCGTCTCAAAGACACAACAGCCGATCAACATTCGTCCAGTTGAAAGCTTGAATGCTCTTGCAGAAGGGTTAGCACGTCGTGGTGTTCCGATACAAAGACGAGCGACACCGACAACAACGATTGAACAGACAGAAGAGGCCACAACAACAATCACCGAAACGGAAACCGAGACTGAGTGGACCACCGAATACACAACTTCGGTCACGACTGAGAGTCATACCGTGACCGTGATAGCCTACAAAGGGAGCAAGACCACAATCACACTCGACAAAGCTGAAGGGACAGGAGACTCCGTCACCGAAGGCCCTGGATCAGGCTCTGGGGGCCCATCTAAAGGCACTATCATCGGTGCAGCTGTTGGTGGCGCCGTGGCTGTGATACTGATAGCCGTACTTGCTTTTGTCTTGCGGAAGCGAAGAAGGCCGGCTACAAATGAGGCTAGAACAGTCAGCCAGGTGTATGCAGTGACTGGTCACGATGATCCTAGCCACAAGCCACCCCCTATCCTGTCCACCGTTTCCTCCCCAGCCGAACAAGGCAGTGGATCACGCAACACCTGGGCGTCTTCACCCCAACAGGATACCATGACTGGCTTTTCGCCACCACCCGAGTATCGGACTCCTCCGCCGGGAGAATTGGGACGCACGCAGTGGGCGCATGAAATGCCGTCTTCACCACAGCAAGGACCGCCACAGGAGCTGTATAATCGTGAATATATGGGCGACTTGGGGCTACCTGAGATGAGAGGTCAACAGAGGGGTTAACGAAAGGTGTCAATGTGGCGCAGCCTGATTTTGGATTGCATGAAATAGCCGCTGCAGGGCTGATAAGGATGGATGTGATTGGGCATGCAAGCGAAGGTGGCACACTATTGATGTGACAAGCAAGCCGATAAGTGACAGCCTGATCCGTTCAGCTTAGTTGGTTGCCGGCTGAGTACAGCGAGCGCTGTGGAGTGAACCTTTGTTGGATCAAACGTGCAGTGGAAAGTTATAGCAATAATTTAACTCTTCTACTCGTTAGTCATCCTCGATAATGCCTTTGCCTATGGTGCCTATAGGTCCTCGTAATTCTCAAAATAACGAGCAGATACCTTTCTCTCAAACATAGTATCAAGCTCATCAAATGTCCTCTCTCTTGTACCTAGAACATCAAAGTAGACAACAAGAATCATCAAAACAGTCATGCCAAAGAACATTCAACCAATACAACCCAGTGGGCACATACACCCTCAAGTCGATTCCTCAAAACGACCAATCCAAAATTATTAAGATCTCCTTGCCTGGGTTCGTTAAGGACGTCTCGACGCAGCTCTACGAAAACCAACTAGCTCGACCCTTATCCCAGCTCCTGGCCGTATTGAGAGTGACGAGAGGCATCCTTCTCGGTACATTCATTCAGCCTCGGATGCGGGATCGGAAAGTGGGAGGATTAAGTTCCCGTTGAAACGAAACGGTCCGAGCTAATAATAGTTCCCGAGAATCATGGGGTCTACTCTTCTGGCACCATTAGTACAATCAGATCAAATCGATTCATAAAATAGAGATGTGTCTATGGATCTAATGTATGAATCTTATTGCGTTTGCGTTGTCAGGATGTCTCTGCGAAATAGCCGTGCTCTTCTGAGCCACTATATCATTAAAAAAACACTTTATCAAAAGGAAAGATACCGTGAAATCAATAATGAAAATTCATGAATGCTTAAAATACCCTACACATTAGTAGTCCCGGACACTTCCATCGGGATATTTAATGCAGGGTTGGGGAGCTAGCTGCGCGTATGCTCCACCGCGAATAGCTTCGCCCCATACTAGAGGGATGGGTCGTTTCATGTTTCGTGAACAGTCAGTTTATCAGATGCGGGTTGATTATGTTTCTTTGTTCGGCGGCATGTGGAATAACTACCGGCTGGTATAGTCAGCAAGATGACGTCTAGTAGATCTGCGCTGATGAACGACTCTGCTGGTGGACATTGCTCAAGAACAGAGTTACGACTTGAGCTTACGCGTAGCCATTTCTTTCTTCGTAGGCGTCAAGCAAAGAGACAAGGGACTCTTGGGGTGGAGGACTCATCAAAGTTGGCCAGATGGGTATAAAGAGTCTGTTTCCTCTGCTCCTAAACAGCTTCTTTTTATCACCAACCACAACAATCGCTTCCTCACTCACAATCACACTCTTTCACTCTTCAAGTTCCTAGAACCAAGTTTCAATCCCAATCATTCAAGATGAAGACCTCCATGGCTATGCTCACTGCCTCTATGGCCACCACCATTCTCGCTCATCCCTTTGACACCCGCAGCCAGCAGTGTAACGTCGCTCCTTCAGCTTCCACCAACGCCAACGTCAAGCCCATCTCTCAGCCCAACGCTTCCACCGCTGAAGCTTGTCTCAAAGCTTGCTCTTCCAACTCCTCCTGCAAGAGCTTTCTCTTTGGCCTTCCTGCCGATGCCAACACTCCTGTGTGCAAGCTTTACAGCGTTGAGGCTTCTCGAGTCCCCAAGCAGAACAACGAGCTTTACGTCTTCGACAAGGCTTGCTCTGGCAGCAAGGTCCCCCAATCTAAGCCTACTCACGACGATCCTCGTGGAAAGACAAACAGCAAGGTAGCTGCTCGTGGTATGACTTGCAACGCTGCTCCTACTGCAGCTTCCAACAGCAACGTCAAGCCCTTCGCTACTCCCAGTGCTGAGACCGCAGACAAGTGCCAGGATGCCTGTGATGCACAGAGCGGATGCCAGAGCTTTGTCTTTGGCCTTCCTGATGACGCGTCTACTCCCGTCTGCAAGTTGTACAAGGTTGCTCCAGCTCAGGTTCCTCAGGGCGATGATCAGCTCTACGTCTTTGCCAACGGATGCCCTGCGGCTCAGATTCCTACTAGTGCGCCGACCCATGCTGAGCCTCGTGGAAAGGTACCTTCTGAGAAGGCTGACGCTAAGACTGGTGCCAAGACTGAGACCAAGGGCAGTGCTCAGAAGGCTCAGACCAAGACTGGTAACCAAGCCAAGGCCAATCAGCAGACTGTCAACAGCATCAACCCTGAGCAGAAGCACAACTAAGCTCCAACTTTCCTAGCTTCAGCCCGAGAAACAAATCATTTTGACTCGGTTTGACTTTGGAGTTTATCTGTAGCGATTGGTATGTGCAGATGGCACTGGTGCCAAGAGTCGTTTTGGAATCGGGTTTCAGGACTCCAAAAAGAATTTGTACCACACACTCGTTTGATTTTGATATAGATTTTGTATTTTGTTTAGAGTTCCTTAGTTAGTGACCATTGATCGGCCGATCATTTCAATATCTTGAATACTACAAACTTTATGTGATCATGTGAATCAGTTGTATCATGATGGTGGGACTATAAAACCCTGGCTTCCCAGAATGATGTATCCATGATCCTGTGCTCTATATTGAGTTGTATATGGCTGAGCTGGCGGACTTGTAAATATTTACTGCTTGATGTCACTTTCTGGCCTACACGTGAGGCATCATAATCTTCCGCAATCGAAACGACTCTATGTGGAATTATCTATTAGCACAGCCTCAAGGAAATCACTCTTACAACGGTTCTACCGAGGTCCCAGAAACCATCATTTTCCAGGATCTCAGCTTAGATTTGAGCGGGAGCAGAAGCGATCCCCAATGTTTCTCGGGTATTTTCAGCCTCTCGGCGCACGCATAAGCCGTCACCCACATGCCGTATAAAGACGCTGAACACGCTCAGCTCCAAAGAGCCGCATATGACCCACCCTGGTCTAAGAAACATGAAACATTTGTTGTTCTAGTTCGAGGCGAAGCTTTCTTAACTGCCCCGGTCTGCGGAGACACGCGTTACTAGCCCCAGCGCCGAGAATCTTGTCGATCTCATCCATACCCTGGGTATCTCTTCTTATCAATTTATGCTCACAGAGTCCTTTTCAACTTCTATTTATCAATCTCTTCAAAAATTTATCTTGGTCGTCTCACAAGGGCTAAACTTAATTCTCGTGCAAGACTCATATAACGATATACGCAGATCAGGTTGATCAAACCACAACTAGGACCGCGTGCGATAATTAGAGCCTCTTGTACATTGAAATTCAAGTGTCTGATGACTTTCGAGTTGCTATTATAAATCGAGTCTTTTACTGGTTGAGGCCGTTTCGTTTCAGCGGAACCTCGATAAGCCCACTTTCCGAACTTGCATTAGGAACATAAATAAGGTTCCCGGACACACAGAATGAGAGCCAGCATACCGGAACAGTACATTGGATCTCTGATTGGACAGATCGGCCTGACCCCTGTTACCGTCGTGATGGTCTTACATGTAGAGATTGTGAGGATGCAAATTGGTTACTCACTTACTCGTACTGCATCAAAAGAGATGAACTTGACGCGAGCCTCCAGTAATTAGAATGGATTATTCTATCCGAAGACAGCTTATTTGGCTATTGTGTAAGGATCGTGCTATAGTAATTCATTAGTTTGATGCCTTTCTATAAATAACTTCGGTGGGGATTACTGTTCCTAGCTAGTGTCCAGAATGAGAACTCCAGCTCAGTAGGACATTATCATAATTCTGACGCTTTGGCCGTATTATGCTCTTGTGCTTTCATTCATTGTTTTGGCCCTTTCTAACATACCTCCACCGTATGTCGTGTCAAAGCCTCACATTTTGGTAGAATGGAAGCTGTGCATTTCCCACATTACGAGCTTCAATGAGAGTTGTTCAAGATGTTATGGAGCCATCGCGCAGTAGCTCCAAGACTATTGATTTCATCTTCAAGCAGACTCACAGAATGGTGATGCTATACACTATCGTTGTTGTGACTGACGCGTCATCCCTGAGTTATGGAACCCCTTTCTTGCTGTCGAAGCTCGTCCAAAGCTTGAATGAGAATCTTGAAGATAAATACTTCAGGCTGTCCTCGTCTTTCCAAAGTATCTCATCATCCAACAATCACATTCGCTTACAATCATTTTAACTACACTCGCTCAAACACTTTCAACACATTCTTTACCAACAACATCGTTACCATGAAGACCTCTATCGCTATCCTCTCCGCCTCCATGGCTTCCGTCATGGCGATCCCCTTCACCATGAGCACCCAGAAGTGCAACATCGCCCCTGCTGGGTCCGCCAACGGCAAGATCAAGGCCTACCACGCTGGCAGTGCCGACACTGCCGTTGACTGCCAAACCGTCTGTGCCTCGGACGATACTTGCAAGAGCTTTGTCTTCGGATTGATCAAGGGCGCACCTCATCCCAGCTGCCTTATTTTCGACGTCCAGGCTTCCAAGGTTCCTGCTCGCAAGGATGGTCTGCACGTCTTTGACAAGGAGTGTGCATCCGACCGTGTTCCCACTTCTGCCCCTACCACCGATCAGCCCTGGGGAACCGTTCCCAAGAACGTGCTTGTCCGTCGCTCTGCCAAGTGCAACTGTGCCGCTTCTGGTTCTGCGAATGACGATGTCGAGCCCTACAAAACGACTACCGCAGATACTGCTAAGGACTGTCAGGCTCTTGCCGAGGCCGACACCTCTTGTCTGAGCTTCCTCTACGGTCTTCCCGATAACTCTGAGACTCCCATCTGCAAGCTCTTCAAGGTTGCCGCTGCCAAGATTCCTGCTCGTAGCGATAAGCTGTTTGTCTTTGACAAGGGATGCTCTTCTAAGCAGGTTCCCACTACTGCCCCTACTAAGGATGCTCCTCGCGGCCTGGTCTCTGAGAATGCTTCCAAGGTGACCAAGGTTCAGGACGCTCCTGCCAAGGCTACCAAGGCTGCCAAGGTTGCTGTGTCTGGTAGCAAGGAGAATAACAAGGCCAAGTCCAAGGCCAAGGCCAAGGCCACCAAGGTCCAGAACGAGCAGGCAAAGGCTACCATGGTTTCCAAGAACGAGAACAAGGAGACCAGCTACACCACGGAGAACGAGAGCGACATCTCTAAGGACAGCAAGAACACCAAGGTTACTCAGAACAAGGATAACAAGACTGAGGCCAACAAGACCACCGAGAACAAGGACACCAAGGAGAACAAGGGCTCTGAGAACAAGGACAACAAGCAGCATACCATCAGCCCCAAGACTATCATCACCAAGGTCCGCACCGGAACCCAGGCCACCCAGGCTGCTAAGGCCGAGGGTAAGGGGTCTGCTTGCAAGACCAACAAGGCTGCCAACTCTCAGCCAACCCAGAACTAGATTTACTCCACCGGGAGATTGTCAGCTGCTTTGTCCAAGTTAACAGGTACTCCTGCATCGAATCGCCGCTTTCACTCGGCAACATCTCGCTTGATGTTCCCACACGTCTTCGTTCTTGAAATTCAGTTAGGTTTCATCGCCTGGATCACTCACTTCCCTTTCTCATCTATCTGCTTAATCTTCTATTCCTTCGAAAATTCCATAGAGTTTAGCTAAATAGTTCTTTTCAATATATTGCCTTTACCCATTTTCTCGACTATTAGTCATCTGATACCTATCTAGTACGAGATCGCACTTGTGAGGGCAATCTGATGTCTAGGTATTTTGCGTCACATTTTCTTTGATGTGTCACGTAGATAAGCAGATCAGGGCTAATGCATTGTAAGAATTCGAACCAAATTGTGGCGCATATCATGCATCTTGCCTCTCCCGAGATCCTGAAATATTCGATACATGTATGATGTTAAAATGAATCCAGATCTGATAGTTCAACTGAAGAAGCAATAAGATCTTGGCACCTCACGCAGAGCATGGTGGTTGATGGTGAGAGATACAGAAGCTTGGGTACTGCTGGTTGGGCGGCTGGCGCTGATCTCTTCTAACCCGATTACTCTTATCGATAGGAAATTCGAAAAAGATGGGAAGGAAGGAATGAAAAGTCCCGCTTTCACCCGTCTTACAGGCAGTCGTCAGCCAGATCGCATCACGTATTGACTTCCTGGTTGTTGCGTATCCCGTATGACCCCACTATGATACGACACTAAGCTACTTCAGGTTCGTTGGAGCGCTCCCCTTGGCAGGAAAGACTTATAAAACATCAACAGATTAATCATGGAACTTTCACATTTCCTTCAAAATATTGTAAGCCATGGATGCAGAAGATAAGTTCGGGCCCCATCGGGCAAATGTTTTTGATTTCACGATTCTTTTCGAGCAAAGTATCCTATCTCTTCTTCCTACTGGGCTGTTTCTTCTACTGGTGCCGCTAAGACTGCTCCTGCTGCGGAACAATGAGAAGGTGTCGAAAATTGGAACTCTATTGTGGCTAAAATTGGTAGGTGAATTGAACTCTGCTACTGCTTTCACTAACAGTTTAGGCTGCGGCTGGCTGCTATGCTTGCTTACAGATAGCCTTAGTCGTGTTGTGGTCTCAATCGAAACCGACCAAGACGGCCATTACAGAATCTGTGCTTAGCCTGGTTGAATCGGTAGCACTTGCTTCTTTGATCTGGGTTGAACATATAAGCTCCATCAAACCTTCCAAGCTCATCAGCGGATACCTTGCCGTTACAGTCATTCTCGACATTGCCCTGGTTCGCACCTTCTGGATACGTTCAATGTGGGCAATCGCGGCTGTGTTTACTTCCTCTTTTGTTTTCAAAATTATACTACTGATTCTCGAGGAAATACCAAAGCCCTCAACAGGGGAAAAGATACCCGAGACTTCATCAGGCGTTGTTAATCGAAGTCTCTTCTGGTGGCTGAATAATCTCTTTCTCCAAGGGCATCGCGGCATTCTTGAAACCGAAGATTTGCAAGCCATTGATTCAAAATTTGGTACAAGCCATGTGACGGCACCTTTAGAAGATCAATGGGAGAAGGGTAGGCCCATAGCTCCTTCCATGTTCTTGTGATCGTGCTGACGACTGCAGACCCCAAAAACGGACAGTTTAGCCTTTTGAAGTGTACCTTCCTTGCATACAAATGGCAGTTTGTGGCAGGCATCTTCCCTCGACTTCTTCGGAGCGGTTTCAACTTCGCCCAACCATTCCTCATCCAATCTGTTATCGTTCTTGTTGGCCGGAAGGAAATGTCGGTACAGATCTCTAGTGGTCTCATCGGCGCCACTCTACTCATCTATCTCGGCCTTGCCATATCTGGCGCATGGTACAAGCACCTCTCATTCCAAATGGTCACGATGTATAGAGGCGGTTTAGTATCGTTGATCTTCAAGAAAACGCTAAAGCTCAAGACGACGTCTGTCAAGGACTCTGCCCCCGTTACACTCATGACAACCGATGTCGAAACAGTTGTAGCTGCTGGCTCCTCGATACACGATATGTGGGCGAACCTACTCGAACTTCCCGTTGGTATTTATTTACTGTACCGTCAAGTCGGCCACCCAAGCCTTCTCGTGCTGGTACCAACACTGAGTAAGTGAGCCTTCTAGGAGATAACCAAGCTAACAAAAAAGTTACTACCATTCTGAGTGGGGTTATCTCCCCAGCAATGGAACCAGCAACAATGCGATGGAACGAGATGGTTCAAAGGAGGGTGGGTGAAACATCAACCATGCTGGATCGAATCAAAGGCGTCAAGATGATGGGTCTTACAGACTTCTTCGCCCAAACTGTGCAGGGTTTGAGAGTTCAAGAGTTGAAGGTGTCTGCAAAATTTCGATGGTTACTAGTGCATTTCACCACACTTGGTAAGCCTACCACCACTTACTTGCCATCGCTAACAACGTAGCCATGGTCTCTGCTCAGGTAACGCCGGTCGTTGTAATACTTTCGGCCATATACTGGTCCAAATCGGACGGAGGCTTGAATGTTGCTGAAGCATTTACATCGCTTTCCTTGGTATCGCTAGTTACTCAGCCACTTGTCATGCTTCTTGTTTCTTTGATGCAGATTGCCGGAGTTGTGGCCGGCTGTGGAAGGATTCAGACGTTCCTTCTACTGAAAGAGCAAAACAAGATGGCGACAGAAGATCCTGGAAATGGCTTAGCTGTAGCTCTCAAGGATGCGAGCTTTCACACCGATGATGGAAGTATACTTCTCACCGACATCAATCTGCATATCCCCCGGGGGTCTATCAGCATGGTTGTGGGGAAGGTGGGAAGTGGAAAATCGTCTCTACTCAAAGCTATCATCGGAGAGAACATATCATCAGAAGGAACTGTCAAGTCGGAGACTTCTCCCGCTTACTGCGACCAGGTGCCATGGCTTCGGAACACTACAATCAGCAAAAACATCATTGGCCAATTAGAGCTGGACGAGATGTGGCTATCCACGGTCATACACTCTTGTGTGCTTGAAGAAGATCTGGCCCAGTTGCCTCATGGTCGAGAGACTATTGTTGGATCGGGAGGCGTGGCTTTAAGTGGTGGACAGAGGCAACGTGTTGCTCTCGCTCGCGCTGTCTACTCCCGTAGCAGCCTTGTTGTTCTTGACGACGTCTTCAGCAGTCTTGATAAAACAACAGCTGATACAGTCTTCCATCGAATTCTTGGGGAGAATGGGTTACTTCGGGCAAGCACTGTCATCCTGACAACGAGTGATGGTAAGTCTGCCTCTTCGCAAATTGTCAAACTCGATCTAACGGCCAGCCCACTATCTTTCCTTTGCCAACTACATCACAGTGGTTGAAGACGGCCAAATTACTAGGAATCAGGTCACATACGCCCAATTCGAACCTAGTGAAGTATGCAAAGCCATCACTCCCGCTGAAACACCTGAGACCGTTCCAGAAAGCATTGCCAGGCTTGAGCCAAAGAAGGAGATCGATTTGTCGCGAAAGACTGGCGATACAGGGTGCTACAAGATTTATGTTAGATCAATGGGCTGGAAGGTCATCAGTATTGTCTTTCCCGCTTCAGTGGTTGGTGCGGTACTGGAAGTCATGCCTCAAATCTGGCTGAGGGTCTGGACAGAGCAAGGGGAGGGTTCAAAAGACGCCAAATACGCAGGAGGCTATGTTGGACTTGCTATTTCCTCCATGATCCTAGCACTTCTGAACATCGACTACTTCCTCATCGTTGGTGTCGAAAAGTCATCCAACAATCTCCACGAGCAGCTTCTGAATACTGTTTGCAGAGCCCCTTTGCATTTCTTCACAACAACCGAGAGCGGGAGCATCTTGAACCGATTCAGCCAAGATATGACGCTGATAGACATGTCACTTCCTCTGGCGTTTTATCTCACCCTCGATTTAACCCTGCGCGGTTTGGTACAGACAGGAGTTGTTGCATCTGGGGCAAATTACTATGGGACTTTCCTCCCACTTTCCTTCCTTGCGCTGTATCTCATTCAAAAGTACTATCTCCGTACCTCCAGGCAGATGAGACTCCTTGATCTGGAAGCAAAAACACCGCTTTACACGCAATTCGCCGAAATCACTGCAGGTCTATCGACTGTCCGTTCGTTCGATTGGTCAAAAGAACTTTTGAACGAGAGTTTCGAGTTGCTGAACACATCGCAGAAACCTTTCTATCTGATGTTCTGTATCCAGAGGTGGCTTGAGTTGGTACTTGATCTCTTTGTCGCTGGGATGGCGGTGCTATTAGTTACGATAGCCTTGCGAGTTCCAGGCACGACAAGTGAAGGCGCGATAGGACTCGCTATGGTCAATTTACTTGGTCTCAACCTGACTCTAACAACAGTGATAGATCAATGGACAACTCTGGAAACGTCCTTAGGAGCCATAGCCAGACTCAAAGCATTCATCGGCAGTACACCAAACGAAAACAAGGAAGTGGAGACAGAAATGCCAGACAACTGGCCCGGAGGCAAGATCGAAATTGAAGAGATCACATCTTCATATAGGTATGTGGATCAATATCGTGAGACTTGGCTAAAAGTTCGTCAGTGAGGAATCACAACCGGTTCTGCGAGATGTGTCGTTGGTTATACAGCCTGGACAGAAAGTCTGTCTTTGTGGACGTTCTGGAAGGTAAGACGCGCCCCATCTATCAGGACGAAGCTGACAATGCAGTGGTAAATCATCACTCGTTCTCTCGATCCTTCGACTCTTAGAAATCCAGAGCGGAACTATTCGCATCGACGGCCAAGACCTCGCAACAATATCACGACAATATATCAGATCGCGGATCCTGACAATACCTCAAGACCCCATCACTTTGTCAGGTACTGTGCGGAAGAACCTGGACCCGGAAGAGCGCGTTCAGGCAGATGAGATGCTCATCCAAGCTTTGAAAAAAACGACCCTATGGCCGACTGTTGAAACTCGTGGAGGGCTGGATGCAGATCTGTCTGCCCTCGGCTTCTCGGTCGGACAACTCCAGCTCTTTTGTCTTGCACGAGCTTTGCTTTCTCACTCGCCCATTGTCCTTCTCGACGAACCAACAAGCAGCGTTGATAGAAATACGGATGAGGAAGTGCGCAACATCATCCGAGAAGTTATGCATGGCCGCACCATCATTGAAGTCACACATCAATTAGATCATGTCACAGACTTCGACATTGCTGTTGTCATGGAAAGTGGTAGAATAATCGAGACGGGCGAACCGCGAGAATTGCTAGCCCGTGAATCAGCCCTGAGAGCGTTACGAGGATAAGCTTTCGGAGACCCCACTCAACATATACAAATCACGGATTTTGTTAGGACCAATCGCAGCTCATTTAATATCTATTGTACATTATGCTATTATATACTTTTGTCTATACGTCTAAATCTAACCCAGCTCTAATCGCTCTTTGATGGCCACTTTATTCTCCTCTCAGCTCTAACGTACAGATTATTCGGGCGAATCAACTGGAACATGGGATCATATTCCACAGGCCCATCTTGAGCAAGACTGAACTTGTATCGGTACACGAGCTTGGGTAGGAAAACCTTGACCTCTTGAAGAGCAAAGTTGAAGCCAATACACATACGAGGACCGGTTGCGAAGGGGATGTAAGAATCCTTGGGACGGTTCTTGACACGGTCGGTGTCCCAGCGGTCGGGGTCGAACAGAGCAGGGTTGTCCCAGATCTTGGTGTTGTTGTGGATGTGGTGGAGGGCGGGAATGACGATAGAGTCCTTGGGGAGCTTGTAACCGCCAGGAAGAATCATGTCGACAGCTGAAGTTCTGGCGGGTTGGTAGGAGGGGTTGTGGCGGCGTTGGGTCTCCTTGATGTACTTGTCAAGGAATGTGAGCTTGTTGGTCAACTCAGCGGTGATCTGAGTGTTCTCGTCAAATCCGTTGTCAACCATCTCCTGCAAAAGTCGCTCTTGCATGCCAGGGTAGGCAACAAGGCCATACAAAAGCCAAGACAGAAGAGAGCTGGTTGTTGTGAAACCGGCACCGGTAGCAACGACAAGAGGCTCCATGATACGTTCACGAGGAAGCTTGTTACCCTTGCTATCACTGGCACGAAGGACATAGTCAACCATGTTCTCGGCTTCAACAGCAGCATCCTGAAGTTCCAGATCTCCGTCGCCCTTGGCAGCGTTGGCAACAGATTCTGTCATCATAGCCTCCATATGAGCACGGGCCTCTCGCAGACGCTGAGGGTCACCGAAAGGAAGGTTCTTGTACCAGCTACCCATTGAGGTGATCTTCTTGTTCAACTCAAGAGACTGCGCAATTCTCAACACCATCGCATGAGGTCGGGCATCAGGAGAGGTGAAGTGCTGGAAATCCATGCCGAGGACCAACTTCCCAACAGCCTGGGCTCCGAGCTTCAGCATGTAGGGATACACGTTCCAGGCCTCGTCACGCTCATCAAGTTCGTCAAAAACCTTGAAGGCATCCTCGACAGTTTTTTGCATGGTGGGAGCGTAGTGTCGCACGGCCTTGGGACCAAGAGCAGGGGGCAAAAACTTGTGAACCTCCTTCCACTCCTCGGTGTCAGTATCACCAAGGAAAACACCGGCTTCCTTGTTCTTGATAGGATGCAAAGGGTGACCATCGATGATTCGCTTGGAGAAAAAGTCGGTCTCTGCGAAAACAATGGTGGCTAGCTTGGGGTCGTTTGTGTGGTAAATGGTGCTACCCATATTTGTCGTCTTGAAGAGGGGACCATATTTCTCAAACAAGCGCTGGTGGTTACCCAAATGGTCGGGGTACACCTCGAAATAGTTGCCGAGAAGGGGCAGACCCTTGGGGCCAGGGACCTCACGGACAGCCTTTCCATCGATGGTGATGGAGATGTTATCAGCAGCGAGAACATCAGCGACAGTTGGCAAAGCCTCAGAGTCAGTGACAAAGCCAATTCCTAAAAGGTCAGTTTTTGTTGAGTTTTTCATTGGCGATTGACGTACCACTGGGATCAACAATTGCAAAATGCGACGCTATCAAATGCTGGAGACCTTGCTCATCCAGGGACGCAGGCAGTTCGATCTGCTGCGCCGTTGAAGGGTCCTCGCCCATAAGATGAAAACTTTTGGTAGCCATGATGAAGAATAATACGGTATAATGAGACGAGCAACTTTACAGATGGCTAGTCGCTGGCTGGTCTATATAAAGCGCCCGACAAAAGGGACCAAGCCGAGGCAGAGGACCACACACGGACTTCGGTGGACCTGCGTCATGAACCCTGCAATCTATTGACACGTTTTAGGGGGCATGAAAATATTTGCGCTTAGACGGACTAGTCGGCGCCGACATGATAAGGTGGCGTTTCGTACCCACTGACAATTCTCCGCAGCCCTGTTAGCGAGGTACAGATCTTGATACGTGGCTTGGCGGTTGGCCGAAGTATCTCTTATTAGTGTCGTTTCTCGAGTCTGACTAATGGCACTATTGATATCCCGAGTCAGGGTAGCTTGTTCCGGATTTAATTTGACTGAAAATAGTTCCAGATCGAAACATTAAAGAAGAATTGTCCTTGTCTTCAGATCTCAATTCTTGCTTTTCAAAGAGAAATCCGACGGCGTATATCTCGAAGCCGAACTCCGTTGCCTCGGATTGACGATCCATTGAGGCCCATAAAGAAGCTTTGACCGACGGGATTATGCCCATTCAAAGGTCGCCAAACGGAGCAGCACGGAGACTCGGCCGTTCCGGACCCACAGTCGGCCGAGAAAGCCCCATAAGCCTCGGCTTGGACCTAAAAGGGGTAGTCTAGTCGGCCAGTCAATGCGACTGTATTTGATTGCGCTCAATATAATGAGGTGTGCCCTCTTGACTTGATTTTTCTGGTTAAGAGGTAATATCAATCTTTATCAAAATGGCTTCGTTTACTGCTAAGGAAGTGGCTGCTCACAACACCCGCGGTGATTGTTGGACAATCATCAAGGGACAAGGTAAGAATTTTTGATTTTTGACTGATGCATGAATTCTGCTGACCGCTTAGTTTATGATGTTACAAAATACATGGAGGACCACCCTGGTGGTGCCGATGTTCTCATTGACTCAGCTGGAAAGGATTCAACCATAGACTTTGACTCTGCTGGCCACTCCGAGGATGCCTTTGAGATTATGGAGGAGTACCGCATCGGAGAGTACAGTGGTGCGCCTGTACGAAACGCCCCTAAGAAGGTCACTCTCAAGAAGGCGACTCCCGTGGCAGTTGCTGGAACCAGTTATACCGCAACCGCGCTCACAGCTACCGCCGTCGTTTCCGCTGGCGCCGTGGCTCTTCACCAAGCCTACCGCATGAACCCCGAGATCCTGAACTCCTTGCCCAAGGTGAGACCTGGATCCGGATCTGGACCTGGGTTTCTGGAGGGTTTCCTTATCGCTTCGGCAATTTTCACCGTCGCTGGTACCGTTACTGCCAAGAAGCTTTCCAAGTACCTTCACTTTGAGGAGGGCGGTTTCATGAGCTATGCTCCTCACAAGAAGATGCCCAAGGTCACAAAGCTTAACCCTCTGCTCCAAAGAGGGTGGCTCGACCCTACAGCTTACCACGCTCTTCCTTTGGCTGAGAAGGAGGAGATTGCTCCCAACGTTTACCGTCTGGTTTTCAGTCTTCCTACTCCCACAACCATTCTCGGACTGCCAACTGGTCAACACTTGGCTATCAAGGCCGAGATCGACGGCAAGACCGTCAACAGGTCATACACACCCATCTCAAATAACAACGACCTCGGAAAGCTTGAGCTCGTCATCAAGTGCTATCCTGATGGTCTTCTCACCGGCAAATACCTTGCCAACCTCGAACTTGGTGATGAGGTGCAGTTCCGTGGACCCAAGGGTGCCATGCGTTATCAGCGTGGCCTCTGCAAGAGAATAGGCATGCTTGCAGGCGGAACAGGCATTACTCCCATGTTCCAAATCATCCGAGCCATCTGCGAAGACGACCGCGACCTTACACAAGTCAGCCTCGTCTACGCCAACCGCTCAGAACAAGATATTCTGCTCCGCGAGCAGCTCGAGACATTCGCGCGACGATACCCTCAAAATTTCAGACTTTACTATGTTGTTGAAAACGCGCCCAAGGATTGGAAGTACGGAACTGGTTATGCGACACAAGCGCTTATGGAGGAGAAGTTCCCCGCGCCTGGGCCTGACTCCAAGATTATGCTCTGCGGACCGCCCGGTATGATCAAAGCGGCCAAGACATCGCTTGGCAACTTGGGCTTTGAGCAACCTGGTGCATCTGCCAAGATGACGGACCACATCTTTTGTTTCTAGTTTGGGAACCTTTGTAAAATAGACTCTTAATAATGAAGAATATTATCATCACAAATAGCCTATTATATCCCTGCAACGTGATCAACAGCCACCCGATATGCTTAAGAGCTTATTTTGTGGCCGGGTCAAAACGCCCGCTACTTAGTCTTGACCTTCCCGTTGGGGTAGATCTGCATATCTTGGCGATGCTGGGATTCGATGTCGACATCGTGGGGGCAGAAAAGATTATCTGTGAGGGTTGGGGTGTTGGAAATAATTGGTCCAAGGACTGGTTTTATGTGATGGAAAGTGACCTAACCATTTTGTCTCTCACCTCTTTTACTGTCACTTTTTTTTATACCCATCGAGGAGGAACTTTTGTGTTGCAATGCATCGTCATTGCATCACATTATTGCGTTTCATACAGCTTATAAGGCCTTCTCGTCCCGCTATGTTTTGTTTTTGGGCCAGACATGGCCGACTCAAAGAAAGCCCCGGCCGTTGATGGCTTTCGCTCACAGCCCTACGATGGGTTCAACAGCGATGAGAGACCTATTGATACCGACAACGGGAGTACCGTCGATGCGCAAAACTTTGCATTTACCGAGGATCGAAAGATTGGCGTTACAGGCGCTGTCTTTCTGATTCTTAACAAGATGATTGGAACAGGAAGTAAGTTCACTCACAAATAACATTTGCAAGACCGAAACTGATTGTCAGTCTTCTCCACGCCATCGGGTATTTTCGCAGCTACCGGATCCGTGGGCGTATGTCTCATGCTATGGATCATCGGTGGCTTCTTGACCTTTTGCGGTCTTAGCGTCTTTCTCGAGTTTGGACTTGCAATTCCTAGATCTGGCGGCGAGAAGAATTATCTTGAGAGAGTTTATCGACACCCAAAATACTTGGCTACTTGTGTTTTGGCAAGCCAGATGATCCTTCTTGGCTTTTCCTCGGGTAACTCTCTTGCTTTTGGAAGGTACATTCTCTTCGCGGCGGGGAAGGAAACGCCCGACGGGTGGGAAGCTCGAGGTATAGCTGTTGCATGCGTCAGCTTTTCCGTTCTTCTTCACAGCACGCTTCCAAAATGGGGTGTACGACTCTTCAACGTCCTCGGCGTTTTCAAAGTCGTGATCCTTCTGTTCATTGTTTTCTCAGGCTTTGCAGCCCTTGCAGGGCATCGTCGCGTCCCAAATCCTCACAATTTCGACAATGCCTTCCGTATTGAAGATGGAGACGGTTATGGCGGCGGTGGCGCATACGCATACTCCAACGCTCTCCTAAACATTATCTACAGCTACAAAGGTTGGGAAAACGCAAACTACGTCCTCGGCGAATTGAAAAATCCGAGGAAAACCCTTGCCGTCGCAGCACCCATCGCCATCGGAGGCGTAACAATTCTATACGTGCTCGCAAACGTGGCTTATTTCGCAGCCATCCCCAAATCCGACCTTGCAAAGTCTGAAGCTATCGTCGCGGGCCTGTTCTTCAGGAACGTTTTCGGCGAGAGCGCTGCGGCGAGAAGTCTGCCTGCTTTTGTGGCGTTGAGCAATCTGGGCAATGTTCTGGCTGTTTCGTTTGCCCATTCGAGAGTGAACCAGGAGCTGGCTAAAGAGGGTATGCTACCGTTCAGTCGCTTTTGGGCATCCAACAAGCCTTTCAACTCACCGGCTCCGTCTGTAAGTTCACCCTCTACCGAAGGGTAACAGAGGAATTGGCCGTCGTGAGCATAAGAGACGAAATTAAGTTCTGAATGCTAGTCTAAGCTAGCATAAGGTAACTGAATTATTTCGTCTTTTATGCTCTTAGCTACTAATTCTACTGATACCCGGAAGGTTCATCCCTAAATCTTGTAACGCATCAGCTAATCATCGCAGTTGTTTCTTCATTGGCTTGTCACTGTTGTGGTTCTCCTTGCACCACCCGCTGGTCCGGCCTACAACTTCATCGTCAGCTTGTAAGTTCCCTCCTCCTCATATGAATCACCGCTAACAGATTCAGGTACACATACCCTGGCTCCTGGATCAACGGCTTCGTCACGGCCGGTCTGATCTACCTACACTTCAGCAAATCCGAGAACTGGACATCACCATGGCACACATACCTCCCCATCTCAGTGCTCTACCTCCTTGCCAACATCTTCCTCGCTTTCGTACCATTCATCCCGCCTGATGGTGACTGGAACGCCGATGGATATCCGTACTACGTCTTTCCTGTTGTTGGCGTTGGTGTTTTGATTCTCGGTGCTGTTTACTGGGTATTCTGGACTAAGATTCTCCCGATGATTGGAGGATACAAAGTTGTTGCTGATAGGACGTTCGATGATGCTGGTGTTGAGACGGTCAGGTACCGAAAGGTTCCTGTTCATCACAGTTAGTTGAGAAAGGGTGGATCTGAAGGGATATGGTGATGGCCTGGCGCCACTAGTAGATTTGGTTATGGAGGCATTGTGGAATTATCGACAATGATTCAATGCTGAACTTTGGTTGTTCTTTATCGCTGTCCTCGATGTGACTGACTCGTAAAGTAGACTGGCTACCCTTGAACCTCCTCGCAACTATAAGAGCACCTCCCCATTGATATACACTATACCTCTTGTGACATTGTTCTTCAAAACATTCTATACTAACCATCAGCTTCCATAATGAGCTCCAAAGCAAGTTCCTCCTCCGATCCTAGCGGGCCCTGCTACATCAACGATATCAAGATCTACCACAATGGCCTACCCGGCTCTTTCCGTATCGAGAGCGATAATCTGGACGTCCGACTGAAAGCCAGGGTAAACTCCAATGGCAACATTTCCAATATTGACTTCAGAAATCGCAAGGGAGAGCACCCTAAGGACTACATACTTGTGGACCAACGGGGATATCTTAACTTTAAGGGAGATGCGAGACTTGCACAGGTTGTTATCGTGATCATGGGTCTTGCTTGTGAGGCTGTTGGTGTGCCAGAACGTGTTTCTATACAGGTTAGATCTGAAATTGGCAACCAAGAAGCGAGTATGAGATAATTTTGGGGCTCAATACAGGTTTGAAGTTAAGATAAAAAAGCTTGTACTCTCCGGGTCCTCCAACTCTAGTCATCTCTTGAAACTTATTCTAAATCCCCAGGTTACTCTAAAATACTATCGCTTTGAAGTTATATCAAAACAGTTATTCAATTATTGAAAGTAAGGTTACCCTGGAGGAAGCAATACTAGCTATATCTTGGATAGTATAAAGAACTAAGACTAGATCGTTTGACGTTCAAAATAACTATCAGGCCATTTATACAAACTTTCTCCGGTTAACAACACTAAGCCTTCTTGCTAAACACAACTTTACGGTTTCACTTGTCCAGGGAAGGGAATCAATTTTGATGGTCCCCTTCCCAGGCGGATCTCCTCTGGCGAGAAATCCCGATAACCCTCCATATGGCAAATATGAAGGTGCCGATCTTTTGCCCAAGGATTCAAAGGGTCATTTCTCCACAGTACATCCAAATATGGCCAACTGATTCCTAAGTTTTTAATTTGTTGCTGGGTCCACTCTGGTGAGCACTTTGGTCCATCTAAAGGTCAGGAGAGTGTTAGCAGGGAACTAACTTTCATCCGAGTACATACCCTAGTGAATAAGAACCAAAGCTATACATGGACTAACCCTTTGTCGTATTCGAGCTTCCGCTACTGCCAGAAGGTTTACCAAAATCAACAGTGGCAGGTTTCTGGTTCGGTGATCCTCCGAAACCGCCGAACTTGGTCCCGGTGTTACCAAAAAGCCCGCCAGATGGGAATGTCACAGGAGTAGAGGACGCATTTAGGGTTTCAAATACGCTAGTGGCTTTGGGCTGCACTGGATCAGTGGCATTCTGCTGTCGCATCGATGTTGGGGTGGTTGAGAAATTAAACAAACTGCCAACACCACTGTCTGAGCTTTTGGATGACGAGGCAGGAACTTCTCCAGTCATGCCACCTTTTGGAAAGACGGTGCTAGATCCTGAAAATAGTGTCGGAGCGGGATGAGTCCTAGCAGTTGCCGGAACCGACTTGACTGGGCCAGCAGCCCCTGGGCTTGGGGTTGGCGCAGGTTTCGAAGCTGGTTTGGAGGCCGTTGGGGGACCCGGGGGACTGCTAATGGGTCTGGAAGAGGGCAGGACTGTGTTACTGCTGTTAGCTTGTCCTGAAAGCAGTTATGTGATTCATACCGTTGGCAATTCTTGGTTTATGCTTCCGGCACGTAGCTAAGCCGTCTTGAAGAATCTTGATCTCTGTGTCAAGAAGATGTCTACGAGACGTCGTCTCAATACGCTCGGCTGCGAGGTTCTCGAGCTCGGTATCGCCCATGCCGTCCACCTTTGTTGGCGTGAGGATCTCAGGAATGCTGCATACGAGGCAACTCTCAATCGCAAGATTAATCACATTGTCTGTGAATGTGCGTCGAGACATCTATACGTTGAGTTAGCAATTTATGAAGACCATCGGGTTTCGGTACTCACCTCATAGTATGTCAGCATCATATCAATAATCTTGTCTGTTCCAAACTCTCCTACTCGCGAACTTTGACCAGACACCATCGCTTGGGTTATTTTTTCTGGTGTCAAACTATTCTTGGATGTATCAGAAAAGAGCTCTGGACACTGGTCCTCCAATGTCTTGCAGACCTGGTTAGCGACACGCTTCGCGGACTTCTGAGACAATGCCTGGTAAAACTCAATGTCCACGGGAGAAGAATAGCCCTGAAGGTAAGGTCGAAGTAACTCGTCGATCTTGCTACGGAGTGACTTCTCCTTTTCTTCGAAGAAGGGGTCTACGTGAGTAGACAAGATTGCTTCCGTAGTTGGGTTGTTCTGGGGGGGCCCTATCACATGCTTGAACAACTGATCAACGAAGGCCTTTGCAACTGAGACTACCATGTCGACATGAAATTCAGCGATTCGTTTCCATGGAGCGGCTTGCTTCTTGAACAGCTGCATAGCAAGATCTGCATTGGGAGATCCTGGAAACTCTCGGCCTTGGTTTGCAGCGGCTTTGTTCTCAAGTTCAGCGCTCAGCTCTTCTGTTGTAACCCTCTTAGGGTCCGGAAACTCGTAAGGATAGCGGCCTAGAAAGTTTGCAAGATATCCAGGGAGCTTACTCTCGCCACACTTATCCTCTTCCGCGAACACGATGCTTTGAGAGGACCCTCTTGTCCTCAGGATGTAATCGAAAACTCGGTTAAAATTCCGAAGCAAGGCCCGGAACTTCAGATCTTCGTCCTCCAAAACACCGAAAAATGGATCATTGTATCGTCCATTGCACCCATCTCGAGCCAGACGTTGGAAGTCACTGGCAATGGTGAGCAGGTAAGATCTTCTAGCCTTGGCGTCAGATCTTGCAGTTCCAAGTCGGGTAAGCTCCTCCTGCCTGTCTCTGAGCTTTGTTTCGATATCCTCGATGACTCCAGGAAGACTGTTTCTGATATGTTGGAATAAAATCCCACTCAACTTCTTGCGGAAATTGGCAATGCCAAGGTCCTCGCCAGGGACGGTAGCCCAAGCACCCTTTTCGAAGAAGGACGCCTCAAGTTTATCACGAGCCTCGAGGCTTGTTTCATCTTCTCCTCTATTCCGGAGCACGTGCCATCCGAGCTGTAGCTTGTGCGCGCTTTCCTGGTTCTTTGCCACCATGATGTACTCCTTGGCGTTAGAGGGAAGTGCAAGATCTGGCTTGGTGATGACTCCGATGGTACGCCGCCTCTGAGGGTCTATAGTCTTTGCTTTCTCAAGAGCCGAGTGGCTGACCAAGTTCATATTGGCAGAGACCACCACCAGGATAATGCTGTTCTTCTGTCGCATATATCCTGCTACCAGCTCATCGACGGTATCTCTGCCTCCCGACGACTGATTGTGGGAGCTTGTATGATATAGACCAGGGAGATCAACAAGACTCAAAGGATATATCTTCGGGCCTTCAATCTCAAGTCGTAAAACATCTTTGGAAAAGTCTTTTCCGTCGTGTGAGAAACCTATGTGCTCCTTGGCCTCTTTGATGATATCAGAAAGATCATCCTCGTGAAATTTCTGCCGCTGAAAAGTTTGAGATGGTTTCGTTTTGTCTGCAAACCTGACGCTGGCTTCAATACGAGTCTCGCTCGCATGGTGAAAAATCAGCTCTGTTGCGAATCGTGTGCAAACACCACTATCAACAGGGAACCGGATATGTGAGATGGCCTCGAGGACTGATGACTTGCCAGCCGATTGCTCGCCCACCACAATGATCTGGGGAAGATCGACAATTTTCCCCACGCCGCAAGCGCTGAGATCATCGCTAATCCGATGCAAAGAAGTCGCTTCTTTGGTATGAAGCTTTGCAAGAACGTCAGAGTCGACTGAGACATCCATGGTGCGGCGAGAAAGAAGTATGATGGTGATGTTGCTTAGAACCTGAGTTGTGTTGTACGACCTAACTTATCACGTCTGGATATGGACCCAATAAATAATATCTCCTTACCAGGTGTTGGACATCGGCTGACCTTCCTTACCCCTGAGGACATGGGCGGTAATTGTTTCACTAATGCAGGTCAATTTTGCAGAACCAACATGTATACCTTCATAGCGTAGGGTCAGCAGCCAGGCGGTAGTACATTCCCGTGTCCGGCTTTGTAAAATTAACGACACTGAATTAGATTGAAACCCTGTTTTGATGGTGATTTATTGGATCTATTTCTTGGCTGAGCACACACGGGATGTACGCAATGTCCCTAGACAAACTTATTGCTGAAGCATGGTAAGTTTGTTCAAGGCGGTCGTTCGGGCAAGGATGTCAACCAGCTGAATGTGACAAAACGTGCATACTTAAAATTAAGGGCTAGTTTACGAAGATTTCTTATCAACGACCCACTTAATGAAGACTATCACGAATCAAAACACAGAAAGGATGCAACCGAGACTGGGTAAGAGACACTAAGGTCAGACTCCATTAAGACCTACTTCAGTTCAGTTGGTGACAACCCTGAACTGTCAAAAGCTGACTGATATAAGAGAGTAGCATCCTCTTAACTCGGTATCAAAGAGTGACAGGTTGTTGTGGAAAAGATTCTGGATCCACGACAATGATACCCACGCCTTGAAAGTGGCCGTTTCCAATAGCGTGATCAATAGTGGCAGCCACAACGCGATAGCAGTTCGTTCCTCTTCTAGGTCCGATCAATGATCATAGTAGCATGAAAAGCCCGCAAAGCTGATAATCCCTTTGGCCTTATACCGGCAATGGGGTGCGTAGATATCGTCGTAGTTGGCTATGTCGTTCGGGCCGAGTTAGTTGAGTTTGGATACTCAGTCCACGACAGAACATGGAGTCCGAATTGTAGGCCATAGCGTAAGAGAACGAGGGAGAATAGGCGACATAGACTCATCAAGATAGATGAGGGGCTTACAACACATTGCTACATCCATAGACTCAAGCATCAAAACTTGCCAATATAGCAGGGTGACGATCTAGTGCAAGTGTCGTCTGCAATAAATGGATCTCTGATGGGCTCAGGAATCGGTTTCCGTCAAACAACCAACAGACCTCAGCATAGAGTCAAAGGTTTACAGCATCTGCTGTGCTGGAGCACAACTCAGAAGATCGGACTTTACTACTGTGGCTGATTCGCAGGTCGCATCGAATCTTACTAATCGTTCTTTCATCCCAAAGAATAACGCCACATACGCAGTACAGTAGACCAACTATGTCCTGACAAAGCGTTCAATGGCAATACGAGAGTCCACGAAAGATACGTCATTAAGATTAATTCGAGCCAGACATACAATGAGATTTCATTGGATGCATCAAAGGTATAGCAGTTCGGTGTTGTGACAAACTGGAAAAGGAAGTCCCTTCAAACAGCCCCGGAATGATTGCTGATTAACCCTCCTGCCTGCCTATTCCAAGAGTCGTGCATAACGTTGGATGTCGGGTTACAAATTGACCCGAAGTTGTAATTCATCATGACGTCGGAATCTTACTAACCAATCCTTGTCATCCATCTTGTTCTTCACCAGTTATAGCATACTCATCTTCGACTTAGCCAGCTGTTCATCTATTTATTTATTGCCTTCGTAGCCACTTGGAAAGGATCCAAAAAGCAGGAAAACAAGACAGAAAGTAAAGACCATCCACAAACAACGCGACACTCGGAACAATGGCTTCAGATAAATCAACAGAGACAATGGCTGTGAGCACTGCTGATAAGTCAAAGCCATGCTTTCCACTTGCCGGTAAAGCGAGAGATGGCTGGTCAAAAGAGGATGAGGCAACGGCAACTTGTTACTGCGGCGGGGTACAGCTCTCATTTGTGAGTCAAATTAAGCGTGCTTACGGATGGATTGATCTGACGCAACAACAGCCTATTGATCGAGACAAGGGCCTCGTCAAGACATTCGTGTGTAATTGTGCCGACTGTCGCAAGATCACAGCTTCCATGTTCGCTAGCAACTTCACCGTTGAAGATTCGCACCTCAAGCACTTGCGTGGACAGGAGTTGCTCAAAACATATGGCCAGAATGAGACGATAGCCTCGGGCAAGAAGATGACCAACTACTTCTGCAGTAACTGTGGTACTCTCATGTACCGCGTCGGTGAGCGCTTGCCAGGCGTCAGTATTCTGCGTATTGGCACCGTCGATGACTTCTCGCTGCATGAAACGAAGCTCCGACCGACCGAGGAACATTTTACCAAGGACCGTGTTTCCTGGGTCTCGGGCGTCACCGATGTCGAGAAGACCTTTCCGGCCCAGGGCTGAGGGATTGCTTTACCATACGATCAATTGACATTAGAGGAATAGAGGGAGTTAGTATAGCGAATGAAGGGATAAAACAAGCTTGTTACTACGTTGTAAAATATGCGAATGCCGTGTTTTAGGACACTGACAATCGAGGTCATTGTGACTAAACGATATACAGACTAAAATCGTGTATCTACATCCTGAACTCCATACATCTTGTTTACATCTTGTTTACATCTTGTTTACCTGCTCATCATTCATCCAATGCGAGCCTCCAGCACACCGATATCCCCCGCTTTGCTTAATCCAATGGTATCCGACAGGGCAAACACCCATCTGCTTCAACTTCTCCTTCGCTTCTTCAATCTTCTTGCGCTTATCCTCCGCCGCCAAAATCTGGCGCACAAGCCTCTCCCTATCGGCATCACTCGCGTCATTTTGGGCCTTCTTGAGATGTTCCAGATCTTGTTTGTCTTGCGCCTCTTTCTTCTTGTCCTTCTGAAGTTGTTCCCATACCTCATCGCTCACACCAGCGTCTCGAAGGTCGCTTCCCTCGTTGACATCGCACTCTTCATCTTCCGGTTTCCCCTGATCATCTTCATTTGTGCTCTTCGGGTTCGGGTTCGAGCTTGAATTGAACTTGGGTGCAGACATCGTTGGGGTAGGTGTCATGAACGGTACCTTGGGAGATCTGGTAGCGGTCTTGGCCTTGTTGTTCATCCTGCCGGACCGTTCAGATATCATCTCGCCAATAGTGGATAGAACGATGTCCTCTGTCAGCGTCAGAGTTGGTGGAGAAAAGTCGAGCTTGTGATACATCTTCTTGGCCAGTTCCTTCACGTCTCTTGCATTGGCCCAGCCTTCCTGTTGAGAAAGAGTCTCAAATTTGACAGTCAATGCTTGAAGGAACGGTGACGCAAGGATCTCCAGACAGGATACATCGACAAACTTCTTGTCCTTAATCTTATCCTTCTTTGCTTGCAGTTGAGTCGTCAATAGATGAATGCAGCTTGCGACAGTCAAAGGGTCAAAGTCGATACTCTCCGGGAACCGGCTCGACAAGCCCGGATTGATACCAAGCAAGTTGTTGATGTCTTGTACGTAGCCAGCCAGGATGATGATGAGCTTGCCTTGGTACTTAGGCTTTGTGACGCAATCTACCAACTCGTCAATCGCCTCCTGTGCAAACGATCCATGTTTAGTCGGCGCAAGCCGATAAGCTTCATCAATGAAAAGCACACGGCCCATCGCCTTTTCGAGAAGCTTTTGCACCTTTGGCCCTGTATGCCCGACGTATTGACCGATCATGTCAGTAGCAGACACTTCGAGGACCTCTGTGCTAGCCAGGAAACCCATGTCGTAATACACCTTGCCCATTTTGCGCGCTGCTGTGGTCTTGCCTGTTCCAGGTGGGCCACGAAATAAAAAGTTGAAGGGTATTTCCGGATCAACTTCAAGCTGTTTCGCTTCTCGTACGCGCTTCTGATAGCCTTCGAGGATTGATACAAGATGGTCGCGCCCGATATCTCCTGCAAAAAGCTTCGCAACATCGGTCCCCTTCTCGGCTCGGTCGTAATCTTCATCAAAGTCAATTGCCTCTAAAGTACCATGGCGCTTGATCCGACCTGACGAGACGCGCTGCTGGTGGCTCACCTGTGCTCTGCCAAGCAGTATATCGATCTCACCCGCGTTTCCGAAGTTGGGTCGGTTTCTCGCACGGTTGAGAACCTCCAAAGCGACAGACTTGCCTCTTTCTGTTGCCTTGAATCCTGACTTTCCAAGCTTCATATCGAGAATCTTGGCCAATTCCTCTTGATCAAAGTCTTCAAAGACAAAGGCAGATGCAATGGGAAAACGTCTAGCCAGGCCAGGATTGACGTTCTGGAACATCTCTTCCATTTTGTCTTTGTACCCAAGAAGTAGGACACATCTGTCTTCACCGGGAACGCTTTGTACCTCACCCACAATGGTATCGATCACGGCTGTCTTGAACTGATTCATACTGGAGCCATCAGCCCTGCCACTGAACAGCCCATAGGCTTCATCGATCACAAGGACCTTTCCGACCGTTGACGCCAGTATAGCCTTTGTCTGAGCTTCGGAGCTGCCGATATGTTGACCAACAAAGTCAGCTGGGTTCTTGACAATGAGCTCTCCGTTGGACAAGAGCCCTAGGTCTTTGAGTACCAGACCATAAAGCTTCGCGATGGTCGTTTTGCCAGTTCCTGGTGATCCCAAAAAGACCTTGTTAAGTGAGAACTCAACCAAGGGTTTCTCTTCAAGCTCGCGATGGTAGTTCGTCTTGAGTGTGTCCATAAGTACCTTCAGCGCGTCTTTAACCTCTTTCAGGCCAATCATTGAGCTGAGGTCTCGGTACGCATTGCTTTTGGCCAACGCTGCGGACGGCTCGGGGCCGATTAGATCTTCTTGAGTGAGCAAGAAATCGTCTGGTTCTGCGCCGGATCGGCGGACTCTTCGAAGACGTGTGGCTTGTCTGTTGGTGATGACTTGGAGGTAATTCTCAACTGCTCGTGCGTTGCCGAAACCATTTCTTCCACGACCATGGCCGACTCGTCGTGCAACAATGCGACAGAACAGTCCGTCGTTGCCTTGTTCAACCTTCATCGTTCCTTTGAACTTGCGGTGGGTTTGCAACTGAAGGATCTGAAGGAGTTCATCATCTGTGTAGTCCTCAAATTTCATCTCGATGGGAAATCGACTGGGGATACCGGGGTTGTGGGCGAAGAACGACTCCATCTCATTTCTGTAGCCAGCCAAGACAAAGACAATTTTCCCTCGTGAGTTTTCGACCTCTGCCAACAGGAAGTCCAGGACTGCCTTTCCACCAGGGCTATTGCCGGATGACAATTGATATGCTTCATCTATGAAGAGACAGCCTCCACCATCTCCCTTTATCTTCTCTAGAAGCTTCTCGCAGCCAGTTACGCCAATGTTGGCAAGCTTTGCGCCCGATACCTCTTTGAAGCGCGTTCCTGGGATCGCTCCAACCGTGGTCAGGAACTCGGCATAGATCCTTGCTACTGTAGTCTTGCCTGTACAACAATTAGTCAACATCCTCATAATTTAGTCTACATCCTTATAATTTAGTCTAAATCATGAGAAAGGGTCTATACTTTCCTGTTCCTGGATTGCCGAGGAGCGAACAACTCCATCGCTCGTCACCCAGCGAGAACCTTTGGCGTATTTTGGTGTCAATTGCCGATTTAATGGACAGCATCTGGTCTTTAACTGATTCCAGGCCAATCATCCCCATAAGCCTGTCCAAAGCGGCATTTCGGGCACCCTCAACGTCTTTCATGTGCTTCCACTCGGAAGCGGCATTTGATATGATGTCGAACTGGGGTATCGAGTCCTCAGGCGGTGGTTGGTTCGTCTGAGATGATTCCATCTTGGCCTTGTTGGCCTTGGCTTGACGCAAAGCCTCAAGCTCTTCCTTCTTCCGCTGCAATTCGTCCGCCTGTTCTCTTTCTTCAGTCTCAAACTTCATCGTTCTTCGGTGATGGTCGATCTCGTCTTCGATCTCTTGTAACTCCTTCCGGTACTGATCCTGCTTCTCTGCACGCTTTCGCTCGAGGTCCAGGTTCCGCTCGATGCGGCGACGATTGTCTTCGTCCTCCTTGGTACACGTGATGCAGGATTTGGACTTATCTCCGCAAGGCACCTTTGACTTATGGCCCCTCGCACACGTTCTGTCAACCTTCTCGACGCATCCAACATTTGAATGGTCTTGCACCCGATGACAACGTCGGTTGCAAAAGTGTTTCCCACAGCTCAGCACAGTGCCACTATGAATGTTAGCTGATACATTGGATAGAGATGCACCTGCTTACCAAGGTTCAGCGCACCCTCCATCAGGGCACATAATGTCAAAGTCTTGAGGGGTCTTCAGTAGCATTGAGGTTTCCGGATGTCGCTCACAATGAACAGGGAGACCATTGAACACGCAACCGTTTCTCTTGAGCGCGTCAAAATACTGCGTCCACATCTCGCCTCCGTTCTTACTCTTCATGAATGTCTCCATGTTGCCGAAAAGGACCATACCATCTCGTGCTCGGGAAAGTAGCACAACAAGGCGCTCGCGAGCTTGTAGGAAGCCGATATCTCCAGAGTCATTACTGCGTGTCAGTGACACAATGACAATGTCGCATTCTTCTCCTTGGTAATTATCTGTAGGTGTTAGAATGAATCCGTCCATGGTTGGAATTTCTTACCTATAGTAGACAAACGTAGCGATTTCTTGTTGACCTTGGCTGCTGCTGGCGTGACAAGTCCAGCTTGCACCAAGTCATGCGAATCGAGGTCGCTTAGCACAGGATCATGGTCTTCGCGAAGGATCTCCCTCAGTAGTGACAGTTGCCCGAGGTATGGTGTAAGAACTACCATGTTCTCGGTCTTGTACCCATTTTGCGAAAGAAAACGGACAGTCTTGAGTACCATCAAAGCTTCATGACGGTTCCTTTTGCTAGATTTGGTGGTAGGGTCTCGGCGCTCGCTCACATCGTTCATGGTATCCTCGGGCTTTTCGTGATGAACGAAAGTGACTCGGTTCTCAAGCCCTCGAATAGGGCCACGTTCTAGGGTGGAAGGTGCGTCCTTCAACTCGGGATATGCCAACATACGAGTATATTGTGATATGTCGGAGTGACTGCGATGCTGCTCCTCAAGTGCTGTGAAATGACGGCCTTGCGTAACAAGTCTTTCGAAGAGTGACACGTTCAGATCATAACCTTCACCCTTTTCTTTGGTCAAGGCGTAATTGTTGACTTTCGGTCTCAGCTGCTTGTGGTCGCCGATAAGAATGAGCTGTTTGACTGAGGCGCTCATAGCAGTGACGATATGTGCCTCGAGAATTTCTCCAGCCTCTTCGACAAGGATAACATCGGGGTTAGCCGTTTCAATTATAGACTGGTACATTGCTGCAGCGGTGGTCGTACTTCCGATGATTCGCTTGTCTTGAAGCACTCTCCTGCCGCGCTCGTCAAGTATACTCTTGACTCTGGCCTTGACATCTCCATATCTCTTATTGAGGTCGACAAAGCTGACGATTTGCTCCTGTCGGACTTTCGCAGACCATTCGTCATGCAAGTCCTTTCTTGAGTCATGCGACAGGTCCCAAATCCTGCGTGCAGAGTCTTCCAATGAGGCGCCCAGGTTGCCCATCTTGTCAACATCGCCGTTGCGAAGCCAATACTGGTAGATTGTTTCAGACCCACTTACCTTGCCCTTCGCATCAGCCGTCTGGAATCCATCGTCATCAACAACCTGGAATGCGGACCACGCCGATGTGAACCCGTCGGAGAACTCAAGGTACTCAAGGATATCGGCGGGTTGAGCACCATGCCCTGCAAGCTTCTTACTGTGCTCTTGTATCTGCGTCTCGAGTGATGTCTCATCATTCCGTAGAGTACTGAGGATATTCCTCTCCTCCATAGTCAACCAGTATCTCTTTTGACCATCGTACTCCCGTAAACGTGTGGGCTTGGTGGCTTCGGTAAATTTGGACCCGAGACGGACAATTTGATCCGAACTAACGCCAATATCCATGAGATCTTCCAAGAATTGATCAAGAGCATGATTTGTGTAGCTTAACACGAGAATGCGAGAGTCGGTGAGACGCAGTATAGCCAAGAGAATAAGTGCACCGAGGAATGATTTGCCAGTGCCAGGTGGACCTTGGATCAAAGCCACATCGGTACTCAATCCGTGGATGAAGGACTTGAGCTGAGCATCTTGGAGGTAGATGTCCTTCTTAAGCTTCAAGCTTGAAGGCATTCTGACGCTAATCCCAGCCTCATAGCCTGCCTGGAAGCCATTGAGCAGGTCATACAGCTTCGCGGACTTCGGGTTGTCGAGCGACGGCTGGTCCGAGTCGATCAATTGAGCCTCAAGAGGAATGTCCGCAATAGTCTTCAATCTCTTGAGGATTGGCTCGTAAGCAAACGTAGCAGTGTCTACAAGCAGAAACTTCAGTTGGTCTTCCGGTTTGTTTGCCAAGGCCGTCAGAGCAGACTCGAGGCCATACTCGTCGGTGAATCTGAATCCGACAATAGGTGGCGACTGCAGAAGGCAGTCAATGTTCCGGCAGAAGAGTGATCCAAATGCAATGATTTTGTCACCACAGCAGAGCGCGCCGAAAGAGTCATGCTTCATAAAGTTCTTTGAGTTGACGATAAAGTCTCGCTTGTATGCTTGGCGGATATTGGGAGGGAAATTCACACCTCGGCTACAGGCCACTAGAATGGTGTATGGGGGGATGTTTGGGTTGGTCGTGCCGTCGCAATTGTTATCAACAAGTTTCATCTGGCTGAGGATCAGCGGTCGACGTCTGCGCTTCTTTTGGCCCATAGCAGCCTGGAGGTCCTCTCGAAGCTCGGAGAGCATGTCTTCCCGGAGTAAGCGGAACATCCAGTCACGGTACTGCTGGCTTCGCGTATCCATTGGTGTGTCAAAGACTTCTCCAAGACGTTGCAGATACGGAGGATCGGTAGACGACAGTTCGTCACGGGTAGGGTAGATAGAGATCTGTCGGAAGTTGATGTGATCATTGTCATGGCGCCCTCCGGCAGTGACGCCGTTTGTTGCAGCTCCTGGTTGGGAAAAGATCTTGATGAGCTTCTCAATGCGATAACCAATCTTCCTGACTTCAGGCGATTTGGACTTGAGAAGGGATTGGCGTTCCATCATTTGATCAACAGCAAGCTTGTGTGCATTAAAGCCGCTCTGATCAGATACGATCCGCAAGCACAGCCAGGCAAACGCTTCAAGCCCTATGTTGTCTAGACTGCCATTGCTGTATGCGTCCATAGATGCGGTCCAGAACGTAGAGGGCTCCAAGATTGCAGACAGGAGTTGACGAAGGAATGCGCCATTGTTGACTGATGCAACGCCGTCATCCGAGAGTGTGTTCATAAAAGGCAGGGTGGTCGAATTGATGAATCCAGGGCTCAAATCGGCACGTGCAGCTCTTTCTAGAGCCGGGATGCCGGAGGGGTTGGAGATCAAGACTTCAACACATTTGACAGCTGTGTTCTTGTCGCTGAAGATCTTACAGGCTTGCAGAAAGAGATTGGCTGAATGAGAGTTGGTGATCTGCTGCTCTCCTTTGGTAACAGCCCAGAAGAGCTTGATGAGCCTGGCTGCTCGTGGGCCTGCTGAGTCTTGCACCAGAACCATCGCCAATAATACAGAAGATGATGAGAGTTAGTAAGTTTAGATGATGACAAGATTGAGATGATGTTGAGATGAAGAAGAACAATTGAGGGCAAGATGATGGAAGGAAGGAAGTCGCTCTTCTACTTCACTTCCATCTAGTGAATGCACGTTCCCTTGTACTGTGAATGAAGCGGCATCCATACCAGTGCGCCTACCTGCCTAAAGATACATACTCCAATCATCATCGCCACGATGGCCAACAGATACAAGCATCATGCATGGGGCCGACGAGGCATCATTATGCGACACACAAAATGCTTCTCATTCGTCATGAAATCAGGCTCTGGTGGGTTGATGGGCCTCCCACATGTACTCTAGGTGGGCGAAGTTGGCATCCGACGCAGACAAAGACGGCGACAAGCTCACAAATCAATTATTCAATGCGATATTCTCATGTGAAATGACGTTAATGTATCTCTGCGAGGCAAGTTGTGAGGCGGATTGGGAGGCCATCCAGTCTTCACAGCCCACTTCGGTCGCATACCTGGCCAACAGTCAACAACCAACACTGGACAAATAGAAGGGTTGACTCAAGGCGACAGAATAAAGGCTGGTATAAGTTGACAAAGTACCTAGCCAAATTATTTCGTCTCTTATGCTCGTTGGCGAATTCACCCGGACAGCTGGCCAAGACTGAACACCAGTAAATGTATTTAATGAGCAGGCAGCCACTAGACAAATGTTACACTACCTAGTCGCTGCCAAAGAAGTCCAGTTATTGCTGAATTAATTATTTAATTTCTCTCCTTCGTCCTTCATCCTCACTCAGCCATCACCCACAGTATCTGCAACCACCTTCACCATGAACCGAGGATACAGAGATCATCGCCCAACGGGAGACAGACCGCGAAAACACGGTTCAATGGCACCTCCTCTCGGAGATATCGTCGAGCGCATCTCTAGGGATGATCTCTCTGACGAAGATGTCAGCGCTAAGATCCAGAATGTCAAGTTCATTGCATCGTACAACTGGGTCAGCTCTTCGTCCCCAAAGATAATTATCCCAGGTATGTCAGCCAGTCTATTTATGAGCGTATCTAACATCATTAGGTCAACCTCCAAAATGGACACCACTAAAAGGGTCAACCCGCTTGCCCGGGGATTCGGGCGACTACTATCGCGACATTAATGCCGCCTTCTACCCCAAACATCCCATGGAACCTGCGATCGTTTCTGTGATGAAGATGCATCCCGAGCCCATCCCTATCAGTATCGTCGCTTGCGGAAGTTCAATCGGGAACCTTCTCCGTTTCGCCAGAGGTGTCGACTTGGACAACTGCTTTCGCATCCTCGTCGAGAAGATCGGCAATACTGTTCACTTCATCCGTAGAGAGAACGCGCCCGATGAGACCATCAAGGGCATCCATGGATTCGGACACACATTTCCAGAGGCCTATACTACCTGGGACCCTTCTGTCAAAAGGTCCAAGAGTCATCAGAGGATTCTTTCCTATCAATTTGCCGGCTTTGATCTTCTCGTACGATTCGAAGGCGATGGGTACATTCCTGAAGCCAGCGAGAAATCTAACGTCAGGTCCTTCAAGGGCGATGATCTTGATCAGATACAGGATCTTGGTGTGAGCGAACCATCGCCAAACACCACTGACCCGCTTGTCGTCGCGGAAGGCGGTGATGCCATACCTCAAACTAGCATCTTTGACTTGAAGACGCGGTCGGTAAGAACACGCCATAAAGATCATCTTGGAGAGCAGCTCCCACGCCTATGGATCTCTCAAATGACGAACTTCCTCCTTGCCTACCACGAAAGAGGACAATTCCAGGAAAAGGACATCGAGATCAAGAACATCAAATCTGACGTGGAGGAATGGCAAGACCTGAACCAGCCGTCGCTGAACCGACTTGCGGCTCTCTTCCGCCGCATTCTTGACAGTGCCCGGGCTTCAAAGGATGGCAAATTGGAGGTTGTCTGGTCCGGCTATGGTTCTCTAGAAATTCGTCAACAGCTGCCGGATGCAGGCGAAGCCCTATCGACGTCAGTCAAGAAACAATGGGAGGCTTGGTTGGGTGCTGGGGTCAAGGAGGCCGACGCAGGAGATTCGGGACGCTGGGAAGATTTCATGGCGACTCTGTCTGACAGCGACGAACAGAGCGATTATGCTGCGTGTGATGCTGAGTGCGGTTATTGTGGGAAGTGCACGTAGTCGGTGGATGGGGATTACTTTTAGTCAATGTATCGCGCACATGTTCGACCTCGCCAGGCCAGTCCTCGGCCCTTGGTCGTTGATGACAGGAATGAGCGATAGCACCGTTGATAGGCAGCCCGCCAGGCGAGTGTGAGAAGAATTATCCTCTACAATTTAGACTACAGAAATAAATTAGTCTAATCGCTAGTCTAAGCTGTGGTCAAATTATTTCGTCTCTTATGCTCCCAGCGGCCGATTGTTCTGGCATCCTGGCGCCTGCCCACTGTCTAGGGGTACAGCTCCAGTAGCTAGAACCGTTCATAAATGATCAGAAGTAGTCGCAGAGGGATGGCCATTTGTTCTTCAATTCCGTGGTGTTAAGAGATGATGATATCGGTTCTTGGAAGTTGGTAGTACACCTGTTACGATTAGGGCTTCGAATGGTGACCATAAGGAGATGGTCTAGAGGCATTTCGTGGTGCAATTCTGGCTGTTATGTTGTTGGGAGGAAGAGAGATTGATCAGAGTGATAGTGAGGCATCTTGTGTCCTATTAGGAGTCTCATACTAGAAATTTAGCTTCTTCTAGAAGTAGCCCTGACTGTTTTCTGCAACTATCTGTTTCAACGAAATAGTATCGACCACGGAGTCCAATCCCAAGCACTTGATAGCGTCTCCGTGAGAACGAACCACATCCTGTATCAAATGCGTCTCAACTCTTGATATCGATTGCCATGCGTCAAGTGTCGATTTTCTCAATCTAAAATCCCATGTTCCTCGCCAGGTAATTGTGGCATATCTTCGGCAGTAGGTAAACGAACAAGCTTCCCTTCTCGCCCCGTTCCATAAGGTCAAAGTTTCGAGCTTCGGCATTCTTGGTACTGTTTGTGCTGCTAATATTAGGAGCTGGTTTGTCTCGTTTGGAGTGGTCTTGGACATCAGTCGTGAGGTCAAACACAGGGATTGTAGCTGATCCCATTGCCAGTCCGGCTGGCAAGCTTGGAAGAAATGATAGGCGTCTGCGAGAAATCCAACCGATAGATGTTCCAATCCCCGGCTTTTTCTCGCGAATGCAGCACCGACTCTTAAGTTCGTGGCTCGAACTCGTGCAGGAGGAATCCACAAGTACCCGGGTAAGTACCAGAATATATCGAGGTAATTCTCGTTGAAATCTTCAAATATCGTGACTTTCTTCACACTTTTCAAAATTCCCCAATAGATCATTTCTTCGTAAAATTGGTCCCATATGTCTTGCACACCGCCGTAAAACAACTGCCATGGCTCAAAGGAGATCTCTTGTAGCCGTGGAAGTCAGCACCATAGTTGCGATAGTTCCAATGGGCCTAATTGACGGCGACACTGTCTTCGAAGGACAAACTTTGTTACTGCCTTCACTATTGGAATTCGTTGCTCGTCTTTCCCGAATCCTTCGGTACATGGTATTTCGAATGGCCGTACCAATGCCCTATCTGTAGGGGGCTCGACGACGTCACCGTGCTCCCACCCGTGTTGGGGATCGTGAAAGTCCCTACTCTTTGGGGTAATGTCGAACTTTTCTTCCCCAGGGGCGCCAAAATAGCATGTCTTGAACCAATGTTCTGAGTCGCTTGGAGAGTAGGCGTTGAGCTCCAACGTCAAGTGTTGGTTGTGATCCCACCTCGCTAGGATTGAGAACAATTTTACCACTGCTTCTACTATGATCCGATCATTCAAATAGGACCATGTAGGACTCTCAATTCTTCGGCAAATCTGACAGGTATATCGCTTGAGCTCTATGTTGAGCCAAATGTGATCAACCTGTCTTGTTGACTTTTCGGACAGCTGGTCGAGGAAGTCGAGGTCAGATGGAGGAATCTTGAGATGGCTAAAGTTCCTTTTCCCGAGGAAATTCCTCCACTCTTTACAAACGCTCGCATAGATTGCTGTTGTATCGTCACGTGCTAGTTGCTTGAGGATGATGTTGCGTATCTCTGGGAGCAGAGACTGCCAGGCGAATGTCATTTTGACGAGAAACGTTACTCGTAGACCCAAAGAACGGAGGAAGGTAGCCTCGATTCTGGTTTAAACTGGCATAAAGCGATCAGATTATTTCGTCTCTAATCCTCTTTGCAGCCAGGTTTTCTGATATCTTGATGGTGTCTTGAGAGCAGCGTGACTCAGTGACTTGCTTGATGTAGAATGGACGTATTTGTCCAGGTGTTGGCTACAAAGGAATTTTCAGGTGATACTTGCCTCCAGAACAGAAATCTGCAAACTTTTCTCTTGTTATATGACTCATATTTAGGTTTCGAGTTCTTGAAATCCGACTGCAAATAGTTTGTGATCTGGAGGGAAGTTTAAAAGGAAACGAGCCAACTAAGCTCAATACTCAAAGATATTTTCATTGTTAGGTTGTCACACATCTTAATGACTGTGGTATATATTTATACCGCTTGCAGAAGAGGTTTGTTTGAAAGACGTCTGGGTAATGTACATGATAAGGCCACTTTGACCAAGATTCAAGGGCGCTACAGTACACAGAAACATGATTTAATTTCCAAGTTTCATCGTCTCCCATAAAGAATGTATTCGGCATCAGGCAGTACCTTTGTTATATGTGAATAGCATAATTAATCCCATGAGGATTGTAGCCGAGTCGTTGACGTTTACTAAGCAGGAACTGACTGCCGAGAGCGTTCAAGATAAAATAATCTGGACAAATTATGCCAGCTTAGACTGGAATTTGGGCTACTTTATTTTGCGCCCTGAGGCTTGGGGATAATCTTGCTGCTACCCAATAGGAGGCTAACTTGGTCGAGATAGTGGACTGACTTTCTTTGATTGACGTTCTTCATCCCTGCTCAACCTTTGATCTACAAGACAATACCCTACAGACAACCTGTGCCACGCAATTGTCTCAAAATGGTGCACATGAACGTTTCACCCGGCGCGGATCGTAATGTGGTGGATGATCTCAAAGTCAAAGAGATGCATGTATCACCTTTAGATAAAAATGGATCAGCCAATACTGAACAGGTCTGGCGCGCGCCAAAAGGACATCCATTTCTCACGCAAACGAGCCGAACCATCTATCCATTGACGAAGTCTGGGGAACGGAACGAAGCCAGTTTAGCGCCAATTATTCACAAGGCCAAGCTTTCCAATCGGCAAAGTGGGCGATTGTCAAACCGAAACGTGGGAATGAGATCGACAGGACCAGGTGAGAAAGCTTTTTTTCTCTTCATGTTGCAATCTCGACTGTAACCAGGACACAGTATCCGATCCAGAGTTTCGTACAATACTGTAAAGTTGAGTTACATCTGACTTATCTTACGTACAGTCACTCGTTGCGTGCTTTTCCGACCCCGCCTTAGACTTACGCAAGCGCGTTGGTGGAGAGAGTTTGATCGGACTGGAGGAATGGTCTGGATCCCTGGTAGTGTGGAGCGGAGGTTGAGTCGATATCGAGGGAGCCGGGGCTACTTCTAGAGAATGAGCCTTTTTAGGCGACACGCATTAATAGGTAAGCTATCCCCAACATGGCTGGAGGCTGGGATAGGAAGGTTGGTATGGCTGGTTTCTAGAATCAGATAACGATTCCTACGGTACAGTTAATCCTGGGCGATCAATGCCTGTCCTGCGGCTCTTTGGAAGCGGGGTACAAAAGTTCAAAAGTCTGAGGTTGGAAGGCTTGAAAGGTTGAACGGGCCGACAATGCTGGGGGCAGAATTGAAGAGCCAACGGGGAAAAGGCAGAGTTAAAAACTGGTGGTGTTGTATAAACCCCAAGTGGAAAGGTTAGTGTATGGAGAGTGTGGTATGCTTAAAGAAGCTTCAGAGTTTTCTTCGGTCAACTTTAGTGGGAGGGATTATGGGGATCCATTGTCGGGGTATCTCTGAGTGACTTGACTTTTGATGGCTGGCATGATTTAACTTATGTCTTATGACCTTGATATGATGATGATGGTTATAGGGTGGCGGTCTATGATATATGTCCAAGAACACCGACCTCTCGAAAGGACCAAAAAGAAGTCAATCACCGTTGTACGGTTCCATCTGGTCTATCTTTTGGTGGGGATAACCAACTTGGCTTTCCCAGCCGGAGACAGTTCCCGTAGTTAGTGTAGCGGTACCGCAGGTTATTGGCGCCGCTGTCTCAGGGGGGATTGGAACCACGGGCCACCAAGACGCCAGTGTACTGTACGTGGTTACAGACTTGATCCGTACTCGTATCAGGATCCATCTCACCTAATTCACAGACTCGTTACGAGTAGACACGAGACAATTTGACAGATCGCGTAGATCACGGGTCTCTTCTATTTTCAGAAACAGAGACTCTCTCCTCTGACTGTACAGTACGTCAGCTCAGCGCGATACAGCCTCAGTTTGATGTCTCGACAACATCTACAATTGAATGGATGTGGGAAATCTTTAGCCGCGCCATGTTCGGCAGCGCCTAGCTTATTGACCAGTCCAGTCCAGAGTCTAGTCAAGGAAGTTCTACTGTTAGCACATAGTCTGGAACAGAAAACTTGGGGTCAACAGACTACGCTTCGCCTTTTTGCCGCTTAGAATTCCTCATGCCATTCTGGGCTTTCCCATGGGACGCCAAGTTCCCGACTCCAGGTACCCATGGCATAGTAATCATACAGCACCACGATACAGTACCTGGGTCCAACGTATCTCCTTGTCAAACGTAACGATCAAGATTCCACAGATTCTCAATAATACGTCACAGAAATTATTGTGTTTCAATAGTCCGCCCATCTTCGCTCGGCCTCTGTTTCATAAAAATGAGATCCAATTCCTGCGACATTTCTCTGCCCATTTTCGACAGTGTTTGGCTACTGCAAGACGATAAGATAAGCTGGAGCTACTGCTCGTTCAGGCCCGAACGCCCTGTATTTGGTGACTTTCAGGGGGTAGTCTCCCCAACCTCACTCCACACGGCCTTGGACGCCACTACGGTCACACCCCGGACACATTCATCCAACGTCGCATCACCACCAAGCATTCAGACTTCAAGGTCGGGTCGTGTCCTTTGCGTCTCTGCCCAGACGCCCCAACTCTTTGCCACCCTTAACATCCGTCATTCCTCTTCTACCCCTTGTTCTTGTCTTCTTGGTATCATTCATTACCCCGTCTCTCGCTCCTCAGGATTTTTTTCTGTTCATCTTTCTCTATTCCCTCGTTTGAACATCTTGCTTGCTTCCTAGCGACGGCGCAAGACAACTTTACGCATAATCTAATCGGACTGGCTCCGATATAGCAATTGGATAACGAGAACGAGCCAAGATGCATTTCACAAAGAAGATCGACCGAGCCTTTCAATGGGCCGGCGAAAAGATGGGCGCTGAAGCCCGAACTGCTCATTCCGATGAGTTCAAGAATCTCGAGACCGAGATGACTTTGCGACACGATGGTACGTGCGGTGATGTGACAGTGACTGGCAATTCTAACAATAACAGGTATGGAAAAGATGCAGCGATCTATGACCGGCTACGTGAAGTGGATGTCTCGTCGCAATGAGCTCATGGAAGATAAGGAGCGCGGCACCCCAACTTCGTCGCTTGGTCGTACCATGGCCACCCATGGTGAGGACTTTGAGCAAGATTCCGAGTTCGGAAACTGCCTCTTGTCCCTGGGTCGTGCCAACGAGCGCATCGCCGGTATTCAGGACTCCTATGTTGACGCCGCCAATGCCACTTGGCTGGAGAACCTCGACAGGAGTATGGCAATGATGCGAGAGTACCAGGTATGCCAATCGCTCTAGATGTACTTACCCCGCTAACAAGAATAGGCTGCTCGCAAGAAGCTCGAGAACAGACGCCTCGCTTATGATGCCAGCTCAGGCAAGCTGCAAAAGGCCCGCCGTGACGATTTCCGCGTCGAAGAAGAAGTTCGCATGAATAAGGCCAAGTTCGAGGAGACCAGCGAGGACGTCCTTCGTCGCATGCAAGATATCAAGGAGACAGAGGTGGACAACATTGCTTCTCTCACTCAGTTCCTCGAGGCTGAGCTTGAATACCATGAGCGCTGCGCTGAGGAGCTACGACGAGTGCGCCAGAGCTGGGCTGGTGGTGCCTCTTCGCCCACCAGTGCTCCCAAGATCGGCCGAAGCCGATCTAACACTGCTCGCTCCTGGCAAGAGCCTCGTCACCAAGCTGTCTACGAAGAGCCCGAGCCGGAACAAGAGTCTGCTCGCATCCCTCACCGTTCTCCTGGCAGCCGTCTCGCACCTCCTCCTCCTCAGCCTGCACGACCCACGATCGGACGCGCCTCAACTTATGAAGGACGCTCCTCTTCTACAGCTACACCACTTGCCAACCTCAGAGTTCCCGGTGCTCCTCTTGCCCGCGTTGCTACTGACACCGGATCATATGGACGACACGACGATGTATTCTCTGACGACGTTTCAACAAGCCGAAGCGGTAGCCCTGACTGGGAACACCGCACTGCAAGCCCCGCAACTAGCTATGGAAGTTTGAGTCGAAGCACAAGTGGATTGACTCTTGGAAAGAAGCCACCACCACCTCCTCCTAACAGGGCCAAGAAGCCTCCACCTCCTCCTCCTGCGAGAAGGGAAAACTTGGGTTATTGATTGATGTGTTACGAAATAAATTGGGCATGGGTACATGGATGATTGGCGTTTAGGATAATATGCTTGACAATAGAGTCATTATACGCAAAGCGCGTCTAATTGAATGTAAATCATCTTCAAAAGCGATTGAATGCCGTGATGCTGGGCGGTGGAGCGATAAGATAAGATCACGTGGCCTCCAAAACAAGATGCGCTCATGATCAAGAACACCATCATTGCTGTATCATCATCAATCAACATGGCGACAGAAGACGACCGCTACCGGCAGTCCAGCCAGTTTAGGCTCTGGTCATTCACGCCAGCCAACCTACAAGAGCTACGCGCAAAGACGAATTCGCTCGCTCGAGAACAGATCGCTCCTCGACTTGCGACAGATCCTCCTCCCGACTTCCTTACCCCCGATGAAGAAATTCGTCTCGTCAAGTTCTTTACCGTTGAGCTTATTCGCGCGGCTCAATTTTGCGAACTTCCTACCGAGATTCGAGCCACCGCCGCCATCTTTCTGCGACGATTCTACGTGACCAACTCGGTCATGACATACCCAGCGACCGACCTTCTCAAGACATCACTGTTTTTCGGTTGCAAAGCGGAGGGTTTCTTTTACAAACTCGATGCTTTTTCAGAAAAGTTTCCAAACACAACAGGCGAACAGATTCTTGCAGGAGAATTTCTACTATGCCAGGGAATTCGCTTCGCGTTCGACGTGCGACATCCGTTCAGAGCGCTCGAGGGTGCTATTCTGGAACTCAGACGAAGACTTCCTGACGAAGAGACGCGAATCAACAAGGCACACGCTCGAGCCCGTGATATCCTCAAGTTCAGTCCTCTGGTGACGGATGCCTATTTTCACTATGCGCCTAGTCAAATTATGATGGCATCGCTTTCCATTGTTGATCATGGACTGCTCGACATCTTGATCCCGTCTCCTGGCCAAGGCGAGAATGCTAGTCAAGAATCAGTCTTTGCCAACATGCGGGACAAGATCCTTGGGGCTGTTGATAGCTGTCGCAAGATGCTCGAGGAGGAACCACCAGAGAGGATGACGGATTACTGGGGAACGGTACGCAATGCTCTTCAATGCTCCTCGATGACCAACTAACAATGATAGCCCGAGATCGTCAAGGCGATGAAACCCCTTCGAAAGAAACTCCAAAAATGCCGTGACCCCGATCGAGCGAATCTTGTCAATCTTCAACGAGCGAGGCGAGAACAAGTGATGAACAAAGAAAAGAAAGCAGAGGCAGGCGAGGACGGAGCGGTATTTGGGGATGATTCAAGAGAAACAAAAAGGGTGAAGCTCGAGAATGCAGATCCTTTTGGCCCTCCTCTATGAGTTGTCGGGTCAATTGGTTCAAACCTTCATCGCGCTCTACGATCAAACCAATGGGCTCCTGCCAGCACTTTCCTAGGACGATTCACAGGGTCTGGACCTAGATCGGCCAGTTTTCGCCGATGCATGAGCTGACAACCAGATTGTTGCATCCCTTGCTCCCTTGGCGTTTGAGCTGGGTAGCTTGGCCAACCTTTTGCGAGTCAAAGGGAGCTGTCTGCGCATCCTATGGCAGAGCTGGAATGCGACGCTAGCGCTGCCGAGATCTTGGCAGCGTCTTTAATTCTTTCACCAACAGTCGACTTTGCAAACGTGCTGCAAGCTAAACTGTTGCGATACTTTAATCAATGTCTATGACGATATCAATATACCCGATCGGCGTGCGGGGGGATGTGGATCCGGCTGAAGGAGCTCAGAGCTGGCGGCCCTAGGCTGTATTGGATTTACTCCAGCCTACCGCGAATTCCGGATATTGCTAGCCAGGAAGGAAGCTATCGTCTGTGTAGGTTGTCCGTTACGCGGTCGGTTGCGCCCCCATGCGACGGCGTCTACAAACCGGTGGACAAACAGGCTTTCCAAAAGATCGATACGAGCAGGGTTAGTTACAGTAGCAAATGGAATCGCGCGTTATCCAATTGAATTTGTTGTTCGGCTTTGCCATTGGGTGTTTCGCAACTCCCGAGCACAACTGCTTCGTCCCCCCCGGCTTTCGGCACGCGGCAAACCACGACAGCTTTCAGTCAAAGGCCTGACCCTTGCTTGGCACTGTCCTTGACTTTGAACCCTCGCCTCAAACAACAGGAGCCTTGGCAGGTGGGCTGAGCTTGAGTTGCGCTTTACAGACCTCTCTGGCCACTCATGACGCGAGATACATCTTGGTCTATGTCATTGACTCTGTTTTATTCTGCATCGAGCCTGGTCTCGAGAAGGCTCGTGCTCATGAAGCTTTACCAATTGGATAGGAAGCTACCGCGAGAGCTAACGGAACTTGTCGACTGAGCTCCTTTGGAAAGAGTTCAAAAGCGCCGTGTTTCCCCCATCCTCTTGGGCATTTGTTTACTCAGGATAACTCTATCTAGGCAAAGACATCCAAAATGAAGACACAAACTTTTGTTACTCTTGCCCTCTCGGGCTTGGCTGCTGCCCAGAGCCGTCCCAACCTTACCGCAGCTATTGCATCTGAGAACGATACTCTCTCTTCGCTTGCTGGTATGTAGCAGCAATGTCCCGGTACTTCCTATACTGACCCTCACAGGCCTTATCCCATCTGACCTTCTTGGGGACCTCAACCGTCTGCGCAATGTCACCATCTTGGCACCCAGCAATGATGCCCTCGAGGAGCTTCTCAAGGATAAATCTATTGCCAGCATGGTCAGCGGTAACTCCAGCTTTGTCACCGATCTTCTGCAATACCACATCTTGAACGGCACCTACTATGCCAGCAACATCACCGACATGGACATGGCTGCCTTCGTTCCTACCTTGTTGACCAACTCGACATACTCCAATGTCACTGGTGGACAGCGTGTTGAGGCCATGGCTGAGAACGACACTGTCAGCTTCTACAGTGGCTTCCGTGCTCAGTCCAACGTGACTAAGGCTGTAAGTCATTGCCTGCTCATAACATTGACCCTCCTGACTGACTCTCTAGGATCTCAACTTCACCGGCGGTGTCATTCATATCATCAACCGTGTTCTTACCATCCCTAAGAACATCTCCGATACTGCCATCGCTGCCAACCTGTCCGCAGCCGCTGGTGCCCTCACAGAATCTCAGCTTCTGCCCAACCTCACCAGTGAGAGGAACATTACCGTCTTTGTTCCCAGCAACAGCGCCTTTGCCAACATTGGCTCCATCCTCGCCAACGCTAGTGAGACTGATCTCCAAGATATCCTCAAGTACCACGTTGTCAACAACACTCTTGGCTACAGCAGCATGCTCGAGAACGGTACCCTCACTACTTCCGATGGCGAGGATCTCAACATTGCCATCTACAACGGAACTGTCTATGTCAACGAGGCTAAGGTCATTGTTCCTGATGTCCTCATCTCCAACGGTGTTCTTCACGTCATTGATGGGTAAGTCCACATCTACTATGTCAAGTACCAAGCTAACGTCCGTAGCGTCCTCAACCCCGACAAGCCCTCTGCTACCGCCAACCCTACTGCAAGCACTCAAGAGGCTGCCTTCTCTGGCGCCAGCTCCGTCAGCGACATTCCTTTCACTTCGGGTATTCCCGCAGGTACCGAGGCTGGCGCCACCGGTCTGTCTCCTGAGACCTCCACTGAGGGTGCTGCCCAGGCTACCGCTGCCATTGCGCTCGGTGCCCTGTTCGGTGGTGCTGCTCTCGTCATGAACGTCTAAGCTGCGGTTGATTGTAATTACTGTATGATATGGTAACGGATTAATGGTTGAAGATAGTAATGATGGATTGAATATACATGATTTGAATCCAATGACGTTCCTTAATTGAGTTTGACGTTTCCTTATAAGCAGCCACACCGGTTCATGTCATGCGACGCCTCGGTCGCCGTTAGATCTATACCTCAGTAGCAGGTCCTTTGTCCCCATAGATAGGATCTCTCCGGAACCAACTCAAATCCTTGATGGAGTTAACCTTGCTCTCCTCGCCCTTCTTCCCATAGCACATATCCCAATCGCATCCGGCCGGATAACTCCCCACCATTTCAAACCCACCATCCAAATCCTCCAACAGCCGATGTCCAACCCCGGCCGGCACAATAACAACATCGCCCTGTTCCACCACAGGCTCAACGCGCCCTTCATTCTCCTCGCCACCAAAGCACAGACGCGCCCTGCCGTGGCTGATGCAGAGGACCTCATGGGATGTGCTGTGGAAGTGCGTCTGCCTGTACATTGTGTAGCGCCATTGAGGTGTCACTGCTCCAATTGACGTGAGGTGTGATTCAATCTTTGATGCTGAGATGGGATGTTGAAAGGCTGCGTGGTAGTGGAGGAGAGGCTTTTGCTGGATGCTGCAGTTAGGGATGAGATTGTGTGCTGGGATAAAATGTTTCGAGACGCGAAGGGACGCAAGAGGCGTAAGAGACATGGTGATTATAGTTAACGAATGATGGATGGTGCGATTGATGTTCTGAAGTTGGGACATGGAGACTGTAACAGTTTGACTGAATGGCCTTCACCATGATTCTACGATTACTTCTATTGACGTCATGATAGGTGCAGCTCTATCAGCAATGAACACACTTGACTGCAATTAATACTGAATAGTTCAATAGTATCGTAGTAAAGAATTCATTCAGCAGTACTCAAGAAGCATTTACTAGGTATTATGTTGAGCAAAGCTCACAGTCGCAAAAGCGTCGAATCTACCCGGCACCTACCGACCGGTCACCCCGCGAATACCCTTCTCCACGATTCAGCTGTTGTAGACGCAGGGAAGCGGAGATGGCGAAACCAAGAAATCAAGCTCTTGTCAGGCAAAAAGATCCTGATCATTCATTATCGCCAAGATGCCAATACCAAGGGATCAACGGGTGTGCCACATGATTGCGCAAGCAACTTCAGGGTTCACCGCTGGCATCAGGCATTTTGTTCGTGAACGTGACGACACAACCACACAACACTGTCGGTCCTCGGAAAAACATATAACTTGAAGCGTGAGAATGGGAAATTCTTCTGATAAAAGATAATTGGATACAATAGTCCTGATCGACGCGCAAAAAGAGAAAAAGAAATGCGTAATCTGGGAATCGAACCCAGGGCTCCCCGATACTGATTGGCAACGGAGAATTTTACCACTAAACCAATTACGCGGATGCTTTTGTTCACGTGATAGATGTTGATAATTTACAACATATCTAGGATAGTTTATGAGCATCCGGCTATCAATCCCATAACCCTAGCGGAAGCAAACACTTTGCTGTTGACAGCCTAAGAGACGAATCAATTAGGATATCTTAGAGTAGCTTTAGTATATCTTAGAGAATGCTTGCCCGTTCGTAAAGACTAAGCGTAACTCTTCTACCCACTACACCAAGCTTTTACTGCAAGCTCAAAGTGATTCCCGAAAAGGCTGGTTCCGCCAACAGGCTCCTTGAACCCAAGAGGTCATCTGTTGAGAGAAGACCAAAAGAAATTTTAGATAGAACAGAGACTTTGAAGACTGATCGAATGGATACGGCGATCGAGATATCACATGTCTCTCCACATCACAGGAATATCAAAAGGGTATGAAGATGATGCAAGTGTATATTGCAGAAAACAGACCGCCAAAACCAGCTTCTTGGACAAGAGGTTGGCTTTCAATCGAGGTTGTCATTGTAACGTCTACCACAACTTTTGACAGGGTACAAGTCAAATGAATAATGCTTCTTTGACTGAATATTCTTCGCTCACTAACCATCTATATCACAAGTGATACGAAAAGATGATATAAGAAATGTGCCATTTATCAACAAGATACCTACTAAAACGCCACATTAAAGATCTAACATATAACTATTTGAACACAGCCTTCTCCCAACCACTCCGTCTCGTGAGGTTGACCTTGATATCCCCAGCTGGCTTCAGCGAAGTCAAAGGAAGCTTAGATCTATCCATCTGGGGGATATCAAAACTCTCCATAGTGGGCGTCATATCAAAGCCCAACAGGATACTTCCAACGAAAGTAAGAACTTCGTAGGAAGCAAAATGACGGCCTGGACACAGGGTGTTACCACCACCAAATGGTCTGAAAGCAGCCGCTCGCCGAGCCTTTTGCTCTTTGGCAAGAACCTTGGATTTGAGAAACCGCGTGTGATCGAAGACTTCTGCATCTGCACCCCAGGTGGCAGGATCAGCGTGGATGAAGGCGGTAGGCATCTGCACTTGGGCACCCTTCTTAAGAAGCCAGCGATCTTGAATGAGGGTGTCTTCATTGGTGTAGCGCACCGTTGCGATACCGCTCGTCATGCGTAGGATCTCCTCGTACGTCGACATGAAGACGGGGCACCTTTCTCGGATGACGGTGTAGTCCAGGCAAACTCCTGATTGTGCTGAGGGATCTTCCAGTGTTGCTTCCAGTTCTGATCGGATCTCCTTGAGAAGATCAGGTCGGGAGAAAATCTGGATGAGAAGCCAAAATGTCGTGGGGATTGTGTTCCCAACGATAGCCAAGATGCTGCCCAACAAAGCACGAGCGTTGTTCTCGGTACTTAGACCCCGACGAACACCCAGGTTGGAGAGCTCTTTGATGAATGAGCAAGCAGTATCTATTCCATCGTCGTTCAGATACTGGTAGAATGCATCAACAAGCTCTTTGCGAGTCTGCTGTGCGGTAGAGTATTTCTTGGGACTTAGAAACCACGGTATGCCCAGAAGCAGAACCTTGATGTTTGCCTCCCATAGCCTGCGTATGTTAGTAAAGAACTCTTTTTTATCGTGAATTGCTTACCAAAATGTTGAGTTCAGAGATGGTTTGAGGGTAAAGGGATCCTTCTCTCCAAAGCAGGCAGAGTTATTTGTTCTCATGAACAGGTCCTGAACCCAAACGTAAAGGTCAATGGTCTGACTTGAAGGCGCATCGTTGACAATGGCCAATTGCTTACTACGGATGACTGTGCACAGCTCATCCAGAGATTCTGTTCCAGGCAGAAGTGAAGACTTCTGTACACGGTGGATCTCACCATACATACCCTTCTCAGTGTGAGCATCACGGAAGATGAGTTCAATGCCAGCCTCATCAAAGCCCATCATTCGACGGAAAGCAGGGATCATAGCTGGACTAAATGACAAAGATGTCGTGTTACGCTGAACTGCTTGCACGAGCTCTGGAGAGGTCACGATGTAGTTCTTCTGACCCGACATGTCAATCGTAAAGATTGGATGCGGTTGTTGAGCGCTGCCATTGTTAGCAGTTGTTCAGCATACTTGAAGCAAGACTTACCTGACGAGATCAAAGTATCGCAAGCCATGTTTCAATAGTCCGTAGATGTGACTGAAGTATGGAACTCTTTCCTTGACGTAGGGTGGTTCCCTTGGGTCTGGTGCCTTTCGTGTCGCTAAAGCGATGGCGGCCACAATCACGCAGCAAACCACTCCGAGAGTGACGTTATTCAGCGCCATGGCGAATGATTAGGAGCGATCTACCCTAAGATCTGAATGAAGAATTTGTTTCAATTGTTGTATGTGTTATTGGGGGGATAGCTCCGATACCCAATATCACTGAAGCCAGTGAACAACAAAAGAATGGAGAAGACGGGACTCAATGGATATCAGCCGCAGTGGATGCCTTCAGGGTCTGTGATCTAATTTGGTACCAACAAATCAAGCGACAAAAGAAAGTAAGCGCTGCTGTCATAAAAGCCGTTTCGTGTCACTTTTCTGGTGGAGATGGACCACGATGGTTATGCAGGAGGAAGGATTCATCCGACCAACATTCATGCGTCTTGGGCCCAAGTCTGAGAATTTTCTGCCCACGGGCATCTCATTTCTTGACCCTTCAAACTGAAGCGAAGGATTCAGGGACTTTGGTCAACTACTACTACGCCTCGGTGCTATACGGAAGACAAGTTCCGCTGAGCCTAAAAGTTAGTCTAGGTGGTGAGCATTGATCAAGACGATGGAGTTGAGATGGGGGCGTGAAACTACTAACACGCAGGGATCAATCGGCTATCTGAGCACCACTGATTAGCGTCAGGCCTGGTAGTTCCATTAAAGGATCTGACCTAGAGAGCACTGATTCCACGCCCGAATGTTCGAAGCCTGAGATCAGATCCAGTGAATCATGGGTCAACTGGGATGTGGTTCGGTGCATTTATCTTTGCTTCTTCTTACCTCAGAAAATAGCATCGGCTCGTGTTGTCAGCACATCTCGAAACAACAGAGAACTTTCGACTCCGCTGGTTGCAAGGACGACCCCTGCGTTGATCGTGGAGAGTATAGTGTTGCATCTGCCTCGGTAAGAGATATCCCATCACTGTATCAACTACACAGTCACTGAGATTATCCCAAGTCAACATCTTCGCGATCACTTGGATACCCTCTGTTTCCGTCTAACGAACATCTCAGACAATAATGGCTTGTCGTTTGTACCTTCACCCGCTGGTGCTCTCAACCGCCCAGCAATTCTTCTTCATCTACATCGCAGGCTTCACGTCGCGCACATCGATCCTACGCCCAATTGGCTTCATCATTGTTCTTATCACCACTTTCGTGGCACTATTTAATTTTGAAGACTTCATCGAACCACCAGGATGGGTCTCTCGAGCTATCATATCGGCATTCCCTCAGATCTCATTGACGTACTTTGAGCGCATGATTGTGCGAAAGATTGCGTACGCTGAGGATCGCGAAAAGAAGGACCAGCCTGCTCAATCAAGGTTCGCAGAGTTTCGCTCGCGATATGTCTTTGGACAAGAGGTTGCGTCCTCGATGAGAGGACTGGGCACGCCGTGGGAGATCAGGAACATCCATCATTTTGACTCCAAGGACCCATCGTACGTCCCAGGAGCGACACCATTTGTCTGCATCAATTTGCTCAAAGTGCTGCTTTGCTTCTTTGTCCACAAGTTCTGCATCACTACGCAGTTGAGTCTGAACCAGGAGTACATGGCACCAGGCTATGTGCCTGTGTTTCGACGCATTGGAGACGTGACAATGGCAGAGCTGCAAGTTCGGTACGTTGCGACCGTAACGACGGTTGTGTCTATCTTTTGCTTCATCCAGGGCGGCTACTCGCTGGCTTCTGCGACTTCAATCATGATGAACCCCAAAGCTGTCAAAGATTGGCGACCGATCTTTGGTGAATTGTCCGAGTCGTATTGTCTTCGACGTTTCTGGTCGTAAGTTTCCAGGTCCTTCCAATCTCGCACTACCTAGCTAACAAATGCAGCACTGTTTGGCATCAAGGCCTGCAGAATAATCTCCGAGGTACTGCTACATGGATCGTAAAGAACGTATTCCGCCTCAATTCTTACTCTTTGCCGTCTCGATACCTGAAGATCCTCCTTGCTTTCGCGCTGTCAGGTCTTGTTCATGTCCCTAGTGATATGGGAAGTGCAGTGCCAGCGGCCAAATCTGGAGCCATTCAATTCTTTTCCACACAGTTGATTGGACTTATGCTGGAGGATTTATTTGGAGATTTCTTCCTTCCTCTCTGGAAATACAAGGCTACTAGAGTCATTGCAAAGCTGGCGGGTTACTTCTGGGTTATTAGTTTTCTTGCTTGGTCGGGACCTGTGAGATGGTTTCCTGTTATTTTGCAGCAGACACCTGAGACTGAGCTCTTTAGACTGAGTGCATTTAAGCCTATGATGAAGGTTATGAACTGTTTTTAGATTAGATATTTAGACATTAGCCCTGAATCAATTAGACATCCTCAACTTTTTGACTGCAATTCTCAAACCTTGGAAAACATGACATTCAATGCCTGGAACAACAGCAGTAATTTGTAAATTGCCCGTCGATTTCCACTCTAGCGGTGGACAAGACATGGCAGGCGGATTACAGGGCTGTAGCGCCGCTGAAACAAATGAATTAGTGCTGCGCAATGGCGGTCGGGCGCCAAGTTTAGCGCTACCCATGTAACCTGGCAGCTGAAGGCCTGCCCAGGCAAGTACATAAAATCGCACCTTCCATTGCAATCTATACTCACATTCACATTACATCTACTCAGTTATCTACATCTGAGAACATCATGATCTCGCCTCTCCAGGCCATAGCCGCTCTTTCTTTGGGCTACATTGTTCTCTCTACTCTGCAGCTGCTTTGGAATTACAGAAAGGCCAAAGCTATCGGCCTTCCAGTGCTCATCACACCTATCGATCCTGTAAGTCACAGGCACCGCGAGATCAGACGAGGGTTCTAACAAAGAGCAGTCAAACGTTCCTTATCTTATTTGCTCCAGCTGGCTGGAACCTCTGCTACGCAAGATCTTGCCCTTTGGATTGGGAAATTTTGTTGAGTACAACAGTCGCGACTGGAACTACGAACAGATTCATGGTTTGCAAGAGCTCATTGGCGATACGTTCATCATCGTCAGTCCCAAGCAAATTCGTGTCTTCACTGGCAACGCCAAAGCATCTGATGACCTCTGTCGCCGACGCAAGGACTTTGTCAAGGCTGTAGCTCTCTACAAACCTCTTGAGATCTTCGGTCGCAATGTCGTGACTACTGAGGGTGACGACTGGGTGCGACACCGAAGAATCACCACCCCTCCGTTCAATGAGAGGAACAGCGCACTTGTGTGGGATGAATCCAAGAGACAGGCTACCGATATGCTTGAGATGTGGGCTTCAAACCCCAAAGGCGTTGTCAATCCCCAGAGCGATACCATGGTGCTTGCTCTACATGTTCTCACAGCTGCTGGCTTTGGCAGAAGTTACACCTTTGGAAGCGGACTCGAGAGCGAACTCGAGAACCACAGTCTCAGCTATCGCGACTCTCTCAGTCTAATCCTCGGAAACCTCTTCACTGCCGTTTTTACCGCCACTCTTGGCCTCCCAGCATGGATGCTTCCTTCCAGGTTCAAAAAGGTGCAGGACGCCGTGGTCAATTTCCGCCAGTACATGGCTGAGATGGTCGAGGAAGAGCGCGAGGCCATGAACGCCGGCGCAGAGGAGCAAGACAACCTCATGAGTATCCTAGTGCGCGCCTCAGAGAATGAGAACAAGCAGGGTAAGGGTGCCCGACACTTGACGGATACTGAGATCTACGGTAATCTGTTCAGCTACAATCTTGCTGGTCACGAAACAACATCCAACACTCTCGCCTACGCGACCATCCTTCTCGCAGCGAACCCCGAATGGCAGAAATGGGCTGCTGAAGAAGTCGACCAAGTCACTGCGGGCGTCAATGTCAAGGACCTGGACTACGAAACTTTTTACCCTCAATTGAAGCGCGTACTCGCTATTATGGTATGTTACTCTCCTCCTCAATTGAACCGTACTAACGTACCCAGCACGAAACACTACGACTATTCGGGGCAGCAAGAGCAGTCCCCAAGACCACCCTCGTGGACCAAACACTCAAGGTCAACGGTACTGCCTACACGATACCCAAAAACACCTTTGTCGGCGTCAATCTGGCAGGCCTGCATACATCATCCGCATCATGGGGCGACAACGCCCTAGAATGGCTCCCTAGCCGTTGGGTCACCCGGGACGAGACCGAAGGCGAGAAGATGGCCCCAATGCCTACTGGAGCTTTCCTACCATGGGCCGCTGGACCGCGCGTGTGTCCTGGTAAAAAGTTCTCACAAGTGGAATTCGTGGCTGTGCTTGTGTGCCTTCTGAAGGGGTATACCGTGGAGCCCGACACAGACGGTGTAGACGACCTCAAAGCTGCGGCGTCAATGGCTCTCATGGAAGAGGCGAAGCAGTCCAGTTTCAATTTCCTGCTCAAAGTAAAGCACCCTGAGAAGATCAAGCTACGGTGTGTGCGGCGGGACGCCGAAGCCCAGGAGTAAACTAGTCCTGGCTAGCGTGTTGTTAGTTGGTAGGGCTATGGATTGACAGGAGGCTCGTTGTGGAGTGTTTTCAACATAGCATGCATTTATTACTGTAACTTTCTGGTCATCCTCACTTCGCAAAAACAATTCGTTCAATCAATTTGGTTCATGATCCGCGTGCACTGGCTTGAGTCTCTGACAGCACAGACAGGGTCTTCAAGCTTGGGTCACGATGATCCACGCCGAGCAGGATTTTGACCCGCTACAGTGCTACGTGTTTGAATCCTTTTGAAGTCTCTGTTGTGAAACGATCCACTAATAAGAATTTCTTTTCCGAAGAAGCGGTAATAGGAGGCTATTCGCTCGCTATTGTTTCCTGTTATCTAAACGCTTGGAACAGGGTTTCTTTTTCCACCCTGCCAAGTTTAGTAATACTAGATGCGTTATTACAGACCTTGGCGAGGTACCCTAGTCCCTGTCTTGCATGGAAGCATGCAGTCAGCTATTCTCTAGAATCCTTCTGGTTGTGTGGAAGACTTTCTCGCCCAATAGCCACTGTATCGGTAGACTCACGGTAGATGGGAAAATGAGTGAGACACGGCATGGATTATGAAGAAGGGGGCCCAACATGATCTGCGTGTAATTCTTACTCTTAGATAATCTACGCGACCCTTTCATGATATGTCGTATCATAAACAGCGTCATGATGCATTTTAACTTTGTGCCTTCTGTATCAAAAACAAAAACACCATGGATCTGTCAATAAGGACCAACAGAGCATAACCAACAGATAGTCTGCATGACGAAACCCCAGAAGCATGGACGTCATGATTGTCTCTACCCGGACACCCTACCCTCTCTACGATACTAAACTTTGCCTCGGATCCAGGTTAGACTGCTGGACCCTTCGCCCGGAATGTGGATGTTGCTCAGCCTGACGACCCGTGACGGTCCCGTAACTCGAAGGAATCGACCAGGTGGGTAACAGAAGAAATGTCTTCTAAGGCTTAGGTTGTCAAAATAAAATAACCTAAGAAGAAGCCTAACCTGGCACAAGGTGGCCAAACTATTTCGTCTCCCATGCTTCTAGCGGTCATTTATCTGACACCCTGAGGTTGACTTGTCCAGTCTGACAGCAGTTAGCTCTACCAAAGTCTGATATATCTAACATCCTGGTCCATGATAAACTCCTCTCTCGACAGCACAGAACAAGTCCTAGCCCGTACTTGGGTGTCAACTCAAAACCAGCCTTGTAATGAGGTGAGGTTGCTTGTTTGGCTATTTATGGAGCGTGCCGAGAAATTCCTTGCATTAACCCATGCGTCCAGGAGGGAAAAAGAAAAAGGTCACTTTAAACGCACTTTATCACTGTGGCAGAGGTCTTCTTTAGTGTGCAGCTGCAATTTGAATTTCAGTTTCACCACTCTCAATTCTGCTATTATGATCACTCATTTCCTGGAAACCTCCCCCAAGACGTATGCCCTGGCGGCTGTCCTGGTTTTCCTTTTTTCGACATATTGCATCACCACCATTCGTTACTTGTTGCAGAGATCTTGTGACAGACGCTATCAGGGCAAAGAGCCTTCCACACTACCTTATGGCGTTCCGGGTCTTGGTTCAGCCCTTGGCCTGATTAGAAATCCCCATGGCTTCTTCAAGTCTATTGTGTAAGTGATTCACTGCTCTACTTCTTCACGACTAACAAAATGCAGTAAAAATATCGACAGTGCAGAGCCACTACGGATGCGTCTTGGCCTCGATCATGCCTACCTAATTCACGGGACGAGAAGTGTTCAACAAGTCTTTCGATGTTCAAAAGAACTTACTTTCGAAGAATTCGCTCTTAGGGTCGCTCAAAAGGTCAAGCGTCTCCCCGAGAAGGATGTTGCCCTGGTATCAAAAGACGTTTCAGGCTCTGCACGAGTCCCTTTGATACCAAGTCGCGATGATGATCGTATCTGGAGAAAATTCCACGAACTTTACGAGCATCACCTTATTGGCTCTACTGCCGTTACTGGCCTTACAGAATTGTTTGTCGGCCTGATGGTCAATGAGCTTGAGACTGTTCAGGGACCCATTGAGATTGGTATTGACGAGTTTATGAGGAAGCACATGTTCAGAGCGTCTACAATCGCCCTTGCTGGTCAAGGAGTTTTTGATGTCGATCCCAACTTTGCTGATGTGTTCTGGGAATACGATATCGACTTCATGCCTCTACTCTATGGCCTTCCCAAGTTCCTCTGCCGCAAAGGTTGGAACGCTAGAGACAAGTGCCTCGAGACTGTGAAGCAGTATCTCAAAAATGGCTGGCAAAATCTCGACTGGCGAGCTGCCAACGAGACAAACCCTGACTGGGAGCCACACTTTGGTTCTAGGCTTGTTCGTGAGCGAGAAGTCGCCATGGAAAAGTACGGCTTTAGTCTAGACGGAAGAGCGTCTTTTCAGATGGGTCTCATCTGGAGTATCAATTCCAATGCTATTCCAATGACATCTTGGGTCATCATCGAGATTCTTCGTCGACCAGACATTTTCAAACGAATCAAGGAAGAGGTCGCCACCGTTTACAACAAAGAGACCAAACAGCTTGATATTGCCGAGATGAGAAAGCTACCACTGCTCAACTCGGTATATCTTGAGTGCATGCGTCTCAGATCTTCAGTTTTTGTCGTCCGAAAATTGAGAGAATCCATCGAGCTAGACGGATACACGCTCAAGCAGGGTAATCTTATCCTGGCCCCATCATATCTAGCCCACAATGCCCCCGAAGTGTGGTCAACGGCTTCGTACCCACCAGAGGAATTCTGGCCTGAGCGTTTTATCAAGAAAGGATCTAGTGGAATTGCCTCGGGAAATTACTTCCCTTACGGAGGCGGAGTGGCTATGTGCCCTGGGCGAAATTATGCCAAGCAGGAGATATTGTCAGCAGTGGCTCTGTTTTTTGCGCACTTTAACGTTGAGCCTCTACGATTTGTGGACAGCAACGGAAAGACTTCAGAAAGAGGACCTGAAGTTGGCAATGAAGCCAGAGGTGTTGCGAGGGTTGATAGGGATATGGTTGTTCGGTTATGGCGCTCTTAGGATACCATTTTGCATTAGCCTAAAGTTATTAGAATTGTTTAGATCTGGTTTAAAAAATACACGAATCATGATACCTCTCTCTATTCTGCTATCTATTTGCAAATAAATGTCTCAAGGCATGATATGTCTAATCAACGAGAACGAGACTAGCTGGTCTTGTGGTCGTACAACTCTTGCAGCTGGATAGCCCCATGATGGAGTCATGCAGTACATATACATAGCAACCCATAAATAACCCAGATACTTCCTCCTCTTGCTCCCCCATCCCTCGGAGATGTGCTGCACGCCGTCTTCACACATTATTGCCAAAGCAGTTATGACAAAGTAAGGAATAGCATCGGACTCTTGAACAGAAATGCCGAGAGCCCGATCAGCAGGATAATGCAGCGCTCCAGAGATGAAGAAGCTGATTAAAAGCTTACAATACCGAGCAATCACTGATCCACGAGGCACGTGAAGTATTCTGTGGGCGAGAAAGTCACTTATGCTAGTGAGATGACGTCGCAGCGTCTGATGCCAAAAGTTACCCCAGAAACGTCTGATAGTGTACGCCTCTGACAGTCGACCCCAGATTGGGGGTAGCATTTCGACAGGGTAGAGACCCAAGATAAGATACGACAAACAAAAGATACTGTTGACAAGGTGGATAACACAAAAGGTATTAAGCCAGAAACCAAAGACCGCAAAGAGGCGGAAGATTGCTTCCTCTGAACGGATTTCTCCCAGCCGGGAGAGTAGGAGCTCGTTCCGAGGTGACATCATATTCTCCAAGTCTGGAGGTGGTTGGCAGGCAAAAATATCGAGGATCAAGTAACTGACGGTGGCGTTTCTGACATGCCTCAACATCTCCTGGCCTCGGGACGGAACGGAAGACAGTCTTCCGGGAGAGTGAGGCCAACAAGGAATTTGGGAGATGACTTTGCTTGTACCGACGCCACGCATGTTCCAGAGGTTACTGACACCAAAGCGAAGGCGAGAAGAAGATATTGACTTCTTGGCTTCTTCATCAAAGGACAACTTGGTGAGGCATAGATCGTCCAATGTCTTCAGACATTGAATCCACATGCCAGTTGATAGTAAAGCCACATGAAGACGGCTGTGCAAAGCATCGTGGATGGCCTGGTTGAACAGCCAGGTGAGCCAGGCGACGGAAAGGGCAATGGCCGGACGTGCAAGATTGGAAGGCCTGGTGTAGCCGAGGGCAAAGGCAGCCAGGGCCTGGGATGTGGCCGCAAGGTAGAGAGCTGTTTGAGCTGTCATGGTTGTAGGTTTGGTAAGTGGCAAGGAAAGATGGGTCACATGGGAAGGTTTTCAATGCTCGACTAAATGCTTCATGATTTGTATGACTGTCATGTAACCGTGCAGTCTCTGAAAAAGACCCTGAAATGTCACCTGAATCTCCGAATGCACAGGACACCATCTGTACAGCGGTCAGCGTGCAAATGTCAATGCTAGCGTAAATGAATCTACTCGCCGTTTAGATTGTATCCATCAAGTTTCATCCACAACGGAGCCTCAATAAGCGCTAAGATACGCGAAGGATCGGCCCTGCAGAACAGGGGTTCCCTGCAAAGCTTGTGTCTAACAAATTCAAATCAACAGGGTCTCGGGTAGTATTGAATCGTGCGCAGTCTCAAATAAATCTGGTCATTATGACTAACCAACAAACATGCAATGCCAGTTGTACATTCGAGGCGCAGTCTAGTTTTAGATCCAAAAGCAAAATAGATTGTTGTTTTTAACACTGCTCTAGCTACAGATCCAATAGGTAGGCGTACCTGCGCCAAGCAAAACATCCACCAAAGTATATGCCGGCAAATAGAACCAGCCACACCACTGATCCAACAGCCATAGCAGTCCTCTTAACGTTTCGTAAAAACGCTGCCTCGTTCACACGTGGAAACGGCTGGTCCACAGGAACAGGCTTGTCGAGAAACTTGGCCAAGGGTTCCCATCCCATGCTTGGTTGGTACTCGAGCAGCTGACCAGCAGGCACAATGTCATGCACCCACTGGTTATGCTTGTGGTAGAGGTCCTCGCAGGGAACCTGCTGCAGACCAAACTTTTCAGTGTAAAACTTTGACCAAGCGACAATGAGATCGCTAGAGTGGATTACTCCAGGGATCCAGTATCCGAGGATGCGATACCAAGGGGACCGCAGATCGATACCCAATCCGTAGTACGAAGCCAGCCAGACCTGGGGATTTTTGCGGACTGAAAGAATGACCTGATTATTGTTGGTCAGAATCGACGACGTGTGAGGTTGTTTCCTTACCTTTGCGTCAGGGTATATTGTCAGCATGTCATCGACAAGAGTGCTAGCAGGTGGCTCAAAGACGGCTTCGAATCCATCGTAGAGATTCTTGAGAGCCTTGAGTCGTTCATTGCGGTCTTGAATGGCTAGAACACGCGCACTCTCCTTGACGCGGGAGATTGGTGCTGGAGGATCACCAAGGTGGAAGCATGGGTTGATACCAAGGATCTCAAGGCCCTTCTTGAGACTTGTCGTTGAGGTACGTGGTAGACCAGCCTAGACATGATTAGCGGTCATAGATAGAGAGAAGTGTCAAACTTACCACGATAATCTTTACACCTTGTGTTTTTTCTTGTGCCATTGTGACTGTGCTGTGTGTACTGTAAAGATTCAGCCTTGGTTCTCAGAGTGAAGCATTTATCTCGCTATCTATACAGGCGTTTCTCACCGGTGATTCAGAAGGAATCGACCTCTGCACAGACGGTCCCTTGACGGTCCCTTACTCATTCAACCCATGTCTGTCATAGCCAAGCCACCCTTTCCCTTGCCCCGGGTCCAAGCTAGCCAAGTCTTGCATGGAGGGTGTCAACAAGGATAATTCGGCATGACTTTCGGCTGTGGCGTGCGGGCGCTTGAACAGAAGGAATACATCCCCGGTCCCTTTGTTGGTTGTTGGTAGCTTTGCTAAATTTGTAACAAATGTCATGATTGGGACTGATTAAAATGGACTGTTTCGGCTAAGGCAGATCCATCAGTGGAGACCCGAAACCAGTATCCACAGCGATTCACGGTACGTACTCGAGCTCAGTCCTGGATACTCTCTCTGGACTTGGTCCTGGAAATCAATCATTGTGAAGCTATTCTTCAGCATCAAGCAAAATGGAAAGTTATGTGTTGATGGCCATTCTGTTGGCTGTTGTGTACCTTGTTCAGTACAGAAGCTCTCCCAAGATTCCATCAAGTATACCACGACTACAAGATCCATCGTTCGTACCGTTCAAACTCTACTGGCGCTATCTGACAGACTGTCGACGCTTGTTCCTCGAAGCATACGAGACGGTAAGCTCTGCTACCCTAAAACGACTTTTACTAACAACTTCAGCTTACCAAGGATGGCAAAACCTGTGTTCTGCCCAGTATGGGTTTCAAAGATGAGATCCATCTAGCCCATCATCACACGCAGTGGGCAGCTTCACAGCCAGATGGCGTTCTCAGCCCCTTCGAGGGTTTTCGTGAGATCGACAAAGGAGATTGGAACTCTGGCCATGCTAGTTACATCCAAGATCCATGGCAGAGCATTGTTATCAAGAAGGAGATGGGTCGCTTTCTGGAGATACTCGCTTCTGATGTGGACGATGAGCTCAAGTATGCTTTGCCTGAGTACCTGAAACCTGACAAAAACGGCGAGGTCGATGTCTATGAGGCCATGAAATGGATCGTGGCTCAAGTCTCTAGCCGTTTCACTGTTGGCCTTCCTCTCTGTACGTTCTGTTTTATCATACTTTGCAAAGATTTCGCCTAACTAATTTTCAGGCCGTGATAAGTCTTACCTAAAAGACTCGCTCGCTTTTGCAGATTTGTTCATTCTGAATTCCGGTCTTTTAATTTACACACCTTCACTCTTGAAGCCACTGGTCGGATTCCTCGTCACTCTTCCTACGAGGTACAGACGATGGAGAATCCAAAATCACATCCAGCCCATGTACAAGGAACGCAGCGAGCGTCTACTGAACCCCGAGCTTTATGAAAAGGGTGATGAGCCAACAGACAATCTTCAGATGATGATGAGATACGCCATCAGCAAATATGGCAACCAAGTCACTCCCTCTCAAATCTCTGATAGGCTCTGCCTAGCGAACCTTGCATCCTTTCACCAGACTGCTGTGGCAATCAGCAACGTTTTGATTAACATTGCTGCATCAAATGAAGAGTTCAACACCATCGAAGTCATTCGAAAGGAAATGGCCGATGTTCTTGGTCAAAAGGGCGTGTTCGACAAGGCCTCTTTGTCGAAAATGATTCAGACAGACAGTGTTCTACGAGAGTCTATGAGAACACACGGATTTGGAAATAGAGCCATGATTCGCAAGGTTGTTTCACCAGATGGCGTGAAAACACCAGACGGTCAAACTCTCCCCAGTGGTTCAACAATGTCCATTCTCTCGTATCCCGTCCACAATGACCCAGCAATCTACGAACACCCTGAGAAATTCAACCCCTTCAGGTTCTCACAGATGAGAGCCGATGGAAGCAATGCGCCTCTGTCATTTGTGTCTACCTCTTCTACATATTTACCTTTTGGTCATGGAAAACATGCTTGTCCGGGACGGTTTCTGGTGGACTTTGAGATGAAGATGATTCTGTACCACGTCCTGAAGGAATTTGATATTGAGCTTCTTCCAGAGCATAATGGCGTACGACCGGAGAGTCAATGGGTTACAGAGGCTGTTATGCCGCCTGTAGGTGTTAAGCTGCGATTCAAGAAGCGACATTTTGCATGATTAGTTGTAGATGAGAATTGAATTTGATCACATACATGTATCGATTCACCGAAATAGCACAAAAGAAAATATGATTAAGTGTACGTGGCGTGGCAGTGCATGAAACAAGGTCCCTGCTTAGCTTAAGTGGGTAGCACCAGACATAAAATGGCCAACCCAGTGAGATTCTCTCCATTCCTTACCCACGCAACAACCATGGCACCAATTGCTGTTTCTTTATCCTACTACCGGCCTTGGGCTACAGCTGCCGTTGCTGTTGCTCTATACTACCAAATAATTGTCGATCAAAACTATTCGGTCAGAAATGCACCGTTTTACATAGGAAAGTACTTGCTGTGCTTTCTGAGCTTCTGGGGCGCCTACACGGTGTTCTTGTATCCAGCTTTCTTCAGTCCGCTCAGACATCTGCCACAACCAACGGTACGTGGAGTTCTTTCTTTGCGAGATTATTGCTAACAAATGTAGAGTGCCAGTATTATTAATGGTCACTGGGCGGAGTCGGTTTGTGAGCCTGCTGGTTTGCCGTTTAGGCGATGGATGAGGACAATTGAAAACAATGGATTGATAAGATACAAGTCAGTCCTCCAGAAGCTCTTAACAGATCAATACTGACCAATAGACACCTTTTCAACCAAGAGAGAATCGTTGTCACCAGTCCAGAAGGCCTCAAGGAAGTCCTTGGTCAGAACAGCTATGACTATGTGAAGCCCCATCTCCTCCGAGCCATGGTGGGCAAGATCTTGGGATACGGCCTCCTACTCTCTGAGGGAGATGTGCACAAGGTATGAGTCTCACTACCCTGGTCTTTTACTTACCTAACCATCGCAGATGCAAAGAAAGAATCTGATGCCAGCATTCAGCTTCCGTCACATCAAAGAACTTTACCCCGTCTTCTGGTCCAAAGCCCAGGAGCTTGTTCACGGCATTGAGAAAGAGGTGTCAGAAGCACCAGGATCACAAATCGACATTGCAGACTGGGCGAGTCGCGCTTCTCTTGATATCATCGGGTCTGCAGGAATGGGTCACGAATTTAAGTCACTCTCCGACCCCAGTATCGAAGACACGATGAAGATGTACGGTTCAATGGTCAAGCAGAGCCGCGGTGCTAAACTCTTGACCGTACTGCAACTCGTTCTTCCGTCCATCATCACAGATTACCTGCCCTTCCAGAGGAATATGGGCGTCTTAGCGGCGTCAAAAGCTGCTAGAAACACTTCCCAGAATCTCATCAATGCCAAGAAGGTCCAGATGGCTGCCAAGGAGAAGCTGTCTCCTGATATCATTTCTACGGCACTTGAATCTGGTCACTTTACAGACGAGGGTCTTGTTGACACTATGATGACCTTTTTGGCTGCTGGACACGAGACAAGTGCTGCGGCGCTCACTTGGACGATTTTCTTGTTAGCCAAGAACCACGGTATTCAAGACCGACTACGGGAAGAGATTCGTCAGAATGTTGACGGTCTTGCTGATGATGTGGATGCCAAAAAGCTCGACGGTCTATCCTATCTCCATGCCGTCTGTCAAGAATCGCTACGCCTCTACGCACCAATCCCATTCACCGTGCGGGACGCTCTCAAGGACACTAGTATCCTAGGCACATTCATTCCTAAGGGAACAATGATTATCCTCTGCCCATGGGCCATCAATCGCGCAGCCGAATCCTGGGGCCCCGACGCAGACGAGTTCAACCCTGAGCGATGGATGGTGCCTGGACAAGCCAATTCTGGCGGCGCAAAGAACAACTACGCGAACTTGACATTCCTCCACGGACCTCGGAGTTGTATCGGCCAAAAGTTCTCGTTGGCTGAACTCATGGCCCTTACGTGCGCGTTGGTAGGGCGGTACAGGTTTGACATTGACAAGGACTACGAGGTGAAGGATCTGACGGATGGAATTGTTGCCAAGCCGCGAGACGGGTTGAAGGTTTCGGTGGAGGAGGTTCAGGGTTGGTGAAGATGCATAAAGCAGAGCAGGGTCCAGATAGAACAAAGTATGACAAGGATGTTGTAGTATAAGGCTGTTGGCAAGACACCGCCACGACGATGCAGTTTTGACCACTTTTTTATTCCACAAATGTCTCACTACTTGGTTGATGGGCGACACTTGTCTCACAGCCCATTTACTTAGCTTGATTATCCGAAAATAATTTTGCCTCTGGAGGGGCCGATCAAATGTCACAGGTTCCATTATCTGTGCGTGTCACTGTCAAGGGTCCTCTCCTCTCCACTCCACACTTTATGCCCACCCCGTAAGATCTAGCGTCTCACCCCCAAAGGAGGATCCTTGTCTGAATTCATGTCAACCTTGCTATGGAGTAGAAAAGAAGAAAGATAATGTACTGGGTCTATGCTTGTTCATACTTGGCCAACACAGCGCGGAAGGCGGAAAAGGTTACACGATCGGCAACTGACTCAAAGACCAACGAGAGCATAAGCATTGTTTGTCTCGTCTGCAACCAACCCAACACATTTTCTACAGGCGGACTGAGCGACTTGTTGGTTCCAGGGTCTGTCGCAAATCCTCCCACTATTGTTGTGTTTCTTGTGTCCCTAACTTCCATTCCGACATTGTAGTTCCTCTTCTTCGACCTCAATCCGTTCCTCTCTCCTCTCCCATCAACAATTTCATCATACCAAAATGTCGATAGCAGACGGAAGTTACGCTCGAGGCGACCTCCTAGAAGGCTGCAAAGAGCTTATCCCAGGTCTCCAAAACGCCTACGGATACGTCCCCAGCATCGCAGCGGGCATCGTCTTTGATCTTATCTTTGCCGGCACTGGCATCTACCACATTGTCCGTTCGTTCCAGAAGCGCAAAGCCACGTCTTACCTGCTGGCAATTGCGTCGTACGTCGAGCTTGTCGGATGGATTGGTCGTACATGGTCCAATAAGTGTCCCTACAACAAAATCGCCTTTCTTCTGCAAATTACCACACTCGTCGTCGGCCCAATCTTTGTCGCTGCTGCCATCTACGTCACACTTGGATACCTCATCAAATCCATCGGCCCTCAGTACTCGGTCATCCGTCCTAAGCTCTATCTCTGGGTCTTCCTCGTTGTCGATGTTGTCGCTCTCCTCATCCAAGCTGGCGGTGGTGGTCTAGCTGCGGGCGCTGCCAACAAGGGCAAGGACACCAAGCCGGGTACCAGATTGATGGTCGCCGGTATCATCTTTCAACTCGTCTTCATGACCATCTTCTGCACTCTCTTCGCCATCTTCATCAAGCGAACTCGCGGGCTTACCCTTGCAAAGGGTCAACGTTTCTGTATCTACGCCACCGTCGTTTCCGTCGTCTTCGTTTACATCCGATGTATCTACCGAACGGTCGAGCTTCTTGAGGGTTGGGATGGACACTTGCTCAAGACTGAAGGATACTTTATTGGTCTCGATGGTGTTTGCATTGCCGTCGCTATTCTTGTCTTTTGCGTTTTTGACCCGGCCGTTCTCCTCGAATTCAAGGACCCCATGGCTGGTGAGCAGTCCTTCAACGAGCTCAACACTGTATCTACCAAATAGTTCCTTTTTAGTTTGTCCTATCATATAGAAATTCATGTTGCTGTCATGTTTTAATGTAATTCCAGAAGCCTGCGTTAGGCAGGACCCTACTATAGCCAGCCTCTATCTAAAAGTTTGTGCTTTACCAAAATCCAAATATCTGAATCTTTGATGTGTCAGTTAGTTTGTCGAGGCATGTTCACATCCAACTCGCAGCAGATATTGTTCTTTTCCGAACCCGTTGGAGTCGGAATTTCTATTCCTAGCCATGATGCTACCTATGATCAACCAGAAGTCATACTCACCTTGATTATAGGGAATACTCACGATCACCACCTTTGTGAGGGAGTTGCTGTTGGGGTCTTGGTTCTCGATCAAAGATATGTTCTGCCAATATAGTGTGCTTTTTCAAGCTATTGGTGGGTGACAAGGAAACTGCATTGCTGTACATCGAAGTCAGATGTAAGTAACTTGACCATTGGTACGCTTCTCACGTCATTTCCTACGAGTGGGAGACCTGGACACTGCAGCATAGAAGCCTCCCATCCGAGTACTTGGTTCGATGTCGGTATCCCTGAAACGTTGAAGATTATCAGAATATTCTCGGAACTCGTTCGCGTAATCTATAATCCCCATGAGGAGGCTTAGCGTCTACATTTTATGGAATCTATGAAACTGGTGTTTGGTGACTAACTTAATGGACATCGTTGTGATGATGGTTGACGGGAGCTGTTACTGCCCGTCTGTGAACTTTCAAAGGCAAGATACCAACACAACTACGGATGAGACTGGCTCCTACCTGCATACAAAAGCCAGGTCTTTTATGCTATTTCTGGCCATTCAATAGTGATTAATTGACATGTAGTGACCCAAGTCAAGATCAAGTTAGAGAACATCTCAGGATTTGCAATAAGTGGCTTAACTTTACTTCAGTGTCAAGTGAAGGTGCGGATTATCGGTCTGCGAGGCACGCCGTATTGAAGTTTGCACTTCTCTTACCAAGAGTGGAAGGAACAATAACCGTGTCAAGTGGTTCAGTGAGTTGTTCGATGGACTGTGAGTCTGTCGTTGCTTCAAACCTTTTCTGACTTTCGATAGTCTCTTTTCATCTGATAAGCACAGCCCTCTGAATGGTTCAGCTGATAACCTTGATTTATGGTGTAAATCAGCAGATCAAGATGATCTGTTGAGAGCTGAGGATTGGACGGGCCATGGCGGGATACTCGGCACTATTGAACGCCTCACAAACGTCAAGACTAATTATCGATAGTTTGCCTTGACGTTCAGATGAATTTCCAAATGAGACAACGAAGATCCAGGCTGCTCAACGACTCTTCTAAATTTGCAAAGATGTGGCTTTTGGCTGTTCCAGCTGATACAATGCCGTCGCAACGTGACAGCTCACGAGAAAGCCACATTCTCATTCATATCGATAGTAGCAGAATCTTTATGCCACAACATAATTGGATCATACAAATCATGACAGTGACAAGACACACTAATCCAACAACTGGGCTGGTCTGGAATGGTCCATGCAGATCTGTAGCGCCGCTTGCGGGAAGGCTAAGACGGTTTCTTTCCCCTGAAACATTGAACTCTACCTATGATTGGAAGATGGCATGGACCTGTTCCTTTTTTCAGCTCAGGCATTCTTGTGTAGGGTGATGAGCTCCCTGCGTCATTAGGCTTGTCACTATTGAAAGCCTGAACTTATGGTTAATACGAGGTGGCGTCGAGCTCGCCTCGTGGGCTAGCGTTATTGGAACGGCGGTGCATGTTCCGTCCTACCTGCTAGGTGCACTTCACTTTCAGCCGGCTTCAGATTGATTAAGCTGACAAAGATCTAATATTTATATCAGGCCTTTCCCCCGCAATTCTTGGCTCATCACAACACAACTCAACTCATCAATCTCAACACTTCAGATCCAAAATGTTGTTCCAGAATATCCTCTTCGCTGCTACCATCGGCCTCGCAGCCGCAGCCTCCCAATCCACCGGCCAGGAATGCGGCAAAAAGATGAAACCCTGCTCCAAGGACAGCGTCTGCAAGCCTACTCTGGCCAACTGCAAAGACATCAACAAGTGCCCCGGCACTTGCTTCTTCAAGAACGAGTACCAAACCTGCGGCGGTTTCCGCACGAAGCCCCCGCCACCCTGCAGGAAGCACACCAAGTGCGTTGACGATCCTCGAACACCTGGTGATTGCGGCATGGCTTGTGATAAGCCTGGTATCTGTGCCCCTACGAAGCCCCCGAGCTGTGGTGGTTTTACCGGAAAGCAATGTCCCAAGGGCCTGTACTGTTATGATAATCCTAAGGATTCTTGCAACCCCAAGAAGGGTGGAGCTGATTGCCCCGGAATTTGTCTGTAAGGGTTTGTCTTGAGGGTCATTTTATGCTTGGTTATGGGTTATCTAGGTGATGGGAGAATACACGATTTTACTCTGCTCGGGCAATTCAAGCTCTCGTGATGTAGAAGACCGGGAAAATTTCAGCCGTAGAAGTTTGTGGTTGCTTCGCAGACTTGAGCGACGTGTTGGAAACGTTCCATCTCACGTGTGTAATTTGGGGAAACACAGGCTGAAACACCATCATATCCCATCAGCCCGTAAAAACGGATGATCGACATGCATGAGAATGAACCCCGTAATGTGTTTCAAAAATAGCAGTGCCAGCAGTAACACATCAATTAAATTCAGCAGTCTATGCTCTATCGCCAAACTCCAATCAATCCCTTCCATCTCTCAATTGCTCATCCCTTGTACAGTCGTGTTCTGTTTCTATACATGAAACGAGATTGGATGACGGACCAGCCAATCATGAGGCGTAGCACAGACCTTCCTTTGTCAATGCCATACATAGGATGTTTCAACCCAGCGCCTCGAAATTAATTGCCTGTAGAAATAACAATTTACCAGCGACAAATCCTTCCCGTAGTACCGATCCTTCAATATGCGCAATTTTACAGCAATTGCCAAACGGCAGCGACAATACCGGCCGCAGCGAAAAAGTCGGGACCTGCGATAGATCCAGCGTTGACGTCGGCGTCTGAAGACGCAGATGCGGTTGCAGCCTCGCCACTTCCAGTGACAGTACCAACAGAGCCGTTGCTATCAGTCGTCGCGGCTGTGGCCTCGCTGATCAATGTGGTTTCGGTCTTGGTCATGGTTGTTTCGGTGGTACAAGTCTCGGAAGTCTCGCCGGAAGTCTCAGAAGCTTCAGGCGCCTCAGAGGTCTCGGATGGCACAGAAGTCTTGACATCGGAAGTCTCGACTTCTGATTCCTCGACCTTGGAATCGGTCTTCACAGCGCCGGTTGCAGTAGTTTGCGCAGCTTCCGTGGTAGGTTTCTCGGCCTCGGTGGTTGGCTTCACCTCGCTGGCTGTAGTGGCGGGCGCATCAACTGCAGTAGTAGCATCGGTCTTGGGGGCGTCACCGCCAGATCCAAGGTCTATGGGCTTTCCAAGTTCTGATATCCGTCAGCGTGGCTCATCATATTTGGATCGCTGAACTTACTAGCACAAAGATCATTAGCCCAGCCCATAGCAGCATCCTTTTCTTTGCTGCAGCTCGTGTCGGCGCACTTTGAAAAGTTCTCCTGGAGCGTAGGCATGGTGCAGAAACACATGTAGTTCGTGGCTTCCCTACAGCCCTCAGGAGGACCATTTGTGATGAGGCCCTGGAAACAGTCGATCTACTACCTTATTAGCATTGTAAAATTCAACGGCGGGTAGCTCACATACAGCACATGTCGATTCGGCAGCCCTGGCGACGGAGGCCATCAAAAGGGCCAACTGGGCGGCGGTAGGTTTTCTCATTGTGGTGGTGGTAATATCTTCGATCTAGCGATACTTCTCGAGGATGGCGGATAGAATGTTGAAAGGGTCAAGTTGATGTTATATGCGCATAAAATGCAGAGTGGAATAATGGTCTTTGTTTAAGTGTGTTTCAAGATCGTCTATGCGAGACCCTGTTCCGATCCTCTGTTTCATCCCTCGACCCCTGTTGGGCCCCGTGAAACATGTAGGAGGGACGATTGTCTGCACCTATTGGATGGCTGTTTAGTCCTTCATCAAAACTGTTACTTACTTTCCGTGAATCAAATTATCTACAAGAAACCCATTTGTCTTGGATCCTATGATTCGGAATTGCTGCCGAGGAAGTGATTGTATGGCACGATGGAGGCGTCCGTGCTCTGTATCAGAACAAATCCAACGTTACAACAGGAAAGGCGCAGAAATTCAGAGATCATCTCAATTCTGATTAGGCTTCCGCTAATTAGTCTAATGGATTCTGTATTTGTGAACTACGTGGGGATGAAGGGATAGATAGTCAGCCCAGCCTCCCAAGTCTCAACCTTCCAAGGGCTGATATTCTACCAATGCTCTGGACCAATATTAACAGTGTTGACATCCACACCATCCTTGAACCATCTCTCCTCCTCGCTAATCTTGACATTGTTTCCACTCATATGTCTCTTCTTCATTAAGCCGTTGTCGTCAAAAGTCCAGTCCTCAAGTCCGTAGCATCGCCACCACTGACCGTCGTCATCGTGAAATTCATACCAAAATTGTACAGCAATCTGTTTCAAGAATCAGCATGAGATGCAGAGACGAGTGATCTCGGAACCCTAAGGCTAGCTCACCTTATCATTGTCGAAAGCAAAAAGCTCCTTTCGCAGCTTGTACTCATGCTCGCGATTCCACTTATCAGTTAGAAACTTCTCAATCGCATCGCGGCCTTTGATAAAGGTGTCGCGGTTTCGCCAGATAGAGTCGGGAGTGTAGGCCATTTTGACTTTGGATGGATTTCTTTCCCCGAGCTGTTAGCTATATTCTTTCTTGCAGAGACGAGATCTCTTACTGGGTGTTCCATCCATCTTGCGCAGCCTTCACCTTGACCTGTGCCGATTCACGGGTGAAAGGTGGGAAAGGAGGTCTTTGTTCAGTCATCGTGGGTATATCGAAGGTAGCAAGTTCAGATTCTTGAGGGGGTAGGAGAGGATGTTTGGATACTTTGAAACTGTGCTTGTTGAAATGGTGGTATTTATGCTGGATCAGATATCCGGAGATACGGGAACTTGCGGCAAGAGCGGCCTTTGTTTAGCTTCAGTGTCATCATCCGTCATCATCTGTCAGCAATGCGGCCCTTAAGTGGTTGAATCACTGTTTGTAACTATCCAGATTAGGAAACTGCATTGTGTGACTGTTGTGAATGCCCATGGTGAAAATTCTTATTAGTTTTCGTAGGATGTTGCTGACTCGGAGAACAGATATTTGTTTCACGATGGCTTCACGTCCATGACCTCGTAAGGTGACTGGTTGCGATGCCAAGAAATGTCGGGAGAGTTATTCCCCAGCATTGCCGTAGGCTGGTGAACCCCTCATTGTCTCTCGCCTCGAAGTGGAGCTGGGGGACATATAAATAGCAGTGGAGGCTTTTGCGATATCTTCAGCGACCCACACCACCAAAATCCAACGACATCACTATCCAAACCGTCAATATGCGTGGCCCTATCTCGCTCTCTACGCTTTTCACCCTGCTCTGCCTTTCGGCAAATAATCTAGTTCATGCTTCCTTGCCCGAAGTCGTTGTAAGTTGGTAGTTTGGCATCCGAGTGACACACCGCTAAACCGTCATCAGATGCCGCTCCTCGGCTCCAATCCTTGTACTTGGGGAGTAAGTGACACTTTTAAGGGGTATAGGAAAAGTACTGAATAGGCTCTAGCCATCTTTTTGGTGCGCCAGTGAAGAGAATATGCAGAGATGTGGCGTTACTAAGGAAGAGTGCGAGAAATACGCCAACGATGTGTACTAGGTGGTGATAAGGGATATCGACGAATGAAAAAGGGTAGTTAGATCTACTACGAACAACAGGGCGAATGATTACATTGTGCGATTTACTGTCCATTCGTCGCTCTACCATATTACTCATAGCTGAACGGACATTCGTTTCGGAGTGTCTCCTCGCGGATTTGAAATGTATTCTATTCTAGAATAACATCGTTCGTTGCATCTACTCCGTACCGGTCCTGTATGCCGTAGTGCGATGTTTGCAGTGTAAATATTTCTATCCGGGTGGATATCACCTCTAAAACCTCGGGCTCGGCTTCAGTATTCTCTCTCTATGTTCTGGCACGAGGAAAGGGGGCCCATTAAGTAAGGCACGTAATACGAAGCAACTGGCATCCTTGTTGCCGGACGAGGGCATCTCGCCGCGGGGCCTGTATCGGAATCCATATGTGTGTAGATCTCCCAGAGTCCAGTCCGCCATTGTAGGGGACGGTAAAGTTATATATACTGTCTTTCAATTCCCAACTGTCGCCGGGCCAGGCACCTCACCATGCGTTGCTGTGGTCTAGTGGTCACAGCGGAAAGTCCGTATGTCTACTTTTTTGGGGCTTATACTAACCTCAACCTCAAACCAAGGATGGCCTAGTTCGAATCCATCCGTGAGTTCCTTTTTTCCCTAGATGTCACATTGTAGAGAGAGTCTATTGGCACAACATCCATCATGAATCACACCTCTCAAGCGTAATGAATCCGATGCTCACTCAAGACCATCCTATGGCCATGCCCACAGGAAGGGGCAAGGCCATCCCTATATGCTGTGATATTTCCACCACTATCGCCGGGCGGTCATCCCACCATGCGTTGCTATGGCCTAGCGGTCACAGCAGAAAACCCATGATCAGTTTTTTTTTTGTACTTGTACTAACCCCAACCTTGCACTATAGACAACCTCGTTCGAATTCCATAAGTGGGCTTCTTTTTAGCAAGAATATCATATTACAGAAAGCGGCTATCGGGACACGGTCTTCATCACGAACTATATTTTTCAAGCAGTATAACTCCAATGCGGGTGGGCGTAGGGGGACGGAGGGAAGTGAATAGTAGGCACAGCAGCCTTTTGTGTGTTGGCGATGTTTAGAGTTCAGTGTATGTGGGCGACCTCAATCGAGATGATCCCAAGCCTTGATCTGCCTGGAGGCGTCAACTCTAAATAATGACCCCATCGCTCACACGAGGCCTTCTTTTCCTGTTCGCAGGGAGAGGCAAGGTCATATATACTGTATTATTTTCACTACTGCCGCCGGTCAGGGCACCTCACCATGCGTTCTTGTGACCGAGTGGTCTCAGCGAATCCTGCATCTTTTTGGGCTTATCGTAACCTCACTCAACCTTAAAGCACACATGGCCTTGTTCGAGTTCCATACGTGGGCTCGTTTTCTTTTTTACCAGAACCCTCATGTATGTAAAAAGGGAATGCTATATATGTTGTGTTAAGTTCAATACTGTTGCCAGCCACGGCATCTCACCATGCGGGCTGTGGCCTTACGGTCACAGTTAACATGTCTTTTTTTCCACATTTATTCTGCTGAACTTTAAATTTGTCAAATACCGCGTTCGATTTCTATACATACGTCTTTTCTTTTGTAATTTACTGTTTGAGGGCACGATGGAAACATGTGTGAAGAGAGATCCAGTCACCAACCGTCACAACACGAAACTGTGGTCCGTTACTTACCTAGTCACAATAAAGAAGCCTAGTTTTCATTTCTTGTTATCTTTCTAGGCTCTACAATAGATGTATTTGATCAACTCTTCATTGCGCTCTTGAGGTCTGTCTGTTGTGGCGAGGAAAGACCATATATAGCGTGTTAGGTTCAGTACTGTTGCCAGCCACGGCATCTCACCATGCGGGCTGTGGCCTCACGGTCACAGTTTACATGTCTTTTTTTTTGAACTTCAAATCGCGTTGAACTCTATCCAGGACATCTTCCTTCAATCCACTCTTTTTTGTTTTTGTAATTTATTCTGGACAAGGGACTGCTGGGGCTTATATACCGGATCAATCTTATGTACCATTGCCGGGCCAGGCACCTCACCATGCGGGCTGTGGCCTAGCGGTCACAGTTAACATGGTTTTTTTTATACTCAGTCAACTTGAACTTTATCCGCAATCCAGCCCTTCGAACCCATTCCCTGAAAATTTGCCCGATAGATCGGTCTGTATTCCGCCTGGCGGCGCATCCCATCATGGAAGCTATGATCTAGCAATGGCAGTGGACATGTCTCTTTTTGTTGGGTACATCAAGTCACTTCGAGGTTGGTTTCCACCTCTGAAGCTTTCGAACTGGTCTTACATCGGGTGAGTTGGGAGTTATATATCCGGTCAGTCTACTGTATTGTTGCCAGCCACGGCATCTCACCATGCGGGCTGTGG